ACAGGTATTCTGTACCTTCACGATTGCGACTCTCTTGTCGAGTTTAGTGCACGGGACCTCTGATTAACTATGCTCTGACCTAATGATTTTTCAAATATTTTTATTTCTTAATAATCCATAAATGATTAAAACTAAGTTAAATTAAAACTGTAAAGAGCCTTTTTTACACGGGCAATTTGATTTGATCGAAGGGGATAATTTGTTCCCACTCGGGATATTTTGTTCCATTTTGTGATTTTTTTTTTGAACAAAATTTCCATACACCTATTAAAACACGTATATCTCGGTAAAAAAAATGAAAGTATAATAAAAAAAACCTTGGGCTAAGACTTAGTATAATATACGCTTCATTATATAAAATACGAATATATTAGATTCTTTTGCTTTAAACTTAACTAGATAGTAGCAATCGTGAAAATGTGGGATGCCTTTGTTACCATATTACGCACGAAATAGCACGGAAAACGAAAATGATACGTAGAGACCCCTTAATTGATGATTAAAAAAATGTATTACCTCCACAAAAAAAAAAAAAAAAAAAAAATAAACGCAAATCGTAATTATTGTGCAAAATTATTACTTTACCGGTATAAGTATCCAAGTCTATAAAATATAATAGAGGTAAACATATTTTCATAATTTTTTTTTTAAATCAAAATCTTTGTCCTAATATAGGTTGCTGACAAAACAGATGATTATATACTCGTAGATTCTATTAATCTAAATCTCGCAACACAATAAAATAATTTCATTCTGATCATATTAATAGTAGAATATTGTTCCATCATCGTCGGGTCGTGAAGAAAGAAAAAAGTTAAGATAGTTTTCTCATTAATTTGTTTTTTTTTTTTTTATTAAGAATGTATACATTACGACGATTGGAAAATAATTATTACTAATTATAATTAATAAACAAATTTTTCTGTCTGATTGTCTGTGCACAGTCCGCAGTCGAATCTATTGCACGCTAAGGCAGAGGTATGCCAATATACACACATAAGCGGATGAAAGAGTCCACTTATAGATACCGATTTCGAAAATTCAACTTCCAAAGGGTGGTTAACACGAGATTTATGGTGTTTTATTGAATACAAATTAATTTTTTCTTTATTGTTTGTAAACAACAATTAGTTAAATAGATTCTCATGCATAAACCTGTGCCCTTTTAAAAACGTTATTCTTATTGATTATTATATACCACGGTTTAAACGCTAAATATAAAAAACAGTTAATATAATATCGTCGATATATCTTCGCTATTATACTATCATGGATTAGACGAACTATAAACCAAGGACTAAGGAACCAAACTAAGGAAACACCAAACTAATATTATTATGTATCATAATATGGTTTAAGGCGTTTTAGTCAATGCCGGATTTAATTACTGTGCTACTGGAAGCACTGAACAAACATTTTCACACACATTTTTTTAAAACTTTTATATTATTATTATTGAAAAAAAAACTCAATATGGAATATTTCGACTTAGATCTTTACTAAAACATTTCCTTTTAAATATAAACTGATTAATAGTATTTACAATTGTTATTGTATTTACTATGTTATACACTTATACCTTATACCTAACCAACTATATTATATTAGTAAAAACTAAATTAAATTGATACTTAAATAGTTTTCAAAAAAATTCTGAAGTTAAAATTTAATTTACTCGAAATTTTTTATTAACAAAAACAGATTTATGTTACTATTATGCTATACTTAACTCATTATTAAACTTATATTATGTAAGTGAAAATAAAATTTAATACTTAAATAATTTTAAAAAGAACTCTAAATACACATTGGTTTTCTTCGCGATTTTCGATTGGCGAATTCGTTAATGATATCTTCGAAGTCTATGTTGTTTAAAAGTTCAATCTCCAACAAACTCAATGAATTTAGTTTCTTCTACTAACCTGGATCTTAAATAATTTTTTTTATCCGCTTTAAGGTCGAAAGTTCAGCAGAACAATATTGGATATTGCCTTACATAAAAGAATACGAATAGCTACATCAATGTTCGGGAAAATTGTAAATTTTTACTCCAGAGCAGTAATGATAATATTATTAAATAACTCCGAGATTAGTAAAATAAAAATAAAACTAGCTGATAGAATATTATAATTTGTGCACGAGAAAAATACTTAAATTGCTATTTATTATGTACATAGGTAGTAGAGATTTGTCACCCTTAAAAAATGTCCGCTGTAAGCACGTGCTTATAGTGTTTACCGGGAAGTACGGCATTGGTTTTAGCATTTAGTGATAATAATATTTAACTACAATATTCGTGTGTGTAGTATCTACAGTTATTGTATACGATTGAAAATAATTTTCCCGTCTAGAATTACACGAGTCGAACAAATGGATATTTGCTGATATAGCTGTTAATGATAAAGTCGATAATTGATTGGGCAAGAAATAAAATAAAATATGGATTAGGGATTTTTTTTTTCCCGTAAATCATCCTAGGGGGGAGGGGGAAATTTTCGTTCTGATACCGATAGAGACAGGGAAGAAACCTAGGAATCGCGGGGAGACACGTTTCTATTTTTAAATATTTTGCACGGGCATAGAAGTGAAGGATAATAGCTAGTGACAAATAATATTAATTATTATAATTATAAGTCTTAAAATAATCGATGTCAAACATTAGATTTGTTTCGAAATAATTATTACGTCATTTCTAAATCCGTATTTAGATCACACTGTATAATATAATTATATAATTTGATTTTTTATTAAGTAACTCCAGCTTACGTAGACGTTTAACTGCACTCATTTACTGAAAATCATTTTTCTATTTTACTTTTCCGTTGCCGTGGAGTTTTGTACTTCTTGTATTAATTGTATTTTATCTCGGGCTTACAAACGTACGGCATTTGCGTCCAGCTGTGACAACATTGTGTTAATAGTTTTAACACTAAAATGAATTGGCCTGTTATTAAATTTAAAGATAAGTACATTATCTGTGAAACGCTGATGATATTTTTTCGATATTTTAATTTTTAAGAGATATATGATTGTTAAAAATATCACGAATTAATAATGCATTTATTTCGCTTTCAAGTGAAAATATCAAAAAAATAGCAGCACCATTGCAGAAATAATGTTCCCGTCTTTAAGATGTTATACCTGCATCTATTATGTCAGTTCAACTACCGGGTAGTATGCAAAAACAATGCTTACGCAGAATTAGTAAAACTAGCTTACTTTTGATTCTAAAGTTAAAGTATCTATTATAAGATTTATAGAGAACGATATTTTGGAGGGAATATCATTGATAGTTTTTGAATTACAAACTATTAAAAAGTTACAGGCATTAAAAAAAAAGAAAAAAGAATAATTTTGTATCTATTATATCGAGTTTTATATTTTGAATACTACAAAAACCCTATGACATACCTTCTAAAATAATGTTCTCTATAAATTTCATAATAGTTCTTTTTACTTTAAAATCAAAATCAAGTTACTTTTACTTATCTTACGTAATCATTGTTTTTGCATGTTACCCGGTAGTTGGCCATTGAGATTTTAGATGCGGGTATAACGTCCTCTTAAGTCTGATAAAAAGTAAATTCACTATAATATTAAAATTAACACCACAAAGTTGTTTTTGAACGAAATTTGCTATGTCTTACGTTTGTAAGACGGAGACGGCAGGTCCTCTTAAGAAGAAGTCGCACACTCGTTTGTGTCGTCTCCGGATTACAATCGCCTGGTAGATAAAATGTATGTGATGCAAAACTAATATTTTGTAACATTTTTATTAACATTTCAACGACCTAATATCAAACTTAAAGGCGAGAACATATTGCTTACGTGTGTTTGTGTACCACTGTTTTTTTGAGATATTTTTAAGCGAGTCAATAAAAGTGAGCATTTTTAAATTGTGACATTCCGCATACTCATATCTCGTTTGAAATTGCATACACCGAGAAAAAACTGACGTGCAAACACAGATGATGTTCTTACCTTCATTGCGTTTGGTAACGGTTTGACTCGCAATAACATTAAAACTAACAGAACGAAATCGGTAGATACTGCCGAACGCAAATTTCTTGTGACGCGCGGAGACAACAATTATTATTAATGGCGAAGTGACGGCGTCCGTCCGAATCAAATTACAAAACGCAATAATACAATACAAAGTTGTTGTTATATAGTGTAAGGAAATTTTACGAGCTGTACAATAGGGGAAACTGAATTATGTATTTTTGTTTAGACATTTTCAACACGGGCTATATAGTAATCGGCCAATAAGGTTATGGGCGCGACAGTAGTTATTTCTACGGGTTTACGTTAAAAATTAAATAATAATCGAAAAAAAAATAATAATAAAGAAAACGAAACAAGAGACGAATAGCAGCGTTTATATTACCCGAGACCGACGTCGTCTGTGCGAGACTTTCGGGAACGGGATTGCTGCCGGACAAAACCCGTCACGAACGTCGGAAGACGAAGAAACAAAAAAAAATAAAGATCTAAAATCTAAAAAAAAAAAGCGGCCAAAACCTTTATGACACACGACCGCGTCTCGCGTGCGCGGACAATGCCTACAACCGAGACGGCCGACGGAAATGCGCGACGTGGTCTCCGACGGTCTGTTACCCGGGTCTCGAGCGCGGGTATCGCGTGACAAAAGCGACGAAAAAAAAAAACAATTATTTGCGAGGTCGGCCGGTAGGAGAACCGCGGCGGCGGCGGTTGTGTCTCGGGCGTGCGTTCGAGGCCTCGGGAGTCCGGGAAGTATCGCGTCCGCAAACTTCGCGGCCGGGAAACGGGAGGAGCGGCAGGGGGGGTGAGGGGCGACGGGAGCGGGAAAGAGACCGAAAACACCGAAACGGCGACGCCGCCGTTCGCGTAGGGCGTGTTTTGGCGGTAACCTTCGGCCGAAAAAAAAAAAACCACCAAAGTCGGTCCGGACCCCCACCCTCCACGGGGACCGTTTGCGCGTCGAGTTTCCGCCGTCGCCGGCGGTCGCGGAGACCGCGCGGGACTATATAAATCGGTCGGCCGACCACCGTCAGGCATCAATCACCAAACGTTTGATCTGCAGCAACAAGCTCAAGCTCAACACCAAGCAAAAAAAAAAACAACAAAAAAACAAAAACCAACAAAAAAATCGTCAACATGGCATTCACTGTGAGTAAACTTTTCAATTTATAATATTATTATTATTTATACCCAGTCGAGTACTCGAACATTTCCTTTCTTTTCGTACTCCCAAACAACTCTATTCGAGTACTGGATCGCTTTGTTTAAAAAAAAAAAGAAAAAGAAATAAAAATTCTGTTAAATAAAATATCTTTGAACTAGTGGCGTAGTTACGTGGACTACTGGGACAGTTTGCCCCGGAGTTTTTTTATTTCTATTTCAAAAAGTCGGTAAATGCGTTCAAGTTCCTGTCGGCCTATACAATTGTAATATTTCAAAATGTAATTTAAATTTCGTTGTTAACTATTGTCATTCGCAAGTGACGCAATACATTCGATAATCTCCCAAATTCCTTTTTTTTTTTTGTTAACGTCTCAAGTCTATAATACAAACCGTCTTTACATATTCGACATAAAAATAATCGTGTTTTTTTTTGTACCTAAATGCTTTACAGTTTTTATCGCTAACGGAGCGAAATCATTGTAATTTTAAAATCGATATCCTTCACGTCTCCGGAACCCGTTCCCCTATTACGTTGCCACTCTGAACCCGAATACTCCAACGATTCTCGTACGATTCGAAATACTTGACAATATTCAAGGCATTTGAACCGGACTCGGTTTCGAAAATAAAAATCAATTCTCACCCAGTTATTATTTAAAGTCTCCCGACGATGACGCGTATTTTTTCCCTCGGTTTTCGGTTACAATGACGACGGTCAGGTCGACTTTTTGGCGAACGCGACAAGCAACCGGAACACCGCCCTTCCATATCCGCACCGATAACCGCGACCCGGGTACCGGTTTCCCGGATGAACCCGACTCCCCGGGTTATTGGTCCAACACGTTGGACAATAACGTTGGACGTTATTTTTATTTCTTCCGTTAACGTTTAACGCGAGCATAACATTTTTTATTGTTCGTGGCCTGATTCGATTCGAATTTAAGAGTTCGTGCAAAATAATATTAAACTGTCCGCGACATTTTTACCACGAGACGCGTTTGATTTTCGTTGAAATCGTTCGCTTGTTTTACATAAAACAACCGTAAAATCGAACGCGTAGGTTCGAAAAATGAAATAAATTTTACATTATATTACATTTATATTATTAAACCGTATGCGAAATAGAGAAAAAAAAATATGCAAATCTGTTTAATTTTTTGTAACTTTTAAATATAATTTTTTTTTTCTTTTTTCTTTCGTAACACGTTTTTTGGCGACCTACACTTGACGTCGTAACACTCGACCGACGCTCATAACATACGTATTTCTGCACGTATACGGTTTCCCACGTTAATATTCTCGAACGCTTCCATTTTTTGTCATTATCGTTTTTGACCCGAATAGATTTTCATAATATCGCGTCGAAACTCAAATGAAACGTTTCGTGTTTGTCGGCCAATTCGACGTGTTAATAACGTTTACATACGATACGCGTTTGTCCGCACTGTGTAATTTTTACGGGAAAAACGATCGAAACATACAATTGAAAATTCATATTTTTGTTTAGCAATTTTTTCTAACCTATTTTTGTATTTTTTTTTTCAGTTCGCATTCATCGCCATCTCCGTCCTGGCCACCGCCTACGGATCCCCTATTGCAGCCCCGATCTACTCTTCCGCCCCGGCCTACTCTGCGCCCGCCGCTCCGGCCTACTCCGCCCCGGCCTACTCCGCTCCGGCCTACTCCGCACCGTCATACTCCACCCCCGCCCCAGCTTACTCTGCACCCGCATACTCTGCACCGTCGTACTCTGCACCGTCGTACTCCGCACCCAAACCCGCCTACAAACCAGCGGCCTACGAATCGTACGATGCCCCGGCCCCGTACAGCTTCGAATACAGCGTGAACGACCCACACACCTACGACGTCAAGAGCCAATCTGAATACGCCGACGGTAACGGTTACGTCAAGGGCTCCTACAGCCTGGTCGAACCCGACGGTTCCACCCGTACCGTTGAATACACCGCCGACGACTACAACGGTTTCAACGCCGTCGTCTCCAAGAAGGAAGGCAGCGGATACGCCGCCCCGTCTTACTCCGCCCCGGCCTACAAGGCCCCGTCTTACTCCGCTCCGTCTTACTCCGCCCCAGCCTACAAGGCCCCGTCTTACTCCGCACCAGCTTACAAGGCCCCGTCTTACTCCGCTCCGGCTTACTCCGCCCCGTCTTACTCCGCCCCGGCCTACAAGGCCCCGTCTTACTCCGCACCAGCCTACAAGGCCCCGTCTTACTCCGCTCCGGCCTACGCCGCCCCGGCTTACTCCACCCCAGCTTACTAATAAGCACAACAACAAAATCTTCCGACTAATCGAAACCGAGAAGTCGACATCTTAATTTATTGTTATTTATTTATTTAAAATGTAAATATAATAAACAATTTTCATTTTTGCAAATCAAAAACATTAACTGCGTTGATTATTTTTTTTTTCTAATCCAATCCAGTATAGACTACCCGTACCAAACGTCAATGATGACCCAGACGGTGTAATATTGAACTGTCAGCGTCGTAAATATGTATTATATATATATTTACATAATTAAAAAAAAAAAAAAAACAAAATAATAACAATAATGTCTGGCCCGATCATTTCGATCCATGAATAATCAACTACTATACGAATAGATCGTCAGACGGATAACCGAAAACAGTCATTAGGGTTGACATTTAAGGACAGCGCGTGTACGGGTAAATGTATAATGACAATCTAATTGTGACTGACGCGCCGACGACGACCGGGCAAAACGTTTCACAATATTATATTTGTAGATTAGCGATAAAACGCACGAGCAATGTCGTCGGAACGAGGAGAAATGATATTGTACAATATCAGTAGGCAGGTATACGTTGCTGAATTACCGCTGCTGAGATTTGTTCAAATAATGTGAGACATTAATGTCTGTACTATACAATAATGTTGGAGTTTATTAACCGATATTGGGAAACGCGCGCGGCCATGATCCCGGTGAATTTAGGCGAGCGATTTGTCAACTATTCCTTTTACACGATATGAGTCTACGTCAATTAGAAAAAAAAAAAAAAAAATTGAGGTTTTACGAAGTTATCATTTATCATAGTAGGATATTTGCAGCGGGCGGTCTAGATTGACCGTCATAAATTACCAGAGCTATTATCACTTGTAATGAAAATATAAAACGGACGAACGGGCCGCGAGTACTCGTGAGTAATGCATTATTCATATTAAACAGTTTTTGTTTTTGTTTTTTTTTTTGTTTTTATTGATACTGTAAGAGCCGGCTTTCCAAATCTTCTCCGATTTCGTATGATTTGAAAATTATTTTAAACGTTTTAACGGCCGACTTAAAGATGAGATTTGTCCACTGGTCATTATATCCGATAAACTTTTAGAGTGAAAGGGTACGGACGGAAATGACATCACGGGGGGAAATATCTCCCTAAAATCGTAGTACTCTCCGATTCGATTTCTATTCTTTATTATTTTAAAGAGCAATCCGTTTTATAAATCGCATTGATTATCGATTAATCTATCGTGTAGTGTCAAGATAAAAACGTTAAAAAATCGGAATTTTTCATGAAGCTCGATACAGTTTTGAACACGTGACCTATAAAAGTTTTTTTTATTTTTTTTAATAATACGCATGTTTTAAACAAAATATACTGTGGTTCTGACAGCCTTAACCACGAACTACAGAAAACGTACGGTTTTCAATAATTAAGAGGACGCCAACACGGACGGTTATAAAACCGCATGTGTTTTTTCCGTCATAAACGACCGCTTGATATAGGACATTTTTTTTTAGCAGGGACAACTCTGTGCTAATAAATTTAATATTAGAGTGAATTGATCCATTATCAAACTTTATTATACATATATTTCGTACCGATATTTGTTTTCGTTTATTAATTTTAAGGCGAGGTATAAGCATTTTCGAATTTTACACACTTGTATCTTGTTCGAAAATTAAAACTACAAAAACAAAAACAACAACATGACATAGATAATGTTCATATATTTATATTTGATAACAGGTCAGTTCACTATATTATTTAAGCCAACAGCAGAGAAATATCCCTTCTGAACGAAAATTGTCTATGTCCCACTGTCCCATTGTCTATGTAGGTAATATGCCTTTTGCCTGCTTTTCTTACGATCTATACGAGTTATTGTTAATATTATTACGGGCTGAGACGTAATTACTATAAAACGTTTGTTTTCGCCTATCATTGCGTATTCAGACAACTTTTCAAGTACGAACGCCGTTAGAAGATTTAACGGATGCATCACCACTAGTCACTACGGCACTACAAAGTAAATTTGCGTTCAGCAAAACCGATTTTATGCTGTTTTGATACTATAAGAGCGAAGATAAGTGCATTGACAAAGACTCAATTAAGGTAAAAATTCTGGGAGGCTATAGCCTTAAATAAATTTATTTGCTTAAATTTGAAAATATAATATTGTATTACATTATTGTAATCATAAAAACAAATACAAATTATTATTACAATATACAGTAAAATTCGCTTATAACGATCTTCTAGGGACCTAGGGAATCTGATCGTTATAACCGAACTTCGTTATATCCGGATCATAAAAAGTAACATGATTTTTTTGAAAAATTGATTTATTAAACATATTTTTTACTTTTTAATTTTATTTAAGATAACATATTTTAACATTCAAGGTATTTATATAAATTTTAATAAAAGTTTATTTATTTATTATTTTATTTGAAATTTTTAACTTATTCGGATCGTGTCTAAACGGATAGCAATCAAAACGGCAACTAAACGACTGATAAACATAGGTATTCTGTATACAATACGGTCGTACAAGACACATTATCTGTTACAGATAAGATTAAGAATTATCGATTTGGACGAAATCAAATTTATTACACAATGTACAATGTGCATGCATATTATTAATCGCTATGGGTGATTATAAAAACCAANTCCGGATTATCGTTATAACCGATATCGTTATATACGAATAAAAGTATTATACATAACATATAAAACCAACCAAATACATTGATTGGAATCGTTTTACCCGGAATATCGTTATATACGGCATCGTTATACGCGAATTTGACTGATTTTATATAGTATACTGTATTAATATAGCTAACTATATTCACTGTAACTGGGGGGGGGCTATTTGGAAAACTGGAGGGACTTGGCTCCCCCCACTTCAGTTGCGGCTATGTGCATTAAGTCTGCGTTGAAACACCGGTTATTTTTGCGATATTTTAATTTTTAAATTTTATAATATCAAAATTGTGTACAAGTTATATTCCACATAATATTCATAATTAGAGACCGGATTTATATTCTCTAATAATCCACAAAAAAACGTATTAAACATAAAAAAATCACCGAAAAAAAACATTTGAAAATATTTAAAAAAGCAAAAATGATCAATGAGTTTAAAAGTTCCCCCATAAATGGCTCTAATTTATTGAATTAAATTTCATAACACTACAAAATCGATTCATACAGAATTAGTAGCGAATTTTTAACATTTTTCTGAAGGGGTCCTAAAAAATAATTTATACGTGTTTAAAAGATATTTCTATTCACAGATGCATTTTTTTTTTTGATAACATTTTATTGAAATTATATTAGTGTCTGAGGAGGGTCTAGACCCCCAGGACCTTCCCATAAATCCGCTTCTGCATAGAACAATTTCTTTTAAATAAAATCGTACGTATTATAAAACGAAATTATTTTTAATTAACAATTTTTGCAATGTCAGAAAATTGTATTTATAAATTAAATCCGTTAAAGTAGGACTATTGTACCCCTCTACTATTTTTTTGGCGTTTTCATACATTTTTAAGTAATATTTTTCAGGGATTTTGACGTTTTAAAGTGCATTTTTGTGGATTTTAAGAGTATATTATACATCCGGTCTCTACACAATCGTTGTTTCGCTTCGCAATTAACCGATTGCAAAAAAAAAACCGCCGTTCAAATATTATAACGTTCTAAAACGTGTGTGTTTGATTCGCCGTGATGCTGTTACAAATATCGCCGGCACAAAATCGGTTCGGCCGAACGGAAATTTACAAAGTCGTGCGTTCGAAACGACGAAATATGGGCGTGTGCATGCACCGTCGGTGTGTAATGTACGGCGTTATCGCGGCGAGAGGTATTATTATTATTATTTTTTTCCCCGAATGCGTTTTCGTTGTTTTTTAATAAACACGTAAAAATTACACGGCCGACGGAAATAAATAACCCGCGGACGGACGGTAATACGGCGCTGACGATGACGCCGAGTGATGTGCGCCGGTGTCCGGAGAAAAACCCGTTGGCGCGCGAGCATCCGCCGTCGCGGACGTGCCCCGGGATAATATTTTATACCGTAACATCGCAATATTGTAACGTCTTGTTTACGCGGCCAGACGTTCGCGTAAACGCCGTTCCCGACGATAAATCGCGTGGACTGCGAAATTCCCGCACGCGAATAATAATGGTAAAACAAAAAAATAAAAAAAAACCCGTACGTTCACGTCGAAATATTAATAGATTATTATTATTATTATTCCGGAGATTCTCTCCGTACCGCGCAGTAGGTACGGCGAATTATCGACAGTAATTAATTATCGCGTTAATTGCGTAACCCCGTTTACGTAATAATATAGACACGACGTTAGTGTCGCGGTAGGCGAATTTCCCCTCCCCCTCCCCTCCGCCCATCCCACGACCCATCGCCCGCGATACGACCGCGTCCATTAATCAACGGGCCGGCCGGTCGACGTTTCGTCGCGCCCGCGCGTGCGCCGGCTACACGGAGCCGTCGTACGGCGGATACGACGCGAACGGACGACTGTCGCGCGGTGACGGCACGGTGATAACGATAACGATAATGTGATATTCCCGACCGATCCGCCTCGATGTCCCGCGTGCACGCCCGTAATGGCCGTATCGTGGAACGCGTGCGTGCGCCCGTTACGGGTCCCCGGATCGCGTAACTAACGACCCGGCGGTAACTCGCCCGATTTCACGGTTCGCGCCGTCCGCGCGGTCGCAGCACGCGGCGCGATGTTTGCCGTGAGATCTGTCGAACTTCGCGGGACGTCCGCACGCGGACCTCGAAAAATAACGAAACCGCGAGACGCGACTTTACGGGGTAGGTGCGATCGGACGGAAAAGCGCGGCGGCTGTTCGAGGATCCGTAATACCGTACCCGGGTGAAATGCGACACGACAGGCCGGGTTGTAGCCCGGTCGCGTGCGAGTTTTCGTATAAGTCCGAACCAGCAGCGAACCGGCGTCTTAAGCTGGTGCTCCAGCGAAAAACGACCGATACAGGAATCCAGAAATGGATTTCGACGAAATCAGTCGTTCGGTATTTATTTGAATTTTTCAAACCGATTCGATCGCACGATAAAATTGATTTTTTCTTTCGTACATTAATATTGTTAAAAAAAAAAAAAAAATGGGTTGAAAGTGGTTAGTTCGCGGACTAAAAGTTTTCTAGTGAATCACTTTAGTGTTGTTACTAAACCAAAAAATACAAAGATTCGGAAATTACGTTTTTCGTGTTTTTACTTTTTCACTTGCCCACCTAGTTCACCCCGTAGTTTTTTGTTTTTTTTTTCATTCATGTTATCAAGGTCGCCCATCCTATTTCAAGCCAATAAAAGATCGGCAGACAATAAGATAGACTCTTTATTTTGAGTTGGTATAATGGTTTGGCATTTTTTTTTTTCTGTTTGTTATTAATTATTCTTTTGTTTTAAATTTTTTTATTTAATCCATGTTACTATGGTACCCCGTAATATATTATTTTTGATTTTCGTACCAAAAATATTTAAAAACCTTTCATCCCCTATTTTAACCTCTTCAAGTTTTATTTTTGCGTCAAAAAGTAGCCTATGTTTTTCTTCAAGGTCACATCTATCTCTATACCAAAATTCATCAAAATTAGTTCGGGTGTGAAAGCGTAACAAACATCCGAACATCCTCAAAAACTTTCACATTTATAATATTTAGTAGGGTTGTTATGATATTTGGTTTTCTTCGAGATTCTGGCTCGAAAATTCACATACAATCGTATTTTTGTTAAAAAATTCCGTTCAATTTTCCGAATATTGGTGATACAGCGAAAAACGAAACCGCTTGGGACCTAATATACATTTCCATCGTACACGCAGGTATCCACCAAAAGGTATCTGATGCGTATTTATTAAAAAAAATTTAAAATTTTCATTGCAATTTATTTACATAAAATCAAATGAAAATCTATTATAAAATTAGTAAATTAGAGACGCCGTCAACATATTTTCTCAAAAAAGAAGTTTTGCTCCTATACCGAGTACTACGTAAAACGAACTAAATATTATTGTTGTATTTTTTTTTCTATATATATATATAATGTATTAGCTTATACGTTTAACAAAAAAAAAAACAACTTCACGTGCGCAATTTAAAGAAGACGCAATAAGGCTGCAATATTACTGCACATACAGATTTAATTTAATATTTTAAAAGACCCCGCGCAGTACTTTTACTCCGGAGACACGTATAGTCATCGCGGCGCACATTTTGCTAATTTGTGCATTTTATTTTTTAACATTACGTAAAAAGTACTTGACCCTATACGCGACGGGCGCCTCGGGAAATTTTTCGAGGGTTCGTCATTTTTTTTTTTTTTTTAACCAACGGCATTATATTATACCCATTAACCTTCTGGACGAAAACTATGAGTAATCTGACAAGAATATAGTTGTTATTTCCCCGAGTCTAGGCGAATATAATTAATCATTTTGTGTAATTCAACTGGATAGATGTATAGTTGATAACATTGGAGTACCCAGGGGGCGGGCTAAAGGGGCTTGAGGTACCCATCGTGTCAAATACAATAAAAATAATATAAATTATTGAGCGTCGACAAATTATTATTAGTAATAAAATCACATATTTTGTACTACATGTTCACATATTCAACAGAGTATAAATTAATTTTACTGCACAATATTATGTACTTTGCAAACAATTTTTCTTTTAACGATGATTTTTTAGTTTAGAACCCCCTCTCTCCCATTAGAAAATCTCGGATACGCCGTTGGCAGATTATAGAGTGTCGAACCGTTTATTCACGTTTAGATGTTAGGTAAAATTTAATTTATAGACAGGCTCATGTACACTAATGAATCTGGTTTGTATCGGGATTTAAAAACACATATTAGTTAAAAATTACACTTTCTAATCTGTTTACAATTGCTTATCAGTCATCCGCATATTACGCTTTACTGGTGAGATGTTGAGACGTTTTATAAACAAAATATAATTAAAAAATACACGTGGACATCGTTTTCTTTCACGTTATTTGTCCGGATTTATCAGTGCGAAATATTTAATGGAAAAAAATAATATTTAAAAATAGTAAAAACTTGTTTGCTCGTTATTCACGGGGCCGTGCCTAATAGTATTGTCTGATAATTTTTTTTTTTTTTTAAGTGCATTTCTTTTCATTTCCTTTCCGGTGGAAATAAATTCAACTAATAATAACTGTTTTCTTTATCCGTGTCACCATGGCAAGTTAATAAAAAAAATTCAATTTTCGTTGGAAAAATTCCAAAAACTGTGTCAGACGCTCTTTTTAGAGGTTCAATTTTCTAATTCCGGATCCGAGTTACACACGTATCCATTCATCCGCTTCTTTACGTTAGAACCTTTGGTCGCGATAAATTCGACTGTTGGTCCCTGTTTTAATTTTCATCGATATAAATTATAGATTAAGTTTTATTTTAGGAAAAGTTTATCATGTTTTTTAATTTAATAATTATTATCCTAAGAAATTTCGTGAAAAATATTTCGAAATTTAACGACACTTTCTCAGGCTTAGATGCAACGTGACACGTTGTAGAAACTTGAGGACTACAACTTGTCATATTGCAGGTTATACAATTTCAAATTAAAACGCGAAAAATCCGATTTTTAAATGCACATTGAAGTGCCGATGGCATTTAAATTTGAAAAAAATTTTTATTATTATTTACCGATTGCTGGTTTTCTTAGTTAAGCGAGGTGCTCGGTTTATGTTTCGAGTAGGAAGAGGATTTCATAATATCCTCAATATACAGGACGATCAACATAATGTAAAACACTTATTATATCGAAAAGTATTGAATTCGTTTGGAATTTGTTTTTTAGTCAAAGAAACAAGCAGCTTCAAAACGTTACATTTCCATCAACTGTTCTTATATTTCGGGACAAACCGAAACTTACCAACTTTTTGATTTCAAATAACAATCTTTTATATGGAATATCAATACCAAAATCTGTTTAAACCACAATTTTGTTTATATATGGAGTTTTAAATGTAGATTGCCATTTAAAAATCAAAAGTCGTCATGATGGTTTCATCTCCAAAAACAAGGGTGACGAAAAATAACGAAACGTTTTAGAGCTGATCGATGTCTCTTAGATGTACTGAAAACAAATTCAACACTTTTCGAAACGACATTGATCACTCTGTATCGTGGACGCTCAGCCTCACTGAATATCGGTGTTGCGTTATGTTTCAAGGGATTTCTGCTGGTTTCGGCTTGACGAAAATTCGCCAGAGATGTCCGCGGTCGCGTCCTTTTTACTTGTCTTTAATTTTTTTTTGCCCGTTCGGTTCAGCACCTGTACATGCATTTGTCACACGCTCTCTGGCATATGCTCTCTACGATTTCCATACGGTATTTTTCTGAGGCGCGACCGTACGCACGTGCAGTTGTGCAGCGACACGACTGACGAGCGACAATAATAATAAGACACGATGGTGTATTACGCGTTTTGTCGTGGGACGCGTTTTCGATAATGCGACCAATCGAAGGGCACGCTCGGCATTGTAGAAAACGGTTTAAATAATAAAAAAAAAAAAACGAAAATAATACACTCCTCGTAATTTAATAATATGCAGTATAATATATATATTATACTGCGGACGCGACCTTGTGGGTGCCCGAGATTATATTGTTATACTTTATTGGTTTTACGTGTAGAAAAAAAATAAGCGTTGGCCGATATCGACATCGCCGACCACCAGGACCGGCTTTGCGAACGCAATAATAATACAATATCCACTGTCCCCGTCGTCGTGTAGGGAGTGGCCGTTTTCACGTTTTGTATGAAAATAAAAAAAAAAAAAAAAATTTACACACGCACCTCGGGGTAGGTCATCGTATATTGTACGTATCGAAACCCATATAGCGGTTTTAATATTTATATTTTTTTTTTCGTATTGTCCATTGGACGAAAAAAAAAAGTACAGAAAAAATGCCGCAATCCCGGGGCCGGACACTTCGACCGGATCGCGATCGGTATAAATACGGCCGGTGGTCGTGTATTCGGATCAAAAACGATATCGACTCCAGTCCGATACACATATCACTTATCACGATCCCGCAACCGCAAAAACAACCAATCAAAATGGTTTCTAAGGTAAGATTATTTAATTATACGTTTTAAGCAAAAAAGGTTAGTGACTAAGACGCGCGGTTAGTGAAAATGTTCTGATTTTTTCGTATTAAACGGACGCGGATTTTTCGCCCGGTGATACTTTATTTGAAATTTTGTTCGAAATTTTCAACACATTTTATGTTTCGCACGTTCACTATACCAACGACCCCATCATGTATCTAAACCGTGTTCTCTTTCGTTTTAACGACTTTAACGCCGGGAATTAAATATTAAAGAATCTCGTTTAAAAGGGTACTTAGTTCACGATTTTAGAGTGGTTGAACATTACACTAACAGTAGTTGAATTTTTAAAATAAATACTTAAAACTATAATAAAAAAAAAAAACCGATTAATCGACAAATAATTATCAGAAAAGTCTTTTCGACGCGTTCGGTTTGACATTCACCGAATCCGTCGGAAATCTGAATATTTTCAACTCACCGATTCGTGAACAAATTTGATATTATTTCTGATCTAACTACTATTCTTATTTTAACAGTCGTAATCGCAGAATTCGACAGTTCCTTTGTGTTTTTGATGAGAACCGCTTACCACTTACGCGATTTCTTAATTATTTCCGTAGTATTACAATAGTATGTTTATCGAATTTTAATTTTTTCGTAAAATTTCAACTCGCCTTTATTTACCCCTGTCCGTCACGGACCCCGCAACCCGAAATTCCATCGCGAACACCCACCTAACCCAATCGAACCCCGTTGCCCCCTAGACCTATTATAATCGTATCTCATACCAACAAACCCCGTACAGTATCTACATAGCGATTGTATCATTCCGTTCTCAGGTCGTTGTTTTGGCTTCCGCCATGTTGGCCGCCGTCGCCGGTTCCCCAGTGTACCCAGCGCCGGCCTACCCAGCACCAGCCTACTCGGCGCCCGCCTACCCAGTGCCCGCTTACTCGGCACCGAAGGCCTACGCCCCGGAGCCCGCTTACGCCCCGGCCCCGTACAGCTTCGAATACAGCGTAAACGACCCGTACACATACGACGTCAAGAGCCAATCCGAGTACAGCGACGGTAACGGTTACGTCAAGGGAACCTACAGCCTGGTCGAACCCGACGGTTCCACCCGCGTCGTCGAATACACCGCCGACGACTACAACGGTTTCAACGCCGAGGTCAAGAAAATCGAAGGAGGATACAAGGCCCCGTACAGCGCCCCGGCACCGTACAGCGCCCCGGCCTACAAACCAGCCCCGTACAGCGCCCCAGCCTACAAGCCAGCCTACAAGCCAGCTTACAAACCAGCATACTAAACAATGTAAAACCGTGTTTGTATACTAATTTATCGTCTTGTCTTCTTTCTGTCTGTAATTTATTTTCTTTCCAATGTATTTATTTGCGAAAAATTAAAAAAAATCACGTCCGTTAAAAAAAAATGCATGTTTTTATTTTGTTTTTTTTTTTTTACAAAAAAATTCTCTCCGTTTACAGCTTCCATTCTAACTACACCCGAATATTATTTTGCCGGACCGTTGGAAATCACAATTCAACGTTACTTTCTAACGTTCTCTCTACGTTTAAGATAACAAATTTATCCGTGCACACAAGTTCACTATTTCGTAACATTTAAAACTAGATACATAGGTTTATATTTAAGATAGATTTAATTAGACAGATATAGTCAGAGACTATATATGTTTTCCACGAGACCACAAATCTATTCGGTCCCTAAGAAATTCCCGTATTCCCGTCTCGTAACAAATACTTTTACAGTTGTCTCATCTCTATCTCTTTCTTAAATTTTCCGATTTTCTCCACAGTTTTTACAGTTTTCTCGTCATTTTATACTACGCGCCTTACCGATTTCGTATTCTACCATCCCGAGGGTCTTTTGACGGGGTTTTATTTTTTTTCAAAATTTCAAAGTTATACCGTCGTAAAAATCGACAAGTCGTCGCTTACTACAGTTTATTTTTAACCGATACGATTAAACTCGAATACGGTTCCATTTTATCAATGCGATACTATCGGTAGTGACATAATGCAGTAATACGGTTTATAACGCAGCGTATAAAGTGAGTGTGCATAAATCCGCGCTGCGGTTTACGCGGTGTCGTGACATTAACCCACATTAAATTCTAGTTACACATATTATTATAATATTATTAATTTATGAGCGATCCGTTACGAGAAGCGAAATAATTGAGTGGTAATTTACGGTACAGTGGGTCGGCCACTGTTTAGGGTGTGTGAGCGTGTATACTGCGCGTATATTATGTTATCGCTGTATTAAATTCGAAAGTAATTTATGATTCTCGTATATATTTTAAAAAGCTACACGCCGAGCTTACAACAATATTATTATAGGTTAGTTATGCGCGTTTATATTTCGCTAATCGTATTGGAGGGAGGGGAGGGTGAGGAACAACTACTGCGAACAAATAATGTTACACTACTGAACTCGTATACAGGACGGTTCTTTAAGCACTTTCGCCCCGGTTTTATCGTCAAATTTTGCATTTATTCAAATTCTGATTTTTAGAATTTTTAAATGCGTTTAAAGTCGATATTTTCGAATACATAGATTCCCACGTTCAGGAGTTTTATTTTTAAATATGTCGGACATTCGTACAAGACGAAGGTCGATGCGAGACAATCGTTTAATAATTTTATTATCAAAGTAATACTCTGTGTGCAGGGAAGCGTAAATGAGGAAGAAATCGACTGGTTTTCTCGATCTTTAATGTACGGATGTTCAGACGGTCGAACCACCCTACTTGTAATGGAATTGTAATATCTCTGTAATATGTTTATTACAGTCCTTGAATAGCGGTGGATATATCCTAGTTCTGAGGGGGGGATTTTAAAACGTATAGAGTATATGAGGTTTATTCCCTTCAGTGATTATTTCAGACCTTTATCCCTGGGGGAGGGAGGTATCGTAAGTTTACAAAATTTCCTATGTACCTGTACAAATTCTTAAGTATGAAGTTGTAAATATCAATATAAAGTGGTGATAATATTCACTAGGGGGCGATCTACCAACCGCCCCATTGACATTCAACACTGACCTTGAAGTATTTTTATTGCAGACGCAACTAGGAAGGTGCTTGGAGTTCTTTGGCGCCCCGAGTTTAAAATTATCACCCTCAAAAATACTCGATAAGTTTTTTCGTAGTATCAATTAAATTTTTTATCCACTTATTTCAATATTTAATTAACGTATAACAAAATATACGCAACCCACTGTGTTTAAAAAGCAAAGGTAAACAAGTTATGATGCATTTTCGTATAAAAATTATAAAAGACATTTTTAGCTGCTTATTATAAGTGTCAGAATTGTGGGGCTATTGCTCCCACGGGGTCTGTGATGTGTTTATAGTTTTAGCACCCCCCCCCCTCCCAAAGTCAGTCGTCTAGTTGAGCCTTTGGTTCTTATCAGAGACGGATCCAGGAGGTGTTAGGGTTAAATTGAAATAAGTCGTTATTTGTAAACGGTAAATTGACTGTTACATTCGGAGAAAATTGAAATGCGTAACGTTTTGCTCTCTGAAATATTGTTCTCTCTTGATTGTACCTATAGGTACAATTATAAAGGTGTTTTTACTCTAAAACGAAAATTAAGTGAGTTCTGTGTAGTCTGCTTAAGTATCGTGGGTTTTTAAGACGGAAACAACAAATGCACGAGTGTCAATCCCAAGCCCGTATACAGGGGTTAGAGGTTCAACCTCACCCCCCCTTCGAAATTTTTAAAGTAGGTTTATATATATATATATATATATATATATACTATAATAAAGACCAACTATACAAGTTTACGTATTAAAAATATTTTGACCAATCCCCCTCCCCCCCACTCGAAAACTAATCCTGAATACGTGCTCGGTCAATCCATCTGGATTATACGTGTCTATGATACATGACCACGTACACCGAATGTGAAATACAAAAATGATTCTAGTACGAAATCTGAGTGATTCTCAAGACAGTTTCCGAGCCTGCCCGAGTGAGAACGGGAAGAGGAATGCGCGTGTTTGACCATCATAATCCTGCGAACGGTGGTACCGATTCGATAGGCCCGTAATAATATACGCCGCCGCCGGCGCATCTGACGGTAACGCGCCGCCGCCGCCGCCGTAACCTGGGTCCAGTTAGGCCGCGATAATATGCCGCGTCCGGGAATAATACGGTCGTGACCGGCGAGGCGCGAACGCAATTACCCGCGGCCGCCCGCAGTATTTCCCGGGCGCGCGGCAACCGCATTACGCCGCCGCCGCCGCCGCGCCGGGCAAAGTCAAATCGTACATAATACGGCGGTGGCGCACGACCGCAGGGTTCCCATAAATATATGTATGCAATGTCGTTGGCACGGTCGCCTCGCCGCCGCGACGGCGCGATATTAATTACTGCGACGACCCGTCGGCCGCCGCGCGACCGGCCAACGCTCGGGCGTTGATAAAATTGATTGATCGAGTTTTCGACGGTCGCCGCGGTCGTACGACACGCGGCCGCAGATAGGTAGAGACGGAGCGGAGCGAATGAGAGCGAGACGCGGAGTGAGAGTGAACGAGCGAGAGTAGAATAAAAAAAAAAAATGATCACGGTAAATTATAATGTCCGCACTCGAACGATATTACGCGCGTGATGTCGGACGAACAACAATGTTACACGTACGGACGCGACTTCGGATTTTTAACGACGCGAAAAACGATCCGAAAATACCCTGAAAAAAAAAAACATAAAAAAAAAAAAAAAAACGTGTAAAAAAAACGGTTCAAATGTTTTCTACATTTGAAATAAAAATTTCACTCTTGAAGCATCCGTTATAATTATCGAGTTATGCGATTGGAAAACATTCTTCGGTCTACCGCCCCTTCCAAAAAAGAATCCGAGAAATCAATCCGGACCTCGTATACAATAACATGCTGTAACATTAATTTAAACCCGGTGCGCACGATGATAATATGACAGTATTGCATAGTAATTTGCGTTATCCTTTCCGAAAAACCGCTTGGTAAATAGAAAATATCCCTCGATGGTTAAGCAAAAAACGACCACGGACCTGTCACGCGGATTATTGCGTGTCCATTGTAAAAGCGTTATCGCTGGATTTCGGTCTACCGAACGTTGAACGTTATCACTATAGTTTCATTATCAATATCGGACAACTGGATAGCGTAACGAAGTTATTATGACGCGAACTCGCAGAAAAAAATACGATATTTTACGGTCGTTACGCGTCCCCGTATAGCGTTCTCGTCTCCGAGCGATAGGTAATTCGATAAATCATTTTGTCAACCGAACGCAATAATACTCGTCGTTTACAGATGACGCGACGCGTAATTTGCATTCGTTTTTTTATTTCTTCTTCGTCACTGTAAATATAAGAGGACTTCATTGTGATATTTAAACGACGACGACGACGATGGGTTGTGTAAATGCGCATTCAAAGTTCGACGCGGATGTTCGTCAGAAGCGGTTTACTTTTGTAGGAATCGCTTATAATAATATTTCAATGGCAATTACACTGCACGTATGATCTCTCATGAATAATACCGCAGATTTTTTAAAAATTTGTGGAGCAGTTTATTATTATCATTTTTATTTTTCTTCTCCGCGTTTTAGCTAAAGCGAAATCAATGAACAAAAAATTAATAATAGTATATAGCTAAACAAATTGATACTGCTCGCGGTGTAGGACACTATTGAAATTGGGTCGATGGAAAGGCGGAATACAGGGGTTAATTTAGTATGTATACTAATATGTATATATCGTTTAGTAAAAAAACTAAACGATAAATCAATCAAAACGATTCTGAATGGAGTAATATTAATATATGTTATAAAATACTATTAAAGTCGTAGTTATTCGCCCCGTTTCCAATGTTATTGAACATTCAACGAAAACGTCACAAATATAAATATGTCATTTTCACACATATGTATTGCCATTTGTTGTTAGTTTTTTTGAAATTCTATAAAATAACTGTTGTGAATCTAGATATTTTAATTGTTTTCATACAAAGTACTACAGGTCGAAAATTCCGCATATTTTAAGATACGATGCGAATCGTTCCGAAAAAGAACTTGCGGGTGAAATTTCGAAAATGTCGATAAACGTTTTCAATAAAGTACCACCGAATAGAAACGCCACATATTCTGATATATAAACCTACCCGCCGTGGTAAAGACTCGCAGGTAAGAACGCGTTCTATAGTTGAAAATTAACAATCGACCGTTTTGTGTAAAACGTTGCGAAACCGTTATGGTAGTACCGGTGCTTGTGACAAGAACCAATGTCAAATTAATTCGATAGAATATTTTATTTGTACACCGGCACTGGACGAGTGATAATAAACGCACCTAAATCCGCATCCGGGTAATTTATCAAGGTTAGTTGTACGTATCGTTTAACCGCCGTGTATCTATACGATATTTTACACGGAGTCACGATCGAATTATCAATATTAAATTACAAACAAATTTAAAAACGTTCTCCATAAATAACCGTGGCGAATGTTGTTTTATCGTGGAAGTCGTTTGAACAAAAAAAAAAAAAATAATAATAATAATAATTAAGTTAACGGATTTTCGATATTTTTATAGTGCCATAAAAACGGCTCGATATGATCATAACAATTTTGCGGACTTTTGTGAAGCCGAAAAATGTGTATCCGAATAAAACGACGAGCTGATCTTTATGACGGGTGTGCCTTTGTTGATGACGGGAAGTTGGGAAGGTAGGATACATAAAGTTATACTCAACGATAATTTATTGCATAGTTCGGTTAAACATATTTTGAAATATCGTCGTTTTTTCGATTCACGCGAAAACTTGAAGTTAAACGCTTACATACAAATTCTACATTACGCTCAACTTATTGTTACGGCGCTAACTATAACGATTTATCTCGCGTGAAATTGTCAAACGGTTTTGGTCGGCCGAAGGAATATTGCATCCGCATAAAAACAAATAAAGGAAACTAAGGAAAATTGGAATGTGTCAAATAGATAACGCGAATAAACGGCAGGAAAACCTATTTATATCTAGACAGAACTAGCATAAGTTTGTTTTTATTGAATTAAAAAACCAATATATTGACAGTAACAGTCGTACGATAACTTACTGTTATCGTTATCGAGGGATAATATTCTCGGTTTTTCGATAATTTTTTTAAGAAAACAGATTTCGCACAAAATGTATTATCATTAAGAGAAAACCGCAAGTGAAATATCAAAAATAAATCGCCTTTTACCCACGATTTCAAGACGAAATTCGCCACCGTAACCTCCCGCGAAGTATCGACTCGGAGTAAAGACGAAAAGCTGTTCGCATAGTTATACAGAGACATACGAAAATAATAACCGAGTATAATTAATATTATGGCAACTCGTCGTTTGACCGAACCGGGAACGTTATCGGCTGTCGTTCCCGCGAATATTTCGCACTAGTGACCGGAGTTAACCGCGCAGCGTTTCGATAATTGGGTCAAACGATAAATTCGCGTAGGTAACTGTTGAAAACGTGTGACGTAATTATTATGTACCTACTTACAACATTTCAAGACCAACGTTTTTTTTTTTTTTTTTTATTTTTTTTTTTGCGGCGTGTTTGTCATACGATATTGTTACCGATAAATTGCGCGCCACTTACACCTAATTAAGTGAAATGACTCGGTGCGCGCGAGAGACCGTTAAAAAATCGACTTGTCCTCATGTTCGACCGCTCTTCTCTTGTAACGTCGGCCGAGACGAGAGACACCTACACGCTATTTAATATCATTCTGACGACGCGTTCCCACGGACTATTCCTGTTTTCATCACCGATTAAAAAACATAAATGCATATATATAATGTATGACAGTGCTAAAAAAAAAATCACAAATCACAGAGCTCTGCGCAATATTATATTTCACGGGCGAATTGCAAAAAATAACCGGTGCAGCTCCGTTCGAAAAAAAAACATGATATTATGAAACTGATATTGTTATTTTTTATTTTCGTAGGCCGACTCCGGTGGCGATAAAATATTAGAAAATTAAATAAAAAAAAAATAAAAAAAAAAAAATGAAAATCTACGCATATCTCCGCGATAAAATAATATACGAACAAATGTTATTTAATTAAATGTTCCGCGATCGTATTATATGATAACGTTTTCTGTTTTTTTTTTTGGTTGTTTTTTTTTTTTCATTAAAAAGATTTGGCTGAACGATAAAATACATAAATGGTTCCGCGTTTGTTCAGTTCGAAATGTATCGTATGTAGAAAAAATAAAAAGTCACGTATACTTATCAGTTATCATAATGTATCGTTATTATTTATTTATGACGAATAAACATCGTTATCGACAGATAAGCTGTAATATTATTATCGTGGTAAATACAAAACTATACTGTATGTGCAATGCAAGACTTGGCGAAGTCATAACGAACAGAATCGGCTCAATCAAGTTAAATTAATTTAAAAAAATAGTTACCGAAAGTATAAACATGTTAAAAGTAATTTTATCTAGCTAGCCTATTCACAAAAATGTATATGTTAGTTTTCAATTTTTAGATTTTGAACTGAGCGACGAATGGATTGGTTTTACAATGATGTTTTTTTTTTTTTTTTTATTGCGTTCAAAAATTCTACCAGAAATTTTGTTCCGAATTATCAAGTATAGCACTTTTTCTCAAAGGGAATTTTCCTGGGGTGGTACTTTATAGAAGTTATTTCTTGATTTATTCGGGGGTTTTCATGATAAACGGGAAAAACCGGAAAAAAACGTAGGTAAAAAATATCGTCAAATCAAAACGAAGAAATTTATAGAGATTTTATACGAATAGATGTGCTCAGTATAAGTCATAGAAGCAAGGTTTACAAATCGTTTTGCTCTTCAACGCTCGGTTTCCGAGTAATATTATCAGTCTCGATACTTTTTGATTAGCCCTCGTATATTATATTTCCTTCAATATCCTACATTCCCAACTTCTTACATACAAGAGTGGTCCACCCATCATGGAAGTTTGTCCATCTTTTTTATTTTTATTTTGCACACTTATGTTATTTTTATAGTAAAATGAATCGGGAATTCGTTATTCTTATTTTTTTTAAATATAAAATTATATAACCTTTATATACTTATTTTAAATTCTGAATTCAACGCACATAATTAAGTTCAGCAGCAAAACAATTTTTATTTATATAATGGTAAATATAAAATAATTGGCGTAAATGTGTTTTAAATCTAATATTGTGTAAATGGAAAGAAATCGAAACGATCTTAACGCGATGCAATTAAAATAACTTGTTTTGTGTATTTAGTTAAAGCAAACGAAAAAATTCGAATTAAAAGATAATTTAGTGAAAACAATAGGAAATGAAAAGATTAAAATTAAACCAAACTTAATTTTTCTCCTCAACTATTATATGCAATGCATATTATTATAATACAATTTTTTTTTAAAAAAAAGAAAGTTATTAGTTAATTAAACAAATAAATTTCGCGTTTACCTACATAGTGAATCGGATTCTTACTCGTTATAATATCTCAGCGGGCACGCGGTTTTATGTAATAATAAGGAAATTGAAATTCATTTTTTGTTTTATCGTGACGATATGATAACGGCAATGAAAGTTTGTACGGTACGGAAATATTAACAATATTACAAGGCGATAAATCTCCGCAGCATAAAAAATCGTACACCGAATTTAATACTCGTGTACCGTGAAAATCTAATATGCGAGAGAAATAAATCAAAATTGTTTGATTTATTATTATAGGCAATGGAATTAAAATAACCGACGGACATGCGAATATTGCGATTTATTTGGCTTACAAACGAGCGATTTTTTTCCTACCAATTTTTAGTGTTTTTTTTTTGAAACCTTTTTTCAAAAAAACGTCTCTATTATTATTTCCACGTTTAAAACCGTAACCCAATAATATTCTTTGGCCGAAGCTGATTACTTAATCATCGCGTTTCCGTCGTAAAAACGTACCACGTTGTTTGCAAATCGAATCATCGAAGTCAATATACCTCCCACATTGAGCCCGACGCCAAATCAAGTTTTTCTTTAACTTCTTGTATATACTTCACGAATATAATTATAAAACCAATATTAACTTATGGTTTTGAAGTAGGAATAATTTATGACGGTCCGGATTGAATATAAATTATGAGAAATTTTGAGGATATAGTACCTACCAAGAAGAATACTTAGACCAGTACTATATATAGCCGGTATAAGAGATAAACGCGAAAATAAAGGAAATTACCAAAGTATTTTATATAGCAAAGTAATACATTATTTTATACATTTCGAGCATTTTAAACTATTATCACATAAATCGTTTTCGTCGTCACTTTACTGCGGTAGACGTATAAAAATATCACAAAAGTTCCTACAATTTTAAAATAGGACCCAACTCGCAGACAAATCCACTACGTATAATAGGCAGCATTGTATTTTTGTTCCTTTTGAAAATTACGTTTATCCAACGCATAATATTACGACGTAGGTATACATAAAAGATATATTTTTTTTTCATGTTAATACATAAAGAGACTTTTAAGTATACAATTTACAAGTAGTAAGCATGTTAGCGTTATTTTCGCGTCATGCCCGCAGAGGTGTAAAAAAGATTTTCAAACGATGTGAACCGAAATGCGTGACCCCGCAATCCTTCCGGTACAGTTAACAAGAACTGTAAGTCAATTAAAACCGCGAATACCTATAGTGCCTTGGTAGTCAAAAGTTCAAAACGCGCGCATTGAAATTCGATGAACCGAATAAAACACGCGTACATCGCAGTGATGTGTGAAAAAATTAAAGGAAATGTACAATTATTTGAAATAATTACATTTTATAGACGATAAGAAAATGCTTAGGCTTTGTAGGATACTGATTTTTATAAAACGTTCTAGCTAAGACAAAATATTGATCGAAGTACAAAACTCATAATATAATATACGCGTGAGACGATTGCAATGGGCTTGACACGCGCTTGCGTATGCATGAGCCAGAATGACCAGTGATGAAATTGGTGATGGAGTGGAATCCGTTTGGAAAAAAACTTCTAGAAAGGTCCGGAAAACGGTAGAAAAAAATAAATAAAGGATGTGAAATTGTTATTCTATGGCGGTTCAAAATGGACAGAAACAGTAATGGATATAGATAATGACGGAGGGTTGGACGTGAGATGTGATGGTCTTTAGAGGCCTAGGAACTGAATGAGAAGAAAAAAGAAGAAAAATGATTTTAAAACGAACAAAAAACGTTGAAATCGAGCGACGACAGTCTATTAAATCTTATATATATTTTCATTTGTGCGATATTTAATTAAACATTAACAACAGCTTTGCTGTTATAAACGAACAAACAATGCCATTTTTTAATATTATTATTGTACAGAACCTTGGGCTACTTTTTTTTGACCGTAGTTATACAAAACAGACGATATTATAATAATATTAGTGTATCAGTATATTATACACATATGCTAATTATTTCTCGCGGTGTTATTGATATATTTTTAAAAACTATTTATCTATTTTAAATGGCCGATAGCCTTGGTTTTCGATATATTATATTATTTATTCTGTACACTGAATAGATGACTAAACATATTTCATGTACGAGAATAGAATAACCCTAAGATTTTTACGAAAATTTCGTTTATTTTGTTTTCGCGAGCTTGGTAGAAATAATATACGGTTCTATTGAAAGCGGGGTACGTATTTGTTAATCGAAGAGTAAAACAATGCAATACCTACTCGTCGCGATGGCTCATTCGAATAATGTAGAAAACCAGCCCACCAGACTATTCTAACCAGCATAAGACACTAGCTCTATTTTCATTTTCTAATTTTTAATAACATGTTACGTGAATACAGATTACGCGGAAACCAGACAGAAAAAACAAATATCCCGAGAAAAACTGAAACAGCGGTGAAGTGACCATCTCAAACTCCCGGAAATAAGAGATGGACAACAACTAAGAGGACTCGGGGGCACGAAGAGATGTAATATAGAAATAAGCATAAATTAATAACAATATCAATCTATTATAATACAACGTTATGCCTTGTTTTGCTAAATTGTTAACGTTACAGTTATACGCGAAAAATATTACAAAATAATGTTGATTTCCTTATTAAAATGTACACAGGAGTTTTGCTAATCCAACGAATTATTATAGACGTATTATCTTATGGTCAAGGGAAATAATAATCGAGAGATTTAAATTGAATTTAATAAAAACCACGTATTCGTTAAATTGTTATGCGTTAATTTTTGTTGTGGAATTTAGAAGTAAATTTTGAATAAAAGCAACCCAGCAAAGTTAAAAGTTGCAATTTTTTGAATAAGTGATGCGTATAAATTCAAAAAACTTCCTAACGATTACCGGCCATATTTTGGTTTTCATATAATATTAAACAAACAATACTGAAATGTCAACCATTTAATAAAATACGTTCAATAATTATTTAGGTCTATGGAGAATTTGCAAACGGAGACGTTGAACTTATAATTTTGATGCTTTTCTAAGGCAATACGTTACGTTATACAAAATAAAACCAAGGGAATTGGTAGGGCAAAGGACACGTAGCTTTAAAAAAAAAACGAAATATGCTTGCACTTATGTACTAAAAATAGGTTCTAAAAACAAACGAATATACTTCGCACGATGGGTGGATCACTTTTGTAGGTGAGAATTTGGATGGTAAAGTGGAAATTGAATATATATCTGTACGCAACGATTTTCCATTGCTGACGAAAATCGACTCTGAGCCGGACTCGGTTATACACGTATTCAAAGGCTGTTATATTTACGATTTGAATCAAATATATTGATCAAATTTAATAAGTGAACAAACATCATTGTAAAACCAATATATTTATTCCTCGTTTCACTCAGAATCTATAATTTAGATGAAAAATATTTTTTTATTAATTTGATTATAGTATGGTATATAAATTAATTAGATTGATAATTATTTTTCTTGTTTTCCATTTTTTAAATTAAACCGTTAATAATAGATTTTAAATTCTAAGCGGAGCGTGGAATGTGTTGGTTTTACATTGATGTTTATTTTTAATTCTTTTTTCTGTGAACCACTTTTCTACCAGAAATTTTGTTTCGATTTTCAAGTGTAGCAATTTTTCTGAAAGTAAATCTAACTGGGATGGTACTTTAAGGAAGTTATATTTTGCTTTTCTCATGGATTTTCATAATAAATGGGAAAAATCGGGAAAAAACTGGAAAATTTACGGAATTTATTATTTTCAAATCGTAAATTTTACGGCCTTTCAAAAATGGTATAACCAAACTCCGCTCAGGATCGTTTTTCGTTTTGACCGCGCAAAGTTAATATGCGAATACTGGAATTCCTCTGCCTACTTATTAGGTATGTATGTAAGAAAAAAAACAAAATTTTAATAACAATAATTAATAACTGGTCGCCATATCAACCCAATCGAAATCAACTAAACATTTTAACTTTATTAACTCGTCGATAGCCTTGCCGTTAATAATAGCTAATATTACATATAGTACTATATACAGATATTTCTAAACTAGAAATAATATAGACCAAGACCAATGCGGTCCAGACTTCAATGCGCGCGCGCTCGTATCGCTGACGAAAACAAAATGTCGACTTTTACACACGACTTAATAATAATGACGTGTGCGTATTATACCTGTCTAATATAATACAGGTAGCTGCAATCTATATTCAACAGCTATAATAATAATAATAATAATTGCTTTTTTTTTTTTTATGTCGATAGGTCGTCGATTCTGCTACTTACATGTTTCGCTGATTATGGTTTACGACCTTCGGCGATGTCGGGGTTTTTTTCTTTATTATTATTATTATTATTATTATTATGTTCGATCTAATGAAGTGATATAACTTAAAAGATGAAAAAAAAAAAAAAAAAAAAATAAAACGAAAGATTCGAAAGAAGCACGGCGCGATCGAGAGTGAAAATGACGCATATGTCTGATATCTGTCGCTCGTCCATTAGGTCAGAAACTATGATTTTTTTTTCCGTTTCGTCATCTACGCGCGCGCGATGTAAATGCAATTCATAAACACGCCGTGCGAATATTATACACTTATATAGTACGTACCTACGCACAGAAATTCGCATAATATGTTTTTTAATAATATATATTATGTACGATTTCGGGTCCGCGAACCGATTTTCGAGAGAGACAAATAAAGGTCATGCGTCGTTAATAATATTATTTTAAATGGGTACGCGCTGTCCGACCTTGCGGGTATTACACCGGGTGGATTATTAATGGCGACTTAACCGCGCAACGTACACCGGGGCAACGTATTACAATACACTCGACACAGAGGTGTTTTACTTTTTTCTTTCCCGTCGCCCGAAAATTTCGTTTAACACTTGCAATAGTAATACGGTATCCGGTTAAACATGACCCCCCCCTCCGAAATTTGGTCAGAAGATAAAACAAATTATTATAGATAATGTGGGTGGCGATTGTGTTTTTTTTTACAGACATAAAACATGTATAGGTACAATAAATATTGTGAACAAACAGTGATAGTTTTTTTTTTTCGGTACCGGTGATATTGTCTACAAAATCCTAAATATTATTATCCGCTATCGTAACTCGCTCAAAATAATCTCACTGTCTCTTGTATAGCTGCAGATATCACAGTTGTATCGTTATCGTAAAAATGATTAATTTAGTGATGATATTTGTAAGCAGAGAAAATCTCAATTTTACACGCTATTTGCGTGTATTTTGTTTCGATAAAATACCGATAGCTGTACCATAGTTTCATACAATTTAATTTTGTACAAATTTAAATTGTTAGTTTAATTCCCAACATTTTCGAATTTCTGAAATGGCTTAGATACATATTGGTCCCAAGAAAAAAGGGCTCAATATTCAATATTTTATAGTTTTCAATACATGCGAATTACATTTTGGAAAAACATTTACTTTTACAATTAAAGTTAATTATCAATACACTACACACATTCATTTTTATTATTATTTTAACTCAAATTGATTCTAAAAAAATAATACTTGACTCGATTTTACTAGATTTAAAATAACCAAAACTACCCTACCCTAAAATTACATAAAACAAAATTATTTTGAAATAAAAAATTGACTTTAGCCCTTCATCCCTAGAACTGAAGATATCATTCTGTATCAATCGTAATCAAACATGGTATATTTACACTGCATAAAAGATGCGGATAGTTCGTCTGATGGTACATTATTTGAAAAATATTTCGAAATTCCCAATATTTTTTCAAGAAATTTCTGTTCGTGTTTTTTTTTTTTTAACTTTTAGGTTACTAAAATTGCTTCAATTTTTTAAATTAAAAGACAGGAAATTTTCGGCTAGAAGTAATTTATTTGAAGTCAAATGTATTTAAATATTATCGATTTACCCATAGGTATTTTTTTTTTTATATTAGCAACAAATAAAGAAAGACTAATTACTGACTACATTGCTCCACTCAGAATCGTTTTTACGTTTTTAATGATTTATCATCGCATACAGCACAGCAACTAAATTTCCCTATATTATATTATTATAGCTACCTTCCAAACTACACACACCTATAACAGTGGCCTGTTCACGGTGCGAATTATGTCCATATGTTATGAATTATAATTTGCATAAAAAGCAAATATTATCGAGAAAAAATCAACCCTTGGAGGAGTAAGAAAAACGCGTGAAATTGGGTTTTTACTTTTATTATTTTTTTCATTGGAGTCTAGTCGTTTTATTTGAAAATATTGTGTTTAACATACTACCGATAGCCCGTATAATGGCGTATATAATATTATTATAGTTTTCGGTTCGGCTCACGTGTGCAGTTAACGGTTTTTACAAAACGCATGCATCCGAGTCGTAACTCGCGATTATAATATTACAATACGACCATTTCGGGTTTACCGATTTAATAATATATTTTTGTACTAGAAGAACGATAAAGTTCGAGGGATTACGCGAATGAGTATGCACAGTATGTTATTGGTGCGTGTGTTTCATAAACTATACTGTAATGTCTACGCCGTTTTAAAACGTGAGTAAACGTTCCACGTTCGCGTGCGGCAATAATAAAATATAAAAAACAAATTATTGTTCATACAATGGAATCCGCCGCTTAAAAAAATATGTAAAAACAATATGTTCTCCGCCGTATCGAAACTAAGTATGAATTTAAAAAAAAAAATGTTAAAAACTTGGTAATAATTTCGAAAATTGATGTTGATTAACTGTAATTTAATTCGAAAAAGATGATTTTATATCATCGAAATAAGGAATAAATCATCGTACATCTATCAAAACAACGTACTCGGGGTATATTATTGTATCATTCAAAGTGCATTTTCGTTGTTCCGTGTTTTTGAAGCCAAGAAGAAATCAGTATTATGTATACTGTTCCAGATACATCGTATTTATACCTTATTTTTAAAAACCATTACACGGACTTGCCACTGATGGATGAGATTTTTCGTTAATGGATACATTTTAATATTGAATCACTCTCGAGTTAAAATTAAACGGACAAAAAATAGATAACATGTTGAGCATTCGTCATAATTCCATTTTATCTTATTGTAAGATAACATTGTTATATAACAATAATCCTTATGCATTTTAAAGCAATAATAAATCAAGGTACCTATTCCAAAAATGAATCAGAAAAACTTGCTCATCAGTTCGAATATAAAAGTGTTAGTAAATATTTTCTAAATGTACTGAATACAATGAATAAAATAGGTAATTATTGCGTTTGAATTACTAAATTGATTTAAATTAACAAAGTTTAGGCCTGGAAATTTAAATAAAAAAAAAGTTAATATTTTTACAGTTATGTTTTTTTTTTCAAATCGAAAAAAACTTTATTGATTAGTAAAAATACTCAGATTTTCTCATGCGGTATCTAAAAAGATGGGCATTTTCACTTGATGATACTCTACTAGAAAGATTTGTAGATTCCCGACAGTTTTTCGACATTTTTTTTTTTAAACCGTCAACAAATATAGCGATGCATCTGATTCGGTACTGTTGATTTCTGTACCGTTACTTTGGCTACAATGGAAAAAACCACGAATAATACTAAATAATCATTTACCGAGCTGAGAATTGTTGTTTGATTGCGACGATTTAACTTTGATTTCAGCGTTAGACTAATTAATAATATTATAACAATATTTCCTATCACAATACATACAAACGCCGCCTACTCGCGGTTCGAAGTAGGTTATATGTTCGTCTTCTATACATATTTATTGTTTTTAAACTCATATACATTTAGTTATAATTAATATTTGTGAAAATATACATAACCAATTGTTAAATTATGTATATTTTTTAAACTAATCGTGAGCAAACATTTTTTTCGCCGCGTTCGTATTTATTATAGCCTGAAGTCGTGTCGGTTCGACACGTCGAATCGATTGGCATACTGCGTACGAGTGCGTCTATGTGGTTAAATTTCAAAACTATTATTCGTTATTAACATTCAAGTGCGTTCTGGGGATTTATTGTTCTTGTCGTCGCTTAACAATAATATCAGTATGTGCTATTTGTCGGCGTTTTAAATGTTTTATTACATTTGTTTAAAGTTAATACTGCTCACGGCTTGGTCACTGCAGTTATAGCCTTACAGGTGGGTATAATCGCTAAGATAGGATATACGGGGGTTATCCCACGAAAATTATTGCGTAAATTCTGTTTTTTTTTTTTTTTTATATACATTTAAATAATGAACATTGTTGTTATTATATTCATTCAAAAGCAGGGTTCGATTACCTATTTTGATTATCTAGAGAACTATCCCAATGGGTATACCTCCGTGGAGCACCTTGTACAAGGTAATTTAGTTTATTTTCTATAAAAATATTTGATGAATCATTTTAAACCAAAAAAAAAAAAAAAAACGACTTATTACAAAGTAGTATGAGTCGTGTTTTTGTCCAAAATTACTCAGAAATCTAAACAAAGAACAAAAAAAAAAAAAAACTAACATAATTCTGGTGGTGAAATACTGAAAATGTCGATAAATGTTTTAAATTAAATACCGCCGGGCAGAAACAACGCGTTTTTTGAGGTATAGTGTGAAACAAACGGAACAAAACCAGCAAAAAGTGTTTGAAAATACAATAAACACGAAAAGCGACTTTTCGGGAAAAATATTGAAAATGTTTTCGCATAAAATACCGATGAGCGAAAACTCCGGACATTTTATGGTGCGCCGTGAATAAATCTGAGCATTTTTACTAACCGGTACGCATGTTTTCCGAAGGGGGGATGGGGAAGTTCGCACATCTTCGGAAATCTCGGTCGTTATACTCGGAATCTAAAATAATATTACGACGCGTTGTTTTTATCGCACTCGTCACGGGTGACCGTCATTGTCATAATATGATATTATGGAAAACTCTCGCGGCCACAACTATGTGAGTGTTTGATGCCTGTGCACGGGCGTACCGCGTTCACCACGAGTAACGCGAAAGTATAATAGGTGCATTTTTAGTAAAAGTGATGTTAATGTCAAGGTCGAGGTCGTGAAAATAATATTATCCCGGAGGGGAAAGCGAGAAAACAAAAATATAATAATGGTTATGTTATGTCGACGGCGGCGGCGGTGATCATAGAAAAATAAAAAAATTGCTTAAAAAAAAAAAAATGATGACTTGTAACTCCGCGTATGGGTACCTACCTACCTATACATAAAATAATAATAACTCGTTTATATTATAAAAATCGAGCGGCGGCAGTTTGGTCACAATCTAATCAATTTGCGATTAATTACTGATTATATTATTATCGTCGTATCGAGGATAAGGACTCGGATCTTTAGCCCCGAACCGCAACAGTAATAATATAATGGACAAGGGTAAACGCTGCAAAAGAGTGCACAGAATAAAAATGTTAATGTCCTTCGTCGACGGTTACGACGTGTGCACAGTAATTATTTTTACATATACACTATACTCTTTTGATCTAAAAAATATCGTAAACATTACATTATTATTTTTTTTTTAATAATCGTTTTTTTTTCAGTCACCCAACTAAGGGTTTTTTTTGGGTGTCCGGCTACACCGATAAATCGTATTTACGGAAAACGCATTTATAGGGAAAAAAAAATTCCTATTTATTTGTAATTTGGAGGATTTTAATTAAACCGATACCTTCCTCGAAAAAACCCAAGTAAACCTCCAGTACTTATCGAACTATTTAAGAAGATCGTATAACTATTTAAGAAGATATACGAGCTTTGTTGTGGCGTTTGGAGTCTAGTATAATATTCACGGGCGTTCTTACGACAGGATTTGGAGGATGGATTTCTCCATAACGTTTTTGCTTTTTTGTATTTTTTTTTTTGTTCATTAGGTATCAGGTATTGTTATACTATTATTATCATTTTTTTGTTGTAACGACATCACGCATAACTGATATTTAATAGTAATTGATAAACCATGTTTCACTTTTTATCATTTTCTACATTAACAATATGTGTCGTAGTAATAATATACGTAACACATAATAATTAATAACAACAAGTAGGTAAGTGGTAACATAGAACAAATGATATTTCATCTATTCTATGGTGTTAATATTGATTAAACATAATTAATAACTACGTTCAACATTTTCAACTAGTTGTCATAAAAAATCTAAGGAATTCGATGACGTAATCGATAAAATAATGAATAAGGGGACATTATTTTTCTTAATTTTATGAAATTTATACCACCGTCTCAGTGGGTCAACATTACTGTTAGTCCTCCATTAATACTGAAGAATTTCTTGATACCTTGGCTCGAACATCAAGAAAAATAGATAGGTCTTATTTCGTAAATGTATGCACTAAAAGAAAATAGTTTAAATATTAAGTATGGTAATAACTATATATTTGGTATGTATTAAAATTTAATGTAACTTGTAATTTTATTGCGGTTACTTATTTTACATGCTTTGTAAATTTCTTCGTGAATTTTCTATACAAAGGAAAGAGAATCTAAAATAAAATCTCCGTGAGATAAACGGGAATAATACAATTATACAACTGTTATTTAATGAGAAAAAAAAAATCTTAGCGATCTAAAATAATGAAATTTTCAAAATGTATTTTGGGTCTTTTGAGTTTTTTTTTTCAATTTACAGGAATATAATATTTTTTCGGACCTTGCAAAAACGCTCGAAAATGTTGAAAGAACGTAAGTATTAAGGCAGTAAATTTTTCTTATGGAAGTATAGGACGTATCATAGAAAATCAGTAAAAACATATCAACGTTTACAGAACTAGAACGAAACTCGTAAAAATCACGAACAAGATAGTAATACATTATTATTTAGAGTTGAATACTATATAAAACATTACGTTCAATTTAAATCTAGAAAAAAACCCAAACTCTGTTCAGAATCGTATTTCGATTGTAGCGATTCGCGAGATTTAAACTAAATTACCTTACGATAGTATTATTGTATCCTATAATATACAAGGCACTACATTTCGGACTTTACAACAACTAATGCAGGCTTACTCGTTCATAGGCAGTCGTTTCGTTTCATTAATTATTATTGTTTTCTCGACTTTTCTCCGGGTCCGGGTTAAAACGGGTCGAACGCAATAAATGATGCAATATACGCAGGGCGTTAGTGGGAAATCGAAGAAAAAAAAATACGGTTCGAGGACATGCCGGCCGCACAATGCGTGTGATACCGATTATTATTGTTGTTTTTTTTTATTTTTTATATTGGTGTTTAATTGGTGCGGTTTAATGCAACGACGCCGGTATATAAATTTAGGTATACCGATATTCATATAATAATATGATGAGGTTCAAGGCTCGTGATACCGGAAATTTCGTAACACCGGACCTACGATTTATACGTATCGATACGTTTCGGATAAGGAGAAAAAAAATCGTACACAGAAACCGCGACTGTTATTTTAGGTATATACCATTAACCGAGTACGTACACAGGATACAGAGTGATCGACATAACGTAAAACGCTCATTATCTCGGAAATTATTGACTTTTTCGTGAAATTTGTTTCATATACGATTAATGAAACACGTCATGCAGCTCTACAATATGTTTGTTTTTTGTCATACTTATACACTTATTTTTCAGGGCGAAACAACTGCATACTTTTGATTTTCAAACAGTGACTCAAATTAAAAGTTCCATAAATTCGCGGAGGTTTAGACAAATGTCGGCGTTGACATTTTCCGTCAATCCACTGAGGGTATATTTCCACTTTGAGTTTGACGTTTTATGAGTATAGTGGAGCACTTTAACATTCAAACGCCACGAGCCGAACAGCCGTACAAAATAATGAAGTTCCACGATGATATTCTCTTCCGACGCAAGAACCGTCAAACTTAAAAATAAAATATCACGTAAACGGATTGACGAAAATTGAAAACCTGAACTCCAACATTTTTTTAAACTAAAACTCCGTCTATCTAATTCTGGATTTTCGGAAATCGAAAGTAGACATTTAGCACTCGAAAAAAAAAGGCGTTAAAAAATAACGGTAATTTTAGAGCCGTTCGTTTTATAATACGAATTCCGAAAAAAAAAAAAAAAAAAAAAAAAGAAAAGCTAATTGCGTTTCGAAATAAAAAGCGTCTTACGTTGACTGCCCTGTATACCTGTAAACGGCCGTGCGTTACGTATGCATTGCGAATATCGTATAATATTCTCGAATATTTACGAATATGTATGTACATGTAATTATTAAAATAGTCGTCCGGTAAAAAGATATCAAAACAAATAATATAGTCTCGCGCAAACCGAGAACGTTCGAACGCCGCAGATCAAATTGACCGCAGCGATGTATGATATTATTATATTATAATCATAACCTCGAAATCCACTTTGAAATTACTGCAATAATATTATATAATTAATAATAATATAATTTAAATGTACCTACCATTTTTTTTTTCAATTATAATTGCATAGCACGTACGTGTATGCATTTTACGAAATTAATATCCAGTTTATGAAAAAAAAAAAAAAAAAAAAAATTACTTCCCGTACACACGGAGATCATCATCATTATCATCATCATCGTTAAAATAATGTTTACCATTTATCGCGTTAAATGAAATACGTGTAATAGATACTTGTTAATAATATTATACAGGTAGGTATTGTAGAAATGATTCATATTTATTTTTAAATCCAATTATTTATATGTTTTTTTTTTTTTTTTTGTTTATAACCGTGAAAACGATCTGTTTAAAATTGCAATAATTATATATTGGTATTGGGCGATTTTTGTTTTACATGTATGTACAAATTGTTCAGGCATTCGCGTGTAACGTACCTATACGTATACGTGTAATTATGAGAACAGGATCATGACTCATAATTACGATTTTGTTATATAATTCAGCGGCTCTGCAGCAGACACGATCGAAATTATATTCCGACACAATGTGCACACGGTTTTTTTTAATATTCATTAGTGATGGCGATACTAATTATCGTTATAAATTATATTAATTAATACATTAATTTATGTATTATTTATATATTAAATTATAATTAATTAATTATACTAATTTTATTAAAACGGAGTTTTATATGATAGAACGCGATGGAAAAAAAACAAACATTAATCGTTGGCTCGCGATAAAAAAAATTCTTGCTTTTTCCTTCCATTTTTCAAACGTATATTTTATTCGGTTTTTAATGCGCGTTTTTTCTCTAACTGATTTAACGTCGATGCCGCCGTTTCATTATTTAGCGAGATATTCAGAAAGTCGAAAAAGTGCCATTAAATATAATTAACTTAAAACGTCGTCACCCAAAACAATATTATTATCGCTTGAATCCCAGACAGCGTTTTTTTTTTCGTCCTCAGATTCCGCAGGTGATTCGATCGCGGTTAAAATAATCGACATCTTTATTTTGAAAAAAAAAAAAAAAAACTTTAAACATTTCATTGTAGTCAGAAACCAATATGCGAAACATAAATTACTCGTGGTGTCTTATAAAAATATAATAATAATAAAAATAACGTTAAAGGTGCACATTTCGTGCGCCTAACAAACTGCGTTGGCTTCCTCGTTCCGCTCGCGGAGTCTCGATATACGGATAAAAAAAAAAAAATGGTCGGAAAGAGAGGTCGGGTGAAATTTTTTTTTTACCAGACTCGTTATATTACTATTCACTATCGGTTATTATATTATATTATATGTAACATAAATATGTATAGTTGCAGCTTTCTATATACCTACACGTGAGTACCAAACGAGATGGCTGTTTAAGCGGCGATGCAGTATAATATTTTATATATGTTATGCGATGCAGTTGCTCCCATTTCATATATTACATTTTTTGACGATAAAAAAAAAAAAAAATACCCGTATAACAGTTGAGTTCCGTTACTAGAGTCAAATTTCTCTCCTCCCCCGTCTTTTTCTTGTAAAATAACGAATAACCGAATACTATCGTACAATAATGCAATACCATGTACCGCGGTCTCAGACGATAAGGTCAGGGACACAAGGCCTATCAAATGTTGTCGCTTAGACATGCAGTTTTAGTACCCACCTATTTTATCCGTTGTTTCAATAGCGCGACGAGCGTGAATTTGTACATTTTGTGGTTGTATTGAAAAATCATACCCAATCATAATTAATCGAAATTAAATAAATTAATAATTATAATGTTATATATTTAAAAACACAACATTGAATTGAACACAAAATTCGTATATTTTCGACGTTTAAATATATTTCGATAAAGTTCAGCAATAATGGAAGCCGTGATGGCTCGTTTGGTATCATACGTTTATTTGTTTCCGCGTTGGTTTTATACTTTGCACAACAATAGATATCACTTACACCTTATCGCTACTGCGGCCACGTGACAAGACGCTATTCTCTGATTGGTCAATGTTCAAATCCAACAAGGAACCAAACAAGGAAAATAGGACATGTTCTATCACGAAATTCAGCGCGCGATCGCGCAGTGAACCAATTACGAGATCCATCACAGCATCCAGCAGGCAATTTACAGTAAAATAAGCGTTATGTGCGGTGGGTTTAAGACCGTACTATTTACTATAACATAGTACAATACTATAGTTATATTGTATATCAAATACTTCAAAAAATATGATTTATCATAAAAACAGTGAGAACACATCCTTGGTGCTAACTTCATGCATGTACAACATGTTTTCGTCTCCATGGATTCGTTTTGGACGGATATGTATTGGGTTATCCAACAGTTCAACATTAACACAATGCAACTGAATAGTGATATTCATATTGAAATTCAACGAAACTTTTATTATTTTAATCGGTTTATAAAATAATTCTAATTCCCGAGTTTGAGTTCATAGGATCGACCACAGAGCAATGCTAAAAGTTAAGCACAAGTAGGTAGCGAGATAAAGATAAACACTTACGGTGCAAACGCCTATATGTCCGTGCAAAATTCGACCGAAAATCGTATGTAAATCAAGATTTTACCACCCCGCTTGTCGTTTCGGATTTTTATTCATTTAATTTTTTTCATTCCCTGTTTTTATCGGATATTTTACGACGTATTATAATAATAAAACATTCGACTTATGCATGCATACATTGTCTTTGTGTGACCGAACGTTATACCAAAAAAGGATCGACCCGGCCGTAGGTAATGATATTAATATTATAATAATAATTATTGTATTATATACAAAATACAAAGGACGTATAGGTGCCTATATACACTTAGGTTCAAGGACTCGGAGGTTGCGCGGGACGCAATATTCGAAATAACCGTGTGCGTAAGACATTTATAATATTATAATATTATATTTCTGCGGCGAGGATATTATTATAATAATAATGTGAGCTGCAGCTGTTGTCGAGTCGGTTATAAAAAACATATTGTAATAACAAGTACGCTATTTTCAGCCACGTGCACCTCTATTCGATCGCGTACGTATACATACCTAGGTACCGCGACCCGTTGACCTATGATCAAACGCTCGTTTCGCGTTTAAACGTTAATTATACAAATATCATACTAACAAGCTGTAGGCATAGGCAATTCGAGTCGAGTCCGTAGGTTTGTCGACGGTACTTTGTTGAATGGGGGGGGGGAATAGGGGTGGGGTCATTTTCACGTGCCGCCCAACAGGCCTTACTATTATAGCAGGTACATTTTCGCCGTCGTTATTCTGACTGAAATGCACGAATCGACAAAAAAATTCGAATATTTTTTTAACATTTTATCACGTCTAGAAAAAGCTAGTATCATACGTATTTCGCTCAAATTGTCCGTCCCTACAATTATTTTTAACCAAATTAAAAAAAAAAAGCTATCCTAGGATTATAGGGACTGGTACATTCACTGTTGTAGGTGGAAAGTTGGGAAGGTAGGATACAGAAATGAATTTAATGTACATTTGTAAGCAACGATAAACTATTGTTAACGAAAAAACGATTCTGAGCAGAATTCAGTCGATAGTGATACGTGAATATAGAATAAAAAAATATAATATAAAGGTTATTGGTTAAAAAAATATATTGAAATCGTTAATTATTTTATTTTAATATAACTTGGTCTATAGTAATGGTTTTTCAACAATATGCATTTCCAAGACAACAATAATTGTTTAAAAAAGAATATTTTTAAATAATAAAAACTTAAAAATTTCAAAAAATAAATAAAAACGGTTGCCAATGACAATCTTGTTTATAAACTTTTAAACTTTTTTAACGCAAAGAACCAGGTTTTTCTCACTATCTTAAATGTTAATGAGAATTTAAAAATATGACCGCTTTAAAGTACCACCCAGAGGACATTTACTTTCAGAAAAGGTGCTATACTTAATATTCGAGTAAGTTTCCTGGTCGAAAAAGTGTTTACATAAAAAAAAAAAAAAAAATAAAAATCATTGTAAAACTAATACATTCTTCGCTCTGCTCAGAATCGAAAAAAAATGCATCGCATAGAATTTAAAAGCACGGAACACAGTACCATAGTAAATAACCAAAAATAACAAATCTTTTTTAAAGCAATAGTGGAGTAAAGCCCGGTCTGAAAAATGGTAACAACTATCTTGATAGTCGGATTCGTAACTATCTGTGATAGTAACTGATACAAAGTCCTAAAACGATGACATATTAGAGTGAAAATGTTTAAAATACATCAAACGATATAAAAGTGTAGAGTTGATTCGGCTATAGAAACGTCTGTGAAAATGCGACATGACAATAAAATTAAAATATATCAAATGATAATGTAGTATGTTATGTTCGTACGGTAATAGATATCACTCTCACTATCTCACGATAGTATAACTATCAACTGTTACGTATGCATGATAATAGTGAGATAGTTGTGTTCATGATAATTTGATTGTGAATTGTTACTATCGCCCTGCAATTCACTAGACCACCAGTTTATGATATAGTAGGTGGTAATATCAATCATCATAATAACAACTAGGACTAAGATTTCAACGCACTTTGCATAGTTTTCCAATGTTTGTCGTTCGTTTGTGATAGTTTGTATTTTAGAATGAGAATAAAACATTTTACTTTATCCATGCGAATTTTAAAGTACAATTCTTTTCGATTTTTTAACGTATAATTCAGAAATGTTTATGTCATTAAAGGCAATGTATATAATATGTAAAATTATACATGTATAATTTTTAGGACATTTTCGGGGTATTATGAGGTACCTATTACATTGTTAGCCGTATACTATTCCGGTTACGAATTCCGCGTCTATTTATAATAATCACGGTAGTCTGATAGTCGTGTATAGCATGGACCACGCTAAAACATAGATTTCGACGATCGTAACCCGTAATAATAATAAAGAGGTTCTATAAATTATCATTGTCGAAAATCGTTATAAAACGTATGGTTTTAACTTCAATGACGACCGGTCGAAACGAAAAAAAAAAAAGTCGAATCGATCGGGTTAGGTTTTAGATCAAATAAGAACGGACGGTCGATATAATCGTGAAAAAAAAAAAATGTGAAGTGATATAATATACTACTCTGAATTTTACTTAAACTATCGTTACGAGATTTCTTTATAATATATTCTATACGAGTAGGCCATTCATCTGCCGCTGCCGTAATTTGTCTTCAGGGTAAATACATATTATTTTTCTTAATGGTTTCGTTAAAAAAAAAAAATTCTGTAAATATTATTAAATCTTTAGTGTTTGAACCTTCAGTGTTTGAGAAGGGAATAGTAAAATATACAGGTCGAGTTGTATAGTTCAGTTACCGGGCGATTTGTACGTCTTCGCCAAGAGTTTCAAAATGTGACTTTGCTTATGTGATTCAAGTGAATAATATAGCGTTTTTACTGTGACCTATGCATTATTTTTAATTTTGTTTTTTTGGTCTGTCCGTGAAAAAAATTTTGACCGAGCGAATATTTCACCGTAGCTTTTCTCATAGCGTTTTAGGTTTTAGTTGATATGTCGAGAGTTTCATTTTTTTTTTTTTAATTTTCACTGCAATTTTTTGTTGTAATTCGCAAAGAGAAATAATTGTAGAGATCGAAAATTTTCTACCGGATACACATGGTTAAAAATTCTCAACGTGTTATAATTTCTAATATATTTTGGCTGTTCTTGAGTTATTTGTAGTATAAATGAAATCTATTCGGTTTTTGCGGATACAATTTTTTGACTTCGTATAAATACTCGAAAATTTCGGTACACCATAATACGATTGAGCATAGAATATTCTGTGTGACGTTACCACATTAACGTTGTTGAAATATAATATTTCCACGTATTATCACAACAATTATTACGATACCAAACTTAAAGGGGCCGTAAGCCGAGCCCAGATATCCCGATAAATGTTATCCATAGTACTAAATATTAATTTTATCCGTAATATTCTGACCGTTATAAAGGGTTATAGAAGATAAGTAACTATTACAAAATTATTATAGAAATAAGGTGGTAAGCTCATTATTATTATTATAAATGTGATTTGACTATTATTGACTGTGAAATCATGTAATATTTTTGAATTCATACTATATTTTGAGTTATTATAATTATTTAAATAAATTTGTTTTGTCTAATAATATAGTTCAAAATTAATAACGGCAACAGAATCGCAACAAATCGTAGAGTTTTTTTCATGTTCAATCGTGTAGGTTTTCTTTTGTATCTCTATATTAGTTGATACGCTACCAATTTATTCGATCGTTTCGTAAAAATGGTAATGCTCAAACAATTTGTTACAAAATATTAGGTCGTTAATAAATTATGAGTCATTAGTTTTTATAAATGAGTGTGTGTGTGTGTGTGTGTGTTTTTTTTTAAAGCGTTACATAAGTTCGAAATTTTGACGAATTTCGTGAAACTCACGAACGATAATTTTAGTTGAATGAAATATTAGTATACAATTTACAATTTAAATTTCTCAAATATAATAATCCGTTTTACCGAACCCCCTCAAATAATTTTCGTAATATAGGACGTGCTTTCGCAGCGCTATTAGCATATTCGCGTTCAGCCGCGTACTGTTCGTTTTACCATTAAAGTGAATCGACCTATAAATATAAACATTATCTACGTCGGTTTATGCGAGACACGAGCGTGTAGGAAATAACACGATTCAAAAATGAGTGTATCGAACTTGAACAAATACAATTCCTGCAAAATCCCGACGCAAACAATTTCTTTGTCTACGCGTTTGATAATAGGTCGAATTCGCTCTTTTAAAACTGACGGCACGTAGTCGTCTCGGCTGAACGCGAATTCGCCTAGTCACACGTTTGTAAGACGAAAACACCGCACAGTGCGGGTATCACGTCCTCGTAACTTCCCGCCAACAAAAACAATATAGTTGCATAAATATTTGGGGAACAAAAATGTCTATTTGTCTTACGGGTAGAGGTATTTTTTTATTATTATTATTTTTTTTTTGTGTAAAAACGAACATAATATTATTAACAATGTTTTATCGTATATAATATACGATTTGTGTTTGTAAATAAGAAAGTAGACGGGCGCCGAGCGGGTACGGGGTGTGTATAAGCATTATTTCCCGCGAAATACAATTCACGATTCGTTAAAAGCCGAGACTATAAAATCATATTATTACTATTATTGTGATAAACAAGGAAGTAAAAAAAATATGTGAAAATAAGCTCGTAAAAGAATGTATTATCTGCGTATGAAGTAAAGTTATGAAATATATATCCGACTGTATAACGTTTTAATACAGACGGGTGTTGTTATACGATAGCGACGGTTTTAATGTCTATATAAATCCAAAAAAAAAAAAAGAAAATTATAAGCTCCCCGCGCTGTGTGTACAATATTATATAACTCGAAATAAATAAAATGTTTTCGAACACATCGACAGATAAATCCAATACGTTATAATATATTTAATCGTCGACATAAATAAAAAAGAAAAAAAAAATCACGCGGTAGTTGCAGCTTGTTTTTGCGCACGAGTCCGGTACAATAATATTACCGTATCGCATCGCAGGCCATATAGGTAGTAAACGTGTAGTTTTATCGGTAGTAAATGGGTAACGTCTCGGTGCGCGGTCGGAAGACCGAATTAAATCGTTGTTAGCACATTATTATACCCGATACCGAAACGACCGAGTATTCGACGGTATTCAACAACGAAAATACATCGTTTTCGCACAACGGTAAAATGGAATAATAATCAATGCCTGGCATTAACGGGTGAATAAGTTAAAATTCAAGTAAATATCGACTTATCAACTCAACAGACTAGTTTGCTATTTTAATTGACTTAACTTCAACTCGACTCGTTTGCCTGTAGGTTATCTTGAAATCTTACATTTTTATTATTCCCAATGAGGTAAAAATAAGTAAACCGGAAATTATTTACGGCGCGCCACTGTTTTCCCGATTTCATTGTTTTCGTTTATGTGAACTACATTTACCACCAGTAATATTGCATTAATAAAAAAAGATACTTTTTTTGTTGCATTTTAAATCTAGTCACTGATTAAGAAAGTGTTTTTTTTTTTTTATGAGAGTATTAATCTCAAATTTTGACGAAAATCCGCTTCGAAACGTTTTCGTTAGCAACGGTTTATCGTTGCTTACAGACACATATACATCAAACAACTTTACGTATCCTACCTTCCCGATTCCCCACTGTCACTGTTAGCTCAAGTAAATTAGCTAACGAAAAAAGTTAACTACAATTCGTGAAGTTAAAAAGTCAACATTAACCCACAGACTGGATTTGAATATTTAGATTAAGATTACAAATATTTTATACGCGAGTAGGTGACTAATATAGGTTGGTACATTGTGTATTTTTAGTTTTCTTTTTTTAATTATGAAATTAACGACTGACGGTTTGGAAAAAAAATCTAATTAATTCACCCGGTTTCACATGAAATGTGTTATGGTTATACATGAAGTTATATACATCACGTTCATATATAATATAATATTTCCAATTAGATTAACTTCTCGATCGCGCGTATATTCGTGCGTATCACTATATTACACGTTTTATTACATGAAATATGCGAATATTATTCTGCGTATAATTTACGATATCTGAGTAATGATTTTACGGTCATTTCGTCCGTGGCAATTTTTTTTTTTTTTTTTTTTATTATTATTTTATTACTACTTATAAGCTCACCGAGAGTCAAGGTTGATAACGATAAAATGCAGTTGACTAGCACTACATCATATTTTTATAGTACACGGCGGCGACGTGACCGGTATACGTTCTGTTGGAATACGCGTCTTTGGAAAAATTCAACGCGGATTATTATATAGCCGGTATTTTGTCGCGTCGCCGGTCGAATCCGTTGACGGGTACTAAACTGCAGTTAGCTTTTTGTATACTGCAAGGTTGACGCAATACCAGTGATAATTATCGTAGTTTTATTAACGGACTGAATACGTTTTATTAACGGATTAATAGTGTATACGATATCATTAATAAAGACGAAAACGAAATCCGAAGTATTCACGTCGGAGACCAAAACCACGGTTATACTTTTACGTATAACGATGGCCATAGTTATTATATTTCAGAACAATATTAAACATATTACATTATTATAGCCGGTGTTATGTCCCGCGAGTTGATTCCATTGACCAGTAGTTATGATTATAATTGTATTATATACTATATAAATATTGACACGAAATCTTTTTTTTTTTTATCAATACACTAAATACGTTTTATTAAAGAATTAATAACACAATAATTATTAATAAACACGAAAGTAAAATCCGAAGTATTCCGCCGGACAAAGACCGCTGTCATTTTTACATGTAGGTAATGTGATGGTTATGACTATTACAGAATAATTGAACAACGTGCGTAATATTTTTCGGATAATTAGCTATAAAGATTAGAAAAAAAAAAAAAAAACCGTTAACAGTACGCATTAATAATAATCCGAGTTGAACGAGTATAAAAATGCCCTTTATACGTAAAATAATTATTAATATCATGTAGCGGAATGCGTAAAATGTAGGAAATGGGACACGATTTCAGCGGATTGAAAATTTAAGAAAAAAATTTAAAAATGTGTAAATTCAATACACTGAAAAATCACGAGGAGCATTTGAACAAATTTCAAAAACGAAGCTTAAAAGTCAAGTACGATTCTAAAAAAATGCATTTAAAATTTCGAAAAGCAGTGAATCGTAAAACAATGCGGTAATATTATGCATGGTAAATTTGTATTGTTGAATAGATAAATAGTATAATTTTAATGTCCATTAAAAACAGAAATTGTTGAAAAAATACGGCGAAAAACGGTGAAAAAGACAAAAAAAATTTGCGTCGAAAACGCCGGATCAAATCGATATGCATTGGTTTCCCGAGTATTACGTGGCAATTAGACCGTTTATACGAATTCATCTAGGTACGGCGACTTGCAATAACCGAAAAACAAACAGTAGGGATTTATACGACAAACACACAGCCCTAATCGACACACTAATTAGGTATAGGTTTGTGAAAAAACAAAATCAATACTGTTGAAAACTGTTTGAAATACCGACGCTCGCTATTACCGAGTCTATACAGTCAGTGATTTTGTTCCGAGTGAATTTTACACACACGTATAGGACGTATTATTATTATTATTATAGAAAGTGTTTGGGCGAAAATGAAATATCGGATCGGGCTAACCAGTTTGGTGATTCAGAGAGCCAAATATTGTGAAAAAAAAAAAAAAAAACAATCGTAATAATAATAGTGATAATATATTATTATAACGATAATAATTATAATCGTATAGTTAAAAAGTAATATGTAATATACCGACGTAAGACTATGGGTGGTACCGTTTAGGTACAATTTCGCTCGGGGGAACCCCCAAACTCCCCGCCGGGATCACGCAACCTCACTGGCGGATACGCCCTCACCGCCGCGCCGCCTCTGCGAACGGCCGCCACGCCGTGCCCCCCGGAGGGAGCGAAACTCGGTTCTCGTTTAATATATAAAGCGGTCCGTTGTCAATCAACTTTACTCAGTAAACGTTCAGTTTCAATACACTCAACAACAAACAAAAAAAAAAAAAAAACTTATTTACCATGGCATTCAAAGTAAGTACTTATACTTACACACGTATTACCCTATACTTAACTTCATACATCGCGTTTTATACAATGTATACCTACCGGACTCAGTTTGTTTTCTTTTTTTTTTTTTCTATTCTTACTCGACGTGCGGTTAAAAAACGAATTTTTTTTTATCATAAAGTTGGTTTGTTTTTTTTTTTTTAAATATGTTCACGTTCAAGTCTCCGTTGTGCGTATAGCGATATTTATAATGCACATACGTGTTTCGTACAGCAACGGCTACTATGTTATACGATTCTCAATAATATTATGTTGTACTTACAATGAAATTCGCTAGTGTTCTCGTAAATCGCGTATCACAATATTTCTCGCTGGATACTCTCGGTTTTCGTTCTGAAATAAAATATTTTTTTTTTTTTATTATTTTAACGTGATTTAAAAATTAAATTATCGTATATTGCTCGTAGTTATTTTTACTTCCTCGACGTTTTGTTTCTGCGCGCGAATTCTTCGCGACATTTTATTTCTCGTAGTTTCTCGAAAACGTTGTGTACTTAGTTTTCATAAGTTCCAGCACAAGTTTTGGCCTAGCAGCATTATATACTGAAATGACCATTGTTTCCGGATGAACTTAATTACTCCTCGACCAGACTAAATCTAAGCGAAATCGTCTTTATGAAAATAATAAAATTGATTTAGGTCCACGAGAGACCCCGGAAAAGTTTTACAAACAACAATGGCAAAACGCGGACACAAACGCGAACGTAACCACAATCGGCGGCTATTGTGGTGTTCAATTGTGTATTCGAAACTACCCTTAACCTAACTTATCCTGACCTAATTAGTAACCTTGGTATATTATAGTCGCATTTCACTAAACTTGTTGGATTTTTTTTTATTATTTTACAGACTGTCACCGTCCTCGCCTGCGTGCTGGTTTCCGCACTCGCCGGTCCAGTAGCCCCAGCCTACCCGGCTCCGTCTGCGTACCCAGCACCATCCGCGTACCCAGCACCTTCTGCGTACCCAGCACCATCCGCATACCCAGCACCTGCCTACAAACCCGCCTCCTACTCGGCACCAAAGGCCTACGCTCCGGAGCCCGCATACGCCCCGGCCCCGTACAACTTCGACTACAGCGTAAACGACCCATCCACCTACGACGTCAAGAGCCAATCGGAATACAGCGATGGCAACGGTTACGTCAAGGGATCCTACAGCCTGATTGAAGCCGATGGTACCAAGAGGATCGTTGAATACACCGCTGATGACTACAATGGTTTCAACGCCGAAGTGAAGAAGGAAGGCACCCCATCTTACAGCTCCGCCCCGGCTGCCTACAAACCAGCATACAAGGCTCCAGCTTACCCAGCTGCCCCGGCTTACCCAGTTGCCCCAGCTTACTCTGCTGCCCCGGCTTACTCTGCTGCCCCAGCTTACCCAGCTGCTCCAGCCTACAAACCAGCTTACAAGCCAGCCTACTCCGCACCGGCTTACTCTGCACCAGCCTACCCAGCTGCACCAGCCTACCCATCTGCCCCAGCTTACCCAGCTGCACCAGCCTACCCAACTGAGTCATACCCGGCTGCTCCAGCTTACGGATACTCTACCCCTGCCCCAGCATACAGCTACTCCACCCCTGCCCCAGCATACAGCTACTCTACCCCTGCTGCTCCATCATACAGCTACTCCACCCCCGCCCCAGCATACAGCTACTCTACCCCCGCCCCAGCATACAGCTACTCCACCCCAGCCCCAGCATACAGCTACTCTACCCCCGCCCCAGCATACAGCTACTCCACCCCCGCCCCGGCCTACAAGCCATCGTACGCTGCCCCAGCATACAAACCTTCTCCATACAAATACTAATGTAATTCCTTGTAAACTCTAAGAATCAAAATATATAAATTATTGTATTTTTATGTAAATAAAATTTCAATTTGTCATATGAATTCGATGCTTTATTTTTTTCGTCTCTTCGTCTTCTCGACAACAGAACATATCAAATAGTGGCACTTTTAATTTGATTACCAATCAATACTGACAATTGGTCATTTTATTTTATTTTTATATTTATTGAACAAAAATATGAATTTTATTCAATTTATGATATAATAAGTTAAAATAATTGTATGCAAAACATATAAATGTATCAGGTTTCAAACAAATTTTATTAGTATACTACCTATCATGTTCATAATAATTATGACGTATTCATAATGTAATTGAGTAACAATCTAATTTTTAATTTTATTAAATTACGAGTATAATGAATTTCAGACAATTTTATTTTTACGTCAAAAATATCATAATTATAAATACTGCGTGGAATAATTTAACCAGAAAACAACGGTTGACATAAACATGGATTCATGACACAATTTTTTTTTTTTTTATAGAATGTAGGTATTTTTTTTAAATTTAAACTTTGTTAAATAATATTGAAATCAACCTATACGATGTAACCTGTACATGTGTGCTATATAATTATTATAATTATAAAAACAAATCTTCAACAAATAAGTATTAAAGCAATTCGTTTCGAAATAATATTAATTTGAAACATATTGCTATAATAGTACGTAGAGGTTTTATAATTTGTGAATTGTATCATCGTTCAAAACTATTTATAAAGTTCGGTCAATTATTCGATTGATTAATAGTAACGTTTACAGTCAATTTTGTTCGAAATCTTTCAAATAAATTACTGTGTAATAAACGAGACAGTATATTTTATGGTTCGTTTAACTGTTTATGCATTCGAATTTCATTGTAACTAATGGATAACGTACGATTCCTTGCTATTTTTTCACAACAACCAAGTCGAAACAAGCTTTGTGCAGGTTATATATAGGTACTTAAGGTACTGATTTAACGATGGATCTTTGAAATATTCACCAAAACGCTTACTTTATACATTATTTATGAAGTGGGAGTAAATAATTTATCTATTGTATTTATGAGAACACTCAGAAATTAAAAATTAAATAGTGAACTTTGTGTGTGGTGTACAGTTTTTCAACATAATACAAACTTTGAAGTCTTAAAAACTTATCACTTATCATTATTTAGGTAATGACTTAGTTTTATAAAGAAAATAGAATGGAAAACATTCAAGAATTCATATTAAATACAAAATACGTGATATTATTACCTAATAGTGAATTGAAATACAAATCAAGACATACGAGACTTACTCAAGACTTACATCAAGACTTACTCGTATTAAAAAATTATTATAGTTTTACAATTATGTGTGTTTTTTTTTTGTCTTGGAAAACACTTACACAACCAACGCCTTATTTAGGCAAAGCAATTATAGGTATTTGTCCAGAAACCATGTGGATCGTGATCCACCTACTGGATATACTGGATAATTATTTTGGATGTGCATGTGGTGCACGAGCACAAGGAATCCAAATTCTTAGGACCCCACGTTCCATTCTATATAAGTATTGTATTGAATAAGTAATTATCACGATTGTGTCGAATTGTAAAAGAAACTCGGAGACAGGCCGTTAAGCAAAATAAATTCTCAGTGTTTCATGCACATTTCTTTAAATTAGGTCCTGTGTATAACGTTTAAAATAGTAAAAAAAGTAGATAATTTACACGAGTAAAAGGGGAATTATTTTACAAAATTTGTTTTTTCACGTCATACCTTGAAAGATACAAAATTTCGCGGCAGGCGGTGTTTCGTTTGAACCGTTTATCGAACTGTTTGACAATATTCAATGTCAATATCCATTTCTATGTTTTTATTTTTTTATTCTTGTTGATTTCTACGTTACTTTTGCAACATGAAAAAATAAGTCTTGTTCACTCCACTTAGAATCGATTTATTGTTGCATACGCTAAATTATCTTATACATTATCTTACCTTCCAAATTATACCCATCCACAGCATTGACCTACCCATAGTGTGAAGTCTGTTCGCCTTTTATGAATGATAATATAAACTCAAAAATAAAAAAAAATATGTACGGTTTATTTTTATGGATAAAATAATATTTTAAACATTATGTTCAAAGCTATTGAAATTTTAATAAAACACTTTTACAAGTGCCGGTCGTTGATTTATTGATCGGTTAACTATTTCGAGCGGATGTAATGGTGTGGAGTTGTGTAATCAATTTAAAGTTACGAAAGCCGAATTTTTAGAAATTGTTTGGACGAGTTTTTTTTTTTGTAAGTTTATTGTGAAATTGTATAATATAATACATTTTTAATTAAATAATGTTTTACACGAGCCATATTAGGTGCACACAAATGAACAAAACGAGTACACACAACTACAATGTACAAACCTCTTTTATTATAAAACCTACGGAATCACGGTTACAATTTGTAACATTAATTTATAACTGTATATCATAAATTGATTATAGATTTTTAGTTCTGAACAATGAGAACGCTAACATAATAGTAATTTTTCAAGGTACGGGCTACGAGATTTATCTTATACGAACCGTATACCTACGTTAATTATTTCCGAAAGCAAATAGGGGAATTAATTAAAAAATGTAAAAACTTTTAATGGTTTTTGTTACATATATTATACTGTAGGGCCTGAATTAAAATGCACCGAGATCTGTAACGAAAATATTCAAAAATGCATTTCGACTTTTCGTTAAATATAATTTATTATAAATATTAAATGGTTAAAAGTATTAAAGATGGATTTTTTGTTTGTTTTAATATATTGTATCGAAAACCCAGTAGTGAAACGAACCTAAAAAAATTCTAAAGCTACATATAACCTATAAGCCATTACCCGCCAGCCATTATTTTTAAGTACATACCGATGTTTTTAAATATTTTTACCAAATTATCAGTAAAAAACATGAACTATTAAAAGTACGTGAAAACTAAGCCCGTAAACACGTGAGTAAAAACTTTGTGTTCGCGTATTTTCAATACAAGTAAATTTATGTTTTACGAGAACATACGCGTACACGTGCAATTATTTACGTCTATTTTTTAAATATGCGGATTTTATATAATGTTAATTTCACGTGAATACGTGAAAGCGTGTACATTCTACATGAAATATTAAACGAGTAAACTAGTACCTACTAAAATTTTATATTTTTTTTTCACATGTGGAATGCTCACACACCCCTTAATCAAAAAATAATCGAGTAGCAATTGCTTTTCAAAGACCGTTTTCGTTTCTTCACTGGAAAAAAAGTCAAGTCTCGCAGGACGTAAAACGCAAAAATCATTAGTATTCAGCTATTAGTCAATATAAATATAACCGTCTGCAGCTGCTGCGATGACAAATTATAATAATTAATAATAATATATTATGTTGGCAAATAGGTGAAAATTTACCAAACGTCTACGTTGAACAATATAATCGTAATGATTGAATAAGCAGTCGGTAAAACAAATAATTGTGGTCGTAACGGTTCTGCGTGGTATTTTTTTTGATCGGTCATAAAATTAAACTGAATAATACACAGGCGGACAACTGCAATACAGTAAACAACGAGATTTTATAATTTATAATGAATAATTGATAAATAAATAACATTCTAATCGTTTTTTACATTCGTACATGGGTGGGCTACTGTTGTACGTAGGAGGTCGAGAAGGTAATAGAGGAGAAATTTAATGTATATCTGTAAGCAACGGTAAATCATTGCTAACGAAAAACAATTCTGAGCGGAGTTTGGTTGATAGTATCGCTTTGTCAACAACATATATATTTTATTATGGTAAATAATTACATATGTTATTATGTATATTTGTTTAATTTTGTACCTCTTTTCCTATTTTTCTTAAGTTTTTTCTCGTTTACTTCTGTTTGTTCTCGATTTTTCCAATTTATTGGGATAACTCTTGAGAAAGGGAAAATCCAAAAATACCTACCCCCCCTAAAATACTTCCCCAGTCATTTCATTTTAGAAAAAGGGCAATTATTTTAAATTGGAGTAAGATTTCTAGCGGAAAAGTTTTCCACAGAAAAAAAAATAAACATCTTTGTAAAACCAATACATTCCTCGTTCCACTCAGAATCTAAAATATTCTAATATTTTGATAAATTGCTTGAATATTATTTTTACGAAGATAAATTATATACACTGAAATAATATGATATTAGCGTTATAATATAATCGGCTACTTTTAGACTTTTTACAAAATTAAAAAAAAATACATACAATTTTATTTATCAGGTACCTATATATTATGAAATTATTGTTGAAAGTAGTAAAATATGCTACACGTTCATAGATATCAAGATGCGTAATCGATGTAATTCAGTAATTGACTTATTAAACTGTTTGTTGTTTATATAAATATAATTTTGTTAGTTTATCTATATCATTTATGTATGCTAATATACTATGTATTGCAAAAAAAAAAAAAAAAATCGATATCTCTCTATGTAGGAAGAATCTTCTAATTTATTTCTAACGTATACAATAATTTTGTTAATATTCTCAATCATTATGTATATCGTGACTAACACTATATATTAGATTATGAATGAAGCGAAGAAGCTTATAGTTTTACAACAGTTATAATACATTTTCTGAAAGGAAATTGGTGTGAGGAGATATTTAAAAAAGGTAATTTTCGATTTTCCCAAAAAATGTAAAAACCCATGAAAAAACATGGGAAAACCGGCAAAAACGTAGGAAAACTGGGAAGATCGGTACACTATTAAACAAATATTATTAAAGAAAATATATAAAGCTTATTTAATTATTTGACTATAAAATTACATATGTATTGTTGACAAAGCATCACTATCACTTAACTCCGCTCAGAATCGAATTTTTGTAAGCAATGGTTTATCGTTGCTTACAGGTATACATTAAATTATCTAAAACAGTGGCTGCATCCATTCTCATTATCTTAGGATGTCTTTTTTTTTAAAAATATTATAATTAATTAATCTAGATAATGAAACGGCTCGCTTATATTGTAATATTAGAAATGTAAAGGTGTGTGTCCGTCTTTGTTGCGTGACATAGAAATTTAGACGAGTTTTATACAACATTGATCTAGTAAAGCGATAAGAATTCTTGACACAGACTTGAATTTTTCGTTAAGTCTACTTGAGATCGAATTTCTGGCATTTTTTTGATTTTATCCTTCTGTATATTAAAAAAAAAAAAAACTAAGTAATTAATAAACTGGGATATTTTTATGTTCGGAGTAAGTGAAATAAAAAAGAGTGGGAGGGGGGAAATCGATATTGAGTGAACTTAACAAAATATTTGAATCCGTTTTCAGAGTTCATATCATTTCACTAGACTAATTGGCACGTTTGAATGAAACCCGTCCAAATCCTTAAGTGACTGGTTGTCCTGAGTAAGACTAAGATTCAATCACCGATTTAAATCTTCTTAATGGATTTCGTAAGAATGAATTATAATAATATATTAAGAATATCCAATTATTATTAATTTTTTTTAAGACGAAATTAATTTCCGTCTATTAATCCGCTCTGCTTAGTATACATATATATATATTTTATTTTTTTTGCGAAGATTGACACTTTGAAAATATATCAACGACGACGGGCAGTGATTGATCGCCGTGAAAATCAAATGATAAAATAATTTTCTAGATTAAATCCATTTCGTTCACTGTTTCGTGTCCATCAATTTAAATAATAGACGGCAAATTTTTGTTTATTCCATTTATTTTCCTTCACGCAAATAATATTATCTTCTATAGTGATCATAAATTCTTAACGGTTTTCTTATTCTCGACGATTATATGCGTTGTGTCAGTTCATTATAATAATATTCGTCCTTGTCCACGTCGTCCCACAATTTCATTGATCTTTTGACCCGTTTACAGCGAGTCGCATACTCATCATGACGTACGTATATACCTACCTATAAGTATATGCTTTGTGCTTCAAATAACACGTGCACGTCTTGTCGATTTTTCGGTTACCAATTAATGTAGGCACTTATAGGTAGATAGGTATTTCGTTATTGATTCGGCTAGTGTTCGTGTTTCGTGCGAGACACTCGGTGTAAAAAGACGAGATTGCACCTTTGTACGTACTGTTCGACTTTTTATGTTTCACCTTATATTAATAAAATGATTTATTAAGTACGTTCGTAGAATAACTGCGGGCATATTATAAATTGTGGTTTTATCGAGTTACAGACTAGTTAAAATTTGTGTTAATTCGTTTATAACTTTTTTATAACTTGACCGGTTAAGTCTGTTTGTGTTATCAAATATTATACGTAATAATTAGCTTTACTAGTTTAATTTGTTTTACATGTAAACTCGACTTTGTACAGTTAATTTGCATAAACATATGTAAGAACATGACATTGTCATTTTGATAAAACTTGTAGTTAACTGGTTATAACAGATCTAGCTCGATATAGTCATCCAAGGAGTTTACAAGCGCAAAACTGCAGTGGCGTCCAGAAAAATTAACATTTGTGTCATTTTCGAATCGAACATTTCTGATTAACCGGCAATCGTTTTCTTTCAGTCAGAGTATTCATTTACAATTTATTATTGGAATAAATTGAATTTAATCCGGTAATGTAAATACTAATAATGGTTGTATTAGTGCATATTATGATCGAATAACGAAACTAACAATACTAGAACGTGCAATAGCAAAAAAAAAAAAAAATTAGCCAAACGCGATTAGATTTCGCGAATATAAAAAAAGAAGATACAATCATATTTTTTTTTTATTAACATTCTCTGGAGGATTCTACAGTTTCACAGTAGTTTGGAGTAACATTTAGATTGTAAAATATTTGTAGTTGTTTAAAAATATACACTCGATTTTAACAGTAAACTTTTTACTATTTTTACCTTTGATAGCACGATGTAAACATTAGTTTATGAAAATACAAATTGTAGGTATTCATTATAGTTATGCTTTAGTTTGTCTATTTTGTTTTAAGTTAATAATTGAATGGAACTATGTAGAAAGCAATCATATAATAATAGTTTTAAAACAAGATTTGAATAATACTATATAATACAGTAATACGCAACATAAATATTAGTAAGTAAAACAAAATATCAAACTATATATATATATAATGTATCAAGTTTATGAGATTAATTAGTTATAAGTTTAAACTTATAAACCGTAGCGTAACTAGGATTTATCAATAGAGTGGGCATAGGGGTTTACCTCTACAACTTTATTAATCTTATTACCTTTAGCTAAAAAAGTGCAATGGATGGAGGGGTTAAAACACCCGAACTCCTCCCTTCCCTTACTGGCTATTAAATTGCTTATAAGTCATTTATAACTAAACCCTCAATCATATCCAAATATATATCATTCGTAGGATTGTTGCTTTCCCAACCTCCAATACAGGTAGTCGAACCTAGAAAAAAAAGTACAAGGACTGTGCTAAAAGAATTTATTCGTTGATTACAAATTATAATACTAATGATAATAAGAAATTTGTAAATGGTGTAGCTTTATAATTTATCACTAAATACTTAATTGTTTTTTGAAATTATTACTATCACTGAATATCCACATTATTAGTACCTAAATACTTATTGAAAGTCATTATGATTAGAATCACCTCATTCAGAAAATTAACTATATTTTCAATATTGTGCATTTTCGCTTATTTTTAAAATTCGTTATTTTAATTTTCGCGATTTTTACATTTATGTATTTTTTTTCGGTATTTTTAACGGATACCTAATAATTGTACCCGCACATTGGTGTATTACTGGTTTTTTTTTTACGGTTATCATTTATTAACGGCTCATATTTTGTTGTTGTTGTTGTTTAAATGTTTAGTACGCATTGCATCTTAGTTCATGATATATAATATTTAAAGTATTATTTTTGTAGGCTTGTAGTATCTACTATATAGTTATTAAAAATTTACGAGACAATAAAAATCGCCAATAATCGCGAACGGAAGCGAATAAAGCTGATGACCGACGCAAAAAAAAAAAAAAAAAATGTTGTTTCATAACGTACCCTTCAATAATAAGTTTTTTGTTTTTTCTTGATACATACTAATCAATTCGTGATTAGTTGAATGACGGTTAACGTACGCGCCTATCGCAATAATTCTTGTTTACTATAGTTATTTATATAAATTGAAATGGTAAACAAATTCAAATACAAATAAAAGACTCCGAAAAATATAGAAAGTAAATCGATTCCCTGCACCTATTAATACGGTCTGGTTAGGTTAGATAACATTATACGAGTTGTGTATTAACGTTTAAAAATAATATCATTTCATAGGAGTATTTAAAACCAAACTGTTATATAATTTTTATCGAAATATCAGATGGATATAAAATGTATATATTATGTCAACATACAAACATTTTTAGAACAATTATGCCGTCGCTTCGAATGTTTATTGAACTATTCCAAATATATCGAAAAAACTATATAATTTTAAGATAATTGGTTGAAATAAACGACGAAATATTACAAATTACTCTAATTAATATTTATAAAGAAAGTCGTACGGAGTTAGCGAATCGCCCTGTACTGCTACGCGTCTAAGAATCCTATCATAATCTGGGTGTGTCACGAAATTGTATAACTGTATAAGTTTACTAGCAATACGAATATTTTACACGAAAATGCAGACTTAACATTTCGAAACCAAGTCAGTTATTACGTAGCTTTTTGTGTGTTCGTGAAATTGCCTCCCTCCGCACATTTCAATTGATTCGATCAAAATGGTGTTGAAAAACAATTGCTTATGAACTGTGAATAATAGAAAACTTGCTTAGGCTAATTACGAATTCCACAATTCCTTGTAAAATTTATTTATTTTAAAAGGGGGGGGGAGAGGGATCAATTTCGCGCAGTTACTCTACTTTGGCCGACCAGTTTTGGAATATCGAAAAGTAATCACAAATAATTTTATATAGTTTTTAAATTTTTTTTTAGAACTTTTAGACATAAAACATCTAATTGTTAAAACGATTTATCAGTTTTAATTATTTTTGTAATTTTTAAGTAGCATTATTCAACTAATATGTTGGATTGATTAAATTGATAATTTGTATAACATTTTAGCGAAATAAATGTTTACTACAGTTAGTATATTTTTCCGTTCCTAGTTATTACTGGGATTTCGTTTTTTTGGAGGTTTATCGAATAGACAATTACTAAGTTTGTATTTCAAATTAAAAATTCGATGAAAAAACCATTATATTTCAATCAGTTTTATACCACGCGTTGGAAGTTTCAAATAGAAGATTAGATGTAAAAAATGCGATTAGTGTTATCAATTTTTTTAAAAAAACACTGTTCTAATCAATGAAATGTTGAAGATTTCAAAGAACATTTTAATTAAAGTATAACCTAGTGGAAAATCCGGATTTTTTTAAGTAGGTACGGCATGAGATAATTAGACTATTTTCGATGATTTAAAAAACGTTTTTCGAGAAAATAAAAACATCTTAGTTGAACCAACAGCTTATTTTCAACAATTGGAGTCTTATAAAAAAATTCTGTATGTTAAACGGTATAATTCGAACAAAGTTATTCCTTGAAATATTTCGTTTGACGGTTACGCAGGTGTTTATATTAGGTATTAAACGCGCTCATAAAGGAAGAGACGAAATTAAATTTTCCCGAATCCGTTTGAATCGTTTAATCTCTGTGGAAATTGTTACAATTGTATAATGTCGGATGATTAAAATAATAGTATACACCGGGATTTATCGAAACTTTATTTTCTACGCTTCCTCTGGTCGCAATGGTGCTAATATACCTAGCTAATACCTTTTGTTAATTTTCGTTCAGCCGGATACCATTATGGTGTTACGGCGTACGTATACAATAATACTTGAAAGAGTACAATCGAACAAAGTTTTCGATATTACAATAACCGTTGTTCGCATTACGTGTTGATGTAAAATAACGGCTCCGCGTACATTTCAGAATAAAACTTCATTTAGGTTCCTATACAAATAATAAACTACTAACAAATTCGACCGACGAGTCTTAAATAAAAAAAAAAAAATAATAATAATAAATTGTTAAATAGAACTATATTATGGGGGTACAATCGAGTTTTAATTAAAATCCACTATATTGAACGGGGTCCGGAACGTGTACGATCAAATATTCCGATTGAAATTGACTCGCTGAATCGAATGCAAACGATAGAACGGTCGTTTCAAACACTGCACCGTGTTTATACAGTACGCGCGTTACGACCTTTTTCCGTCGACGCAGAAAAACCGTTTGACGGGTCCTCGATAAAAATGTCCAATCGAAATCATTTTTATTTCTATAACGAACCGGTCGTTTTCCTACGTATACGAAGACGAGTAGTGATTCACCATAGGACAGTATTCCGGATGTACAAAGAATATTCTCGTAAAATATTTTATTATTATTATTATTTTTTCATTTTAATTACCGACGGGAAGTGAAGATAACACGACAGTGCCGTTTAAAATAATATTCACTTTGTAATTTTTAATCGAAATACGATTAAAAAAACGAATTATCGTCTTAATACAATTTGTTCGCGTGCAAAGAACACCTACTGAAATATAAGACACGGTTAAAAGCTGCAGTTGAATGTGTATTTAAAAAGTAACCGATAAAGTGCATTTTGTTAATAAAATATCACTCAGGTACCCTACGTGTTTTTATTTTTAACTGACGCACCTATTATATTTATTGCTTTTTATTTAATAAAAACGCGTTACATTAAGACTCGCGAGCAGTTCCTGTCATTCGTTTTGATATTGTAATTGGTCGTTGAGCGATGACGATTATTTATCTAAATTTAGAACTCGACGATTTTTTGAATTATGACTGTTGCGAGTTTTTGACTCAATGTAATCAAAATACGTGTACACGTTTTAAGACTAGTATGTGCAAATGTGAGCGTTCAAATTTTTGACTTACTTTTTGAAAATTACAGAATAATCACCGTTTGCGAGAATTATTCTCACAAAAGATTATTACCGTAAAAACACCAAGGGAGCGAGCATTTTGATTTCGGTCTATTTTTACCAGTCGTTTAACGATATTTTCAAAATGTCACCCGTTCAATACGCGGTTCTAATTTTTATCGCATTTTGTATGAACGCCGCAGTATAGATCGGACAATTGTATGCGTATTTTAGTGATTATTCTAAAAGTCGTTTGATTATGATTCCGACCCGTTCCGAATATTATTTTATGGATTCTATTATTCGGATTGCGCGTTTCAATAGTATTATAACTCGATACAGGTGTAATGCGCTCGATTTTTCAAACAAATATTGGACGGCACACCGCGGACCTTTGATCGAAGCAACGCGGGCCGGCCGTGCCCACTCTCCCCCGGTGCAGTGTACACCGGTTACACTATAATATCGTGTCTTCTGTATCTACGCACTCGCGCGGGCGCAGCAGCTTAACGATTGCCTCACCGGTCGAGACCCGGTGTGACCCCCTCGGGCGTGCACGCCGTAGTCGGACCACTGGTTCTCCCGGCCCGGACCGCTCTCTGTGTCGCCCCCCCAGGCCGGGGAGACACCGTATCCCGGGACCGTATATATACCGGAGCGGACCGTCCGATCGGCAACAGTCATCGTCAGCCGTTAGACCAGACCAACAGTTGTAACAGCATCGTATTATTACACTCGTCCGACAAAATGTCCGCCAAAGTAAGTTTTTTTTTTTTTTTTTTAAACATTTTTCGATCTTAACAGCCCTATTACAACATCGAGATATAGGGTTCTCGATTCGTGATTTTCGACCGAATTTCTCAATCGCGTTCTCTTTGTTCTCGGGTCCCGTCCAGACCGCAGAAAGCCGAGTTCTTTTTCTCGCGTTTTACATTCGACGTCCGAGACTCGGGGCCAGTCGCCCGTCACTATAATCCGCGTGTAAGGGGGTCTGTAAACAATAAACTTCCACTGCCTCCCCTCCCCAATAGTTTAACGATCGCAATAATATTCTAATAATATTCGAATACGCGAGATTATGGCGCGGCGATCGTTACTTAATGACCGTCGCCCGACCGTGCGGCCACACATGTGACGACGCCCGCCCGGTTACCGACCACCGCGACCGGTTTCCGATACTTTTACTCTCGTTGACCCATAGCCGTCGTCGTCACTGCCGTTACGCTTGGTATACCGTTTCACCTTCAAGGTCGGCCGTCTCGTTGCGGCTTCCGTTTCGGTGTTTTTCGATTTTTTTTTTTCTTGCCAGACGGGGTATTTATGTGTGTTTTTTTGCGTTTCAGTTCATCGTGTTCGCGGCTTGCGTAGCCACCGCCCTGGCCGTCTACAAGGAACCGTCTTACCCGTCATACCCAGCCGCCCCAGCGTACCCAGCACCCGCCTACCCAGCGGCACCGGCATACCCGGCACCCGCCTACCCAGCTGCGCCATCTTACCCGGCGCCGTCCTACTCGGCACCCGCCTACCCAGCGGCACCGGCATACCCCGCTCCAGCCTACCCATCGGCCCCTGCCTACCCGTCCGCACCGGCCTACAAACCAGCCGCGTACTCCGCACCGAAACCGTACGCTCCAGAACCCGCTTACTCTGCCCCGTCCCCGTACAACTTCGACTACAGCGTACATGACGCTTACACCGGCGACATCAAGAGCCAAAACGAATACGCCGACTCTAACGGTTACGTCAAGGGATCGTACAGCCTTGTCGAACCCGATGGTGGCAAGCGCACCGTCGAATACACCGCTGACGACTACAACGGTTTCAACGCCGAAGTCAAGAAGGAAGGCGGATACCCGGCACCCGCTTACTCCGCACCGGCGCCCGCTTACAAGCCGGCCCCAGCACCGTACAAGCCAGCCTACTAGACGAACCGAAGATCTCAACCATCACCACTCACCCTCTAGCGCAATTCATTTTACCATTTATCACTTCGGACGCGCCGAGTCTCTACACAGGCCTTAGTGCGTCGCCGCCCGTTTCACGATACAGCACAATGCCGTATTAGTATTTCATATTGCTCGAGTGTGTACGCTTTTGTTTTTGTATTATTTTTTTTTTTTTTTTCGTATTATTGTCATCTCGATTGCATACAATTATAATACCAAAACATATGTATTTTTTTTTGTTTGTAAATAAACGCCGTATGTCGAAATCACACAACTGAAAAAACGTTCGCCTGTCTATTTAACTATAACGTTATTCTGTCGTTTAACACGACTTTCCATTTCCTACACGTCTCGGGGCGACCGGTTTCCCCGAATGCGTACCCGGTATCATAATATTTTAATCCTACGCCCGGCCGACGTCTAGGACTATGTTATACAATGCGTACAATATCAACTTTTACGCCGCGTTGCTTTCCTCCCCGGCGTTGTCCGTGCCGATTCCATTATCCGTGTAACCGAGGAATAATAATAGTAATAATAATATAATAAAAAAAAAATATTAAATTTCCGCATGGTCGGACGCGAAATCGTGTGTGGCGGTTTCGCCGCCTTTTTGGAGTCGAATCCGACGATGAAAAAGCGACCTTCTCTTTGTTTCGAAGGTCAAACGTACGGAATTCCATCGAGCCCGGATTGAAATCGTGTAGATTCGAACAAAAAGCTAACATTCAACGAACTCGATTCCGCACGTTATTGCGTAACACTAACTTTTACGCCGCCGTCTAGTTTCGTTCGTTTCGAAATAATCGCCACACGTACATATTATTTACACACAGCTCAACTAGTGAATACGGATTAATAGTAAATCGGGATTTTTTTTTTTTTTTTTTTTGTTAATATTCACATTTTCAAGCGAGGATACGAGCGTGCGACACAACATCGTAATTTGGAAATACTTATACGCGCGTCTGTGAGACGGAGACTACACCGATCTGTGCTGTGTGTCGCATACTCTTAATTGTTCGTTGGACTAACGCAATTTTCGCGTTTTCATAGTGCCCATGTTTAACATTCGAAAAAAATAATTTAAAACGCAGGTACGAGACACGGCATAAAAAAACAGCATGTTTATAAAAACCCATTTTCGCGCTCGCAGTGTTCAATTTACGCCCTGAAAATAATTAAAGTCCGGACTAGGCCAACGAACGGGGTTAACGGATCGAGCGCTTTTATTTAATGTCGCGCTGAATCCGGATTAGCGACAGTGACGTAAATAATAATCTGGCGAACAATAATATAAAAACACGAACCGCCGAGACTTTTGCTCCTGTTTTGTTTTGTTTTTGTTTTTTTTTTTTTAACGCTCGCGAACTTTTAGACTGCCGCCGTCTTTGAATTCATGCGCGTTCACGTCGGACGTTATAAAATGATTATTTTCGCCGTCGTCGTCGGAACTTCGAATTACCGTCCGGCGTTAGGCCTACACGCGTCCGGCCGAATAAAAGCAAATACTAAATACATAAATCAAGTTTTACACGACACTGCGATTGGCGTGATAATTTTTTTCAATATTTATCACGCGTTACACGCGAAATCGCTTACGGTTTTCGACAAATGCGTACACACCGACGTTATATTGACGATTTCGTAACCAGCTTTCGTAATATCGCCGGAGTACCGAATTGATAATACTGCTGCGCCGAACACATTGTATAACAATAATAATAATTATTATTGATGCAAATGCGTGTACACAATCACTATTGATGTTTTTATAGTTGCTTAGACAATAATAACGTACGGAAAAGTGAATGTATACGGTATAGTATAATGTTTTTTCCGTACGCGTGGGTCGGTCCGATATGGAAAAAAAATTCGAACGTACACTCAAACGAAACGCGTATCAATGTTCGTATTTTTTGATTTAAATTCGTTTACCGTACTCGTAATAACGGACGCGATTTAGATTTCGGTCCTGGAATGGTCTTGGAGTGGTGAATGGCGGGAACAGCGGGAACCGAATTTCTCGATAAAATTCCAAAAATGCCCGCCGAAAAAAATGCTTTTATAACCTGAAAATGCCAAACGACGCGCACGTAAAATTGCTCCAGAAAATTACTTTGAAATCAAAATACGTTCGGAATCTAAAATGCAAAGCAAAAACGTCTTATTCGCAAAAGAACAAGTTTTGTATGGTATTGTTAAGTGCATTTAAATCTCAGGTCTATTTTACGACTGAAAAACATACACAAATAATAATGGCATGTTTAATCATGGTATTATTTGTACAACTCATTTTTGAGATTAACTTAGCTCGATTAACAATTCTATAGAAAACACTACCGCGGTTAAAGATGAGGACGCGCAATTATTCAAAGGGTGTAACAATACGACTTTAACTTCGACGTTTTCCAAACGAGTGTGCGTGCGAGCCGAAGTCATCAATGAATGCGCGTCAAAATAAACGGACAAACCGCAGCTGTCGAAGTCACACGAACAATAATTTTCTAAGTCGTGATAAAGTATAGGTGCATAGGATGTGGTAACAGAAACCACGTAACATGGGTTCGTTGTAAATTTCGTTATTTTTATTAACGTTTTTGACGATATCCTTAACGGCTTCGTGGTTACGTGAACACTTTTAACTAGATCTCCCTGTTTTACGTACACCAATTTTCACGTATTATCGTGCAATGAACACTCGAATCTATATAATCTATGTACTTGAAAATTCGCGTATATATATCACCTATATTTACGTATTTCACGATAGTTTTTGCGTATTATCAAGGTTTAGGACAACGTGTTCACGCATGTATTAAAATTAATTTCGAATTATCTTTTGGTCGTTTCGAACCAAACCCCGAGTAAACACGCCCGAAATGTCCAGCAGAGTGAAGTAAAATATTTTTTTCCCAAGTAAACGGCAGTTTGCTTCTGCGATGCAAATCATATTTAAAAATATCAAGAGCAAAGCGTAAGCGACCCTTTAAAATTCACTTCGACAGTGTTCCTATGGTAGTGTTAAAATTGTAAATATTTATACGCACACAAAACACACACAAAGTTTCAAGGGTTTCACAAGGATCTGAACTATCAAGACAAGAATGGATAACCTAAACCTTATAAGGGCGGAACGATGGCTGATGCGGATATTCGTTTCACGGGTGGAAAACGAATGATGACACGGAATGTGATTGCGGCGATTATACACAAACAGTTCTGCATAATATACTGGACGAGTGTTATATAAGAAAGTTCCCAACAGGCATTAAGGATATAAAAAAATTCTCAACTGACGCCATCGAATAGTTAAAACGTTTGAAAATAAAACGTCTGAGATTATAACACAATCAGTTTAGTTAATTTAATTTATGTAATTGATATTTCGCCATGTTATTATGTACCTATGCTTTGAAAAATAATCAATATACTTCCAAACGCTTTTGGTAATGTTAAATTGATTTGTCTTTCTTCTATATTTTTACACGGCAATTCTCCGCGGCCGTGTTCGCGGACAATTCAAATGCCCTAATCCCCGTCCATTTCTATTGCAATCGTTAGATTCATTTCCTATCTTTAGTCGATTTTTAAAAAATAAAATATTTCTCGGCCGTAGTAGCCAAATTAAAATATCTAAATATTAATAATAACCGCGCTTTTTTCTATCCATATTACCGAGACGATCCGTAAATAAATAAAACTTTAAAAATGTTTACATCTTGCTTAAAAATTTTAAATACAGAAAAACAAAATACTAAACAAATTATAGAGATAATGTTCTAGTCTTTAGGTTTCATCATTGATCAATTCACTTTAATGTTAATACTAACTGCACGTAGTTTTTCTAGATAAATGCAAATTCAGTATATCTTAAGTTTGTAAGATAGAGACGGCACAGGCGGGTATCACGTACTTTTAACTCTGTCATTTAATCAATGTGTATAGGATAACACGAAATATGTTACGTACAACAACATAACGTTATAAAAACGTCCATTTAACAATATAATTTCAAAAATATTATAGTTTTAATCACAGCCGAGCCTTAATGCACATCAAATTTGCAAAAAATCTCTTAAAATATCAAAAGTTCGAGCCCTGGTTACAATAATTATAAACATATATTTCAGACGGAGTTTGTTGGATATGAATTTAACATTAATGCCGACGTAACGCTGGTGGGTATCACAATACACGAATGTAGTGAAATAGCCTACTTATTTCGCCGTTGTGTTGTTTATTTTTTTTTTTTTTTTTAGATAAAGATCTAGTCGATTTAGACCTAAAAGACAGACAAGACTGTTGGAATCATGTCTGACGGATATAAATTTGATGGAAATAGGAATTTAGTTTTAATTTTAATTGTACTAGTATTTGATTATACATCATATTCACCCGTAAAAATGATCGTATATTTTTCCCTTAAATGAGTGTAGAATAGTTGATAAGCGGAAAAAAAGTCTTATTATTAATAGGTGGGTCATTCAAGGATAAAACAAAATTGGAAATAATATTATGAAAATCGTTTTTAATCCCTTCGAAAAGTTTGACAACAAATTATAAGACACAAGAATTTATTATTGTTTATTATACGTTATTTTTAGAGTTTTGAAAGTTTTGGTTTTTTAAACTGAGCCGTGTTAAATATTAATTTTTTCGAATTGAGTTCAATAGTCGAGAACTCGATTTTACTAGTAAGTATAAAGAATCTCGACCAACTCTAGTAATATTAATAATATGATATTTGTGTCAAATAATTTATCAATATAGTATGATTTTTTTTATCACGAACTATCGAAGATCCATGAACATTTTGAGTAAACTTGATTTTATTTTACCAGGCATTTTACAATATTATTTGCGAAATTATCGACATTTTACCGTTATTATTGTGAAACATTTTCACCACTTAGTTATTGATTTTTGATTTAATATTTGTATAAAAAAAATAATACGAAAAATTTAATAATATTAACCGTATAAATTTAGACTATAAATATTATAAAAATGAAAATTGCCAAAATAATTAGCCCTTTCTATACCTATAATGACTTAAACTGAAATTAAATCAACTACAAAACAAGATCCCAGACTCTGCGGTTATTAACCTGGAAGTGATCCAAGTCGTTGTTTTCCACTTCAACAACTTTGATAATTCAATATTTTTAACGTTGTAGTGGGTTCGATTTAACGACGACACACTATATGCTATATGTAAATAACATTCGTAATCCAGAAAAAACAACAGCATTTATTCCACAAAATACGGTTACAGAAAATATTTTGAATTTTTCTCAAAACGAGAGACTATTGCAGCCAACTGTGCCCAGTTGCAAATGTATTAAATATTTTCTCCGCTAATTTTATACACTTTCGTCGGCATTCTTTGGATCAAGTGAGTTCAAATTCGGGAATTCAAGCTCTTTTATAGGCTCACCGAAATGGTACAAGTTGGGTAGAGTTTCAATATATTCAATATAGATTTTATTGTGTTGTTGTTGAGGGTGTATTTTATATTTGAATACCCCTAAATGACGGAGGATGAAATTTTGTATATGTATGACATTAGTTTAAAGGATATTACTTTTGATATTTCAACATTTATCGCAGTTTGATTAAACACATTTCGAAACAACCCAATTTTTATGAAATTCATAACAATTTCAATTTACAAATATACAAAAATAAATAAATTCATAGTGGCGATTTTTTTCGGTCACTATGTACAACACAAAATAAATTTCATGTTCAAATTTCGAAAACTTTTGTTGGACCAAAATTGTCATCTTAGTAAAGACAAATTAAGTCAAAATCATAAAATCCTTATTTCACCAATTACAAAAGAAATGTTCTATCAGAAACTTCCTTGAAGTTTATGGTTAGGATAAGATGTCTGAAAGTGGTATACAGCTAGGCAGAGATATTTCCAGTGGAGGGGGGATGAAGGGGGAAGTCGTCTTCCCATATCTTGGAGCTTTTTAAAAATGTATTTAGTATATATTTTTGATTTGTTTGAAACGTTTTGAAAATAATGTGCTTTCTGTAAAATTATCAAAATAATATTGGCTATATTGTTTTAAACTTGTATCGTTTTGATTAGGTAAACTGTTTTTGAACTCGTATCGAAATCTCTGATACGAGTCGATATGTATTACCCGTAAACTGCATACATGTAACTTTTGGAACACTCGGTTTTGAACCGATACGTATCGGATACACACAGATTCCTTCTATACAAATGTATATGATATTAAATGGTAAAACGTATGATTTCCAAGTCGTTAACAATTATCAATTTATACATTTATTCTGTATAGCGATGCATTATTTGTTTTTATTTAGCATTAATTTATATTCTACTTTATTATTTGCAAGATTCGTTTAAGACGTTTGATTAATTTTGATGATATAAATTGAGTTTTATACTTGCATTTTATAAGTATTTCCCGAAATTTTTACGAACAGAATGACTAAATCTTCTCAACAAAAACGATAGAACGAAAAATTGTGATGCCCAACAAGCTCACTTCATGGCTTGAACGCCAGAACAAGTGAACCCATGGTGAATGATACAGTTAAATGTAAATAATTGATCTGTTTATCGCTTTGAAAACTTCAAACGAAAAATAGATTTGTAGTTTAATTTGTTATTATGCGCTACTCAATTATATAATACATATATATAGATACGTAATATTATTCACATTTATAATTACATTTTCCTGTTTTAACATGTAGGAAAAATAGTCCAACGCATGGCCTCTTAATACACGTTTATTTTAAAGGTAATTACATATTTCATATTAACTATAAGTGATTTAAAATTATATACAAAGACCGAGTTCAAATTTTAAATTCCCCTCCCCCCTCTCTATAGATTTTTCTATAAAAACCTCTTTTTACAGGCAGAAAAATATAATAAAAAAACCAATAAATTTATCATTTAAGATTATAGAAATAATAAATACAAATTACCCAAAGCATACGCATTATAATAGTATAGATATTTGCTATGCGTTATAAGGAAGTCGTCGGTTTACACCAGGTTCCCGGGGCTTTCACAGTAGACAAATATTCATTATACGCTTTTAATTCATCAATTATGCAAAAAAAGGAATACGACCTAAATAAAGTATAACATACAGACGAATGAGTGAAAGTACACGCGATCGCGTGTTGACGAGTTTAAAATAATATTTCCCCACGTTTAATTCAGCGTAACATTTATGTCGAATCTATCTTATGCGAATACTCAACTCAACCTAATCTAATCTAACGCGTTAGTTCAGGAAAAAAAAAAAATGTAACACATAAAGAACGCGATGATGGTGTACACTCAGTCCCGAGAGGTGAATACGAGCATTAGACTTGTGACAGATAAAGGCGGGATAGCTTAGTTTTAGTAATTAAAAGTCTAAAAGTCTTGTTAATCTATATGGAAAAAAAATACTGCTCACGGGTAGACCACTGTTTCAGATAGTAGAGAAAGTAGGATACACGAGACAATTTATTTTAAGCATGTTCAAATTAATATTTGCATATGACGTGAAAATTCGGAACAGTTTCATTAACCGTAAAAATATTTTCTTCGAGATAAAAAAACACATTTTTCTAAAACAAATAGATTTTTCATTAAAATCGGTTTATCGAAGATAAAAAAAAAAAAAAATAGAAGACCTGATACTGGACACGGGTGCACTACTGTTATAGATGTGAATTCGGGAACGTAGGATATATAAATTTGTTAAATTCATACCTGTAAGAAACGATAAACCATTGCTTACGTAAAACGACTCGGAACAAAGTTCGTTTGTACATGTTTTAATAGGTTATAATATTTACGATTTTTGACAAAATTTGATCTTATAATTCTTATAAAAATAAAAAATCTACGTTACACTCAAGTTTTGTGTTCTGACCACTACGTATGACATATTAAAATGAACCTTCTATCAAATTGTTTATTATTTCTGTTTAGTCTAGCAGTTTAATCCATTGAGTATCAACCAAATACATATACATAAAAAAAAAAACAGCAAAATTAAAGTGTCTATAAATAGCTGAAATAGTCTAGATAAAGCAAATATGAATTTTCTGCTAACATTCCAAGTCACTACAAATATTTTTAATTTAACTACAATAAAAAATAAAATAAAAAATATTAAAATAACTATGTTCGTCAATTTTCCCGATTTTTCTACGATTTTTTCCGATTTTTCCAATTATGATTAAAACTACTTGGGAAATAAAAAAAAAAATGTCTTTCTTTGTGAGCATCTTAATCCGAAATGAAACAAAAAAGTTCTATTGTCGTTTTTCTATCGGAGTATTATTTTTAGTAAAAACATTTAGTTCGTGTAAATTCAAACCAATGAAATCGGTAACGCCTTCGCGTGCCATAAATATTTTCCGTTTTACCCATAAAATGTTCTTTCAGGGTTTTTCTATTTATTTCAAAAACCCATTGAAAAATCAATCGATTCGTCGGAGCAGGAGTTCTGGTAGAACATATGTTCACTGACAGTAACAGAAAAAAAAAACACACGTATTATATTATAGAAAAACCAATACGCTCCGAATCTAAAACAAAAAAAAAAAACCAATCGCGGCCGAAGGGAGTGCTATGTTTTCGCGGTGAAAACGCGATAAGCATAGCGAAAACGGCGTGCGTTAACCGGAAGAAACGGTAACCGCGGTCCGACAATAACCGTGACCGAAATACGTTTGGCGATTGTACGAGGTCTGATATAATTTCGCGGTGACGTCATATCGGGTCACCGGGCCAGAGTATAAATGTGCCGGACGAACCGGTGGAAGCGTTCAGTTCGCTGACGGCCGCGTACGAGTTGTGTCATTCGACGACCGCGTCGCACGACTGAAATTTAATGATTATAAACACTCCAAGAACCTTACGATGTGTATCTATGCATTTATTTGACAATATTAATGAGCCCGAGTACGAGTGAAAATTTCGGAGAAAAAAAAAAATTATAATATTATTCTACGCATAGGAAAATTCGTCGATTTTTTTTTTTTATAATAAAATTTATCTTTGCATTTTCTTATGCCATAGTAATATATTAACGAATAGTAATTTTAAGAAAAATGACTTATTAGTAGACAAATTTTTTTTTATTTTTTTTGTATTTTGAAAATACTTTTTAAATCATCCATACAAACCGATTAAAAATGCGAAAATTACCAAATTTACCTTTAAATAGCTCTAATATTTTGAATATTAATTCCGTAGTATAACCTATAAAGGATTAATATAAGTATCGACGATTATTTTCGACCTTAATTAATATAAAAAAAAAATAACATTTTTTAACTATTTATCTGACAGAAATGTTGTTTACAGATACATCGAAAAAACATACGTCACATTATAGTAAAACCAATACATTCCCCGATGCTTTCATAAACTAACATAATATTGAAAATTACGAAAAAAACGTTTACGTTAAGTGTGAGGTATTTTTAATGCAACGATATGTAATATTTAGTCTACGCGCATAGAACAGTAGAGCAGGTGTTTTCTTTTATTATTATAATATGATCAGTATAGTATGTACCGGTGTTTTTGTAAACCAATTTTCTTAAAAATTTATTTTATGTATTTTTCCAGGCATACTCCAATAATAATTTGATTTTCTCGGGTCTTTTTTTTTCTCTCAATATTAGTATATTTTTTGAAAAAAAAACAACATTAACCTAACTTAAACATAACTTGAACTTACGACTTGAATTGAAAACACAATGGGTTGATGGGCCCCCTCCCGTTGACAATAAAATTCATACGATATCTTTGTTAAATATGTATAAAAGAAACCCAAATCGTTTTAATATAAAAAATGTTTTATTTTTTTTCGTATATTCATTATTTTTCTTTATGAAATAGTAAGTACATGAATAATTTATGAAAATAAATTTAAAAAAAAGAGAAGATCGACAAGTTTTTATAATATTATTAAAATAAGGTTTTTCGGGAGTAAATATTTGCGCACTTAACGCATACATAAACATCGTATAATACGACCGTGTTGTATATAAAACTTACCGAAAAATTTAACTAGACTGTGCTATCGAGACGACAGAAAATATACAGGGGCATATTATTACTATAACAACGAGATTTTGATTTTATCCGTTTGCTGGGCGATTTGTAGCGGACAACGTAAAACTTTGAACAAGCCAATAAAGGCTTATTTATGGTAATTCGCGTTTTCGCTGTTGGTACGGTCGTTTACAAAAAAACCGTCGTATTAAACAAATTGTTCTATTTTGAATTTTGTATATTATGGCACCTCGTCAGTCGACACTGATATTTCTCTGGCTGTCTTAATATAACGGCAACAAAGGCACAATCCGCATTACACAATCGCGACTCTCTGACCGAGGTTATGGTAACAAGAGACCTACGCTTTTTATAAAGAAGCGCACGGAATATGAATCGAAAGAATGATTTCTATTTTGATTATTTTACTTTTTCATATCGAGATACGAGTATTTTTTATTTTATCTCTTAACCTTTAATCGTATTAAAAAAAAAAAAAAACTAGGCCATAATACAAACTAAATCAAAAAACCTAATCTTCAAGTAATCCGTTACAATCAGCCGGTTCGAACACCTCAAAAATATCCAATATTTATCGCGGAATATAAAAATCTTAATGCAAAGTAAATCATTTTAAACCCATCACTGTTTCTTATTCTTTTATCTCAAATTCCTGTGGGTGTCGTGGATAAATTTTTAATTAAAAATAGAATACAATTCTATTTTATAATAAAAATTTGTTTTTTCCTAAAAACCGACCGGAATGTCGGAATCTGCAGAATCGCCAAAGGTCATTGTTATTAAACTACGCACTAGATAGACGGATTAAACACAATTTTTCAGTGGCAGAGGGTCCCGTTTCAATATAATAGGATTGTCTGTAGATTTGACCAAATTTTAAAATTTTTTTGTAGTATTATTTTAGATTCTGAGTGGAGCGAGGAATGTATCGGTTTTATAATGATGTTTATTTTTCTATGTAAACACTTATTTCTACCAGAAAGCATACTCCGATAAATCAAATATATCACCTTTTCTGAAAGTAAATGCTTTTTAGGTGATACTTTTAAGAGGTCATTTTTTGAAATTCTCATTAATATTCGAGAGAATAAGAAAAACTTCGGTCTTTAAGTTAAACAAGATTGAAAGATTAAAAATAAGGTTGTCATTGGCAACCGTTTTTATTTAGTTTTTAGTATTATTAAGTTTTTATTAATTTAAAATATTTTTTAAACAATTATTGTCGTCATAAAAACGCACATTTATGTAACCATTTTGTGATAATATGACATATTAAATATTGTTGTCAAAGCAGCTTTCTATTCAGCAGCTATTCTGAGTTATCAATTGAAATCCGCTCAGAATTATTTTTTCGTTAACAATGGTTTATCGTCGCTTACAGATATTTATATATATATATGTTAAATTCCTGTCTGTATCCCACCTTCCCAACTTCCCACTTACATCAGTGGCTACTCCCACGTGTGAAAAATATCCGTCTTTTTAATATTTTGTTTCCACAGACTATACAAAATTCCAGTCCACGAGCATTACTTTTAAACGATTAACGCGATTAAGTGCATTTTATTATATTTTGATGATTCGAGTTGAACGAAAAACGGCATATTGGTAAACCGTCAGTATGAACTGACGAATAAATAAGTTCCCGTGTGGTCCATAGAACAAAAATCGATATTGACAAATTTATAAGCCGCTAAACGCAAACGACTGCGTGAAGAAAACAACACGATTCCCAAGTGACGATTTAACAACCGTATGCATATTGTTACATTTCGTGGCTAATCAATTTCGGCTGAAAACCGATACGTATTCTCCTTATCAATTATATTATAGGGCTTTAAAATTTGTTTGGTATTGCATTCTGATGATATTTTACACCGTCGTGCGTGCGGTGTAAATAAAACCATTGCATTATTCGCCTGAACACGATTATTTTGTATTTTTTTAATACGCTAGCGGTAAACAAATTTTAGTACACCCGTATAAAATATGCGCGGTAAACGATTTTGCTGGTACGTGACAATTTTTATATTGTAAAAAAACAGTAATAATTTCGATGAAAGGGCCCGAACGAAATTTTCAAGCGAAAAAAGTTTTACGGTTAATAAAATTAGATATAGGTACGTAATTTGCGTATGTAAACAGTGCGTCGTTTCGTAGCGTTAAAAAGGCTTTATTTATTGAATTATTACATTTTAATGAAAAATCATACCTTTTAAAACATGTGTATCCAAACTTCGCTCCGAATGATTTTTAAATAGCAATGATTAATCATTGAATACAGATATACATTAAATTTCCCTCTATATCCAACCTTCCCAATTTTCACCTAAAATATTGGCCCACTGATCGTGCGAAATATGTACATTTTCTTTTTATCAACTTTACAACGAAATTCAAATGGCTCTTCATTTGTTTGACGTGGACACGATTATAACCACAGATAGTAATAACTCCCCTAAAAGAAACTTTTGATTTTGTCTTACAAATTCGTTTGTTATATACAGATATAATTTCACATATTATATTATAAATAAATTATTGTTTTTTTTTTTTTTTTTTTTACCAAAATTATTTTAAATTCTGTGTGTAGGGATTACGGTTTTTTTTTTCGAATATGTATTTTTTTTCTCACTATTTCGGTTAGTAAAAAATGTTCCGAGCTTTTCACCTGCAGCATTTATTAAAACATGCTAAATTTCTGTTTAGTGGTGTTTTATTTGAACAATTTTTCTACAAAAAAAAAAATATAAAAATCGCTAAAATAACAATGCATGACATTTTTATGTTTGAGTTACGTTGGCTGTGATGGGAAAAAACACATACATCTATTTCCGTAGTTCTCCGAGCTCATTTTTCGATCTCTCAATGATTTATCGTCGCTGTCAGTATACAAAATTAATGGTGATCTATGTGGCTACACACGATTTTTTGAAAAGGGTTGAATTTTTTCGTAATTTTTTGTGTTATAATTAAAATAATTGCATTACATTTAATTATGCTTTTAACCGCCGTTATGACTATAACGGCAGGTAGTTAATAATGATAATTAGTACCCGTCTGACTAGTATTTTGATCATCTTTTTCATGTGATATTAATTGCGCACCCGTTTCGCGCGTATAAAATAATCACTCAATTCGACGGCGTAAATTATATTTACTATAATAAACTGTATAAATACGACTAAATCACGCGACGCTTTTTAAAAAAAAAAACCAATGATTTCAGTAAACGGATAACTCGTAATTTATTGTTTACGGGGGAGGATGCATTTGAAACATAGTTATTTTTATACCGTCTTAAATTTCGGTTTCCGGTGTTTCGGAGAAAAAGTGTAATAACTAACAAAACTACCTATATAGTTGATACATATACCTAATTTTTTTTTAATATTATTATTTTTTTTTTTATCAAGGACGTCTGCTCGTACGCGTCGGAAAGGTAGAAAGTGTAATACCGAGAAACGAAAACGAAGTTGAAGGCCAAATTCTAACCTAACCGCAACACTCCTTACGCTATATAATATTACGTAGATAGTTTTAATACCATTACGAATTCCCGTACGTTTTCGGGTCGTATATGGTGTATACTTCTATATGTAATGCATACAAATAATTATAACATCACTAGTTGTCCCGCGCGGCTTTGATCGGTGTCAGTATTGAACGACGAAAAAAAAAAAAAGTGTATTCAAGCGATTCTCCGTATTTCCATCCCCGTGCACTCTGATTTTATGACGATTATTACGGCCCCTACACCGACTACCGCGGTGTAATCCGTTTATTCGTCACACTTTTTTTTTTTGTTTTTTGTTTCATCCGTACCGCCCACCATAGATCAATACAAATAATTCGATTTTTTTCGTACCGAAAATACCAGTAATAACCAACTGTGACAGCCTTCCTTTAGGGGTTGAATTTCGGGTGGAAGGAAAGTGGCCTGTATTACGTTATTCCTGGTCTGGAACTTTCGCGTTTATAACATCATTATACATACCTATTATAATAGGATTAGTGGTATTAGGTAACACTCGGCAAATCGAAAGTATCTTACGCACATGTTCGTATAGCTAGGACTCGACAGGGCTGACTCAAGCATCTCAAAAGCGGACGAACAGTTCAGAATTTACACGTGCATAGAACGGGAATTTATGTGAGAACGAAAACGTCGATACATTTGGGCTCTGGTTCATTAATTCGTAGTTCGTAACTGTTAACATTTTGATTTTACTACGATGTGTGCTATGCATTTTCTTTTTTTGCAGAACACCACTATTCCACCAGTAATCTTACTCCAATCAAACAAATTTACAGCAATTTTTTTTTTACGAAATTTAGTCTAGTTTGATGCGCATGTATTTTCTTTATAAATGGGAGAAAACCGGAAAAAAAAACGTCGAAAAAATGGAAAATTTACACGATATTACGCTCCCTGTATTATTCTCAATTTCCGTTTATTGTTATATTTATTGTAATTCTGTTGAACATTTCATGTTCTGGTTTGGAAAAATGTTTGTTGGGTTTTATGTGGATAAAATTGTTTTAGCCAGCAATTTATTACAAAGCTCAACAAAATCGTTTCACAATTAGTGATAAAAAAAAAAAAAAAACAATGTTGTAGTTTTTTTTTTTTAAATATTTTAAGTTAAAATTTCGATGAAAACCGTATTCAAAACAATTAGCTTAACCGAACTTCGTTCAGAATCGTTTTCGTTAGTAATGATTTAACTTTGCGTATGGATTAAATAATACTGTTTTAAGTAAATTTGTTTGTTTGCTCAGAAAACTTGAGATTATCGAGCGGTTAGGTGCAAAATAAACCGTCGGTTTCTCGGGTGATACGACTAATAAAGAAAAAAAAAATCACTTCAGTGCAATAAACTAAGTAAGTTAAGGTGACCAAATATGGTGTGCTTCAAAACGATGAAATCGGTACTAGGAACCTATGGTACGATAGCGATGTGTGCAGTTTATGGCGATTCGCGACTTCACGGCTCGGCGGAGTTTATGCGCGTCGGTCGCGTGCACTTATGCGATCCTGGTACGAGAGACTCGTATTTCCTGTTGTAACGCTTGCGCCGAAAACATTTATACAAAAAAAAATTATATACCTACTCGGACGGTTTTAAAGAAATAAATTCTATTTACTAGCGGGGACTTGAGTCCCGTACCTGAGTGTAGGGGGCAAAATTAGCAATTGCCCCTCTCCTGTGTGCCATATAACGTTACATCATTTATTAATTCCTAATTTTGACGAAAAATGTATTCTATTGTCAATTAATAATTTAATGTTTCATCTCCCTTTCCCCCCTATTTCGCCGTTTTTCGATTATTTATAGTGTTTCGCGAGCATACGAGGAATACAAACAATCACAAATCATAATAATATATTATAGAGTAAAACCGCTCAGCTCAGAATCAAAAAAAAAAAAAAAAAACATGTACATAAATCGCACAACGTGTGGGCCACTGTTGTAGATGAGAAGTTGGGAAGATGGAGGATAAATGTAATGTATATTTATACGCATCGATTATCCAATGTTAGCGAAAAGCGATTCTGAGCGGATTTCGGTGAATAGTATTGTTTTTTCAATAACGTATATCTAATATATGTATGCATATTATGTATTATGTTAAATATAATACATTTCGTTGAACATCTTAAGAGGACGTTATACTCGCATCTACCGTCTCAATTCAGATAACATACATAAACAATGCTTACGCAGAGTAAGTTAAACTAGCTTGATTTTGATTTTGAACACTTGAAAATCGGATAAAAATTTATGGTAGAAAATTTGTCCGCAGAAAAAAAATAAAATAAACATCATTGTAAAACCAATACATTCCTCACTCCATTAAGAATCTAAAATCTAAAAGGGCCTGACTGTTCAAGTCATGTAAATGATCAGTCTCTTACGAAAAATCAATCATGTTAGAATTCGTCGGTCTTGTAGAAATTAAAAGAAACTCAGGGGGCCAGTTTAAATACCGCATAAAATAGCAGTAGCATATTTAATAGCACCGCGTAGTGCCATTGGCAGTTACACGCTAATAAACGAATTCAAAAATAGCCTATTATAATTCCTTCGTATTACTATCATTGCTGTTGTGTTTCGGGATAAAGACTGTTCGTGTCTTATCAATAAACCGTTGTTGTCTACCCTATATGATAGCTGCTATCACAAATAGTCGTTATTGTCACTAGTTGGTGCCACTGTAACTGGTACTACTTAGTAGCAGTGTCGCGTAAAACATGTCATAAAAAAATAGTGATATATATGCTGATATTTCACAGCTATTTTCGGTTTTAGGTTATCAGTTTGCTATTTATTTCGTTAGCAGGTTACGCTGCTCGTCTTTAACACGGTATATTATGACAATTTCGAATTCTTGAATGATCGTGTAGCAAGTTATTGTCGCGCGAACGACGTAACAATGTAGTACTCGCACGGAGAAAGGTTTGACGGCGAACATTCCGACGATTGATCAATAAACAGATAAACACATTTCGTTAAAAAAAGATTATTCATTTTAGATATGATAATAAAATATTCGGTTTCTTTTATACATAATAGCATAATATCATTATAATAAGAAAAAACAAACAAAAACCGACAACCGTCGAAAGTGTGTGTGCCGTGTACGAAATAAAATATAACGTTCGCCGTTCGTTGTAAATTCTCCAAATTAAACGTGATATAATAGCTCGGCGTAAGATGTTTTTTTTTTTTTTTTTTTTTTACTGAGATTCAATCGAGAGCGAAGATTTAATTAACAAAACTAAAAATCTGTAAGAGTGTTTATTTATTTTCTACTCTCCGTTCTAGGAACCGTATTATTTATTTATTTTTTAACGTACGTACCTATTAACGTGTGCATAAATTATCTTCCCGACAGGCGTACTGCAAATGAATAATAAATTATTGTGGTATTCATTAATTTTTTTTTTTTTTTTTTTTTTTACGATCACGACGACAGCGTTTTATAATACCGGGTCGTTTAAGTACCGAAATTGCGTAATAAAACGTCAATACTACCGTATCGTTTATAATAACAGCAAACCGAATCGTTTGTTTGTGTGTGTGTTTTTTTTTTTTTAAACACGCATGTAATTGAAACGAAATTCAATTTAAATGTTAATATGAGGGCATCGCGGTAACATTTTGCCATCTCCGTCTTTCTAAAGGGCCAATATACAGGAAGATCTGCTATACGAAATCACTTTTATTCCGTTCGATATTTTTAAGTTTTCTTTTTTCTGGTACCAACCATGTAGACCTATATTCCGATTTTTATAATTCCTTTATTATTTTATGAATATCACAATACATGTGGATAACAGCCCTTTTCCAGTAGTCAAATAATAGTTTCGGTACTTATATAGTTGTCAGTTCCTAAGTAACCGCATGGATAGATGTACAGATTCGGAGCTATTGAATTGTCTCCCAAATGCGGGTAATCGACGATTTTACGCATTGAATTGGTTCCCTAGGTTTATTAATTGAGTTGGTTTCCGCAGCATTTATTTTATAAATCCATTGGTTACACAATTTGTTTGAGATGATAATTTAATTTCATATTAATCTAATAAAAAATACAAATATTATATTTTATAATTCATTAAAACTGTGACCGTTTAATGCGTAATCGGACTAATGATTAGATAATTTGCAGAAGTTATTCGGTACTGCGACGCTATACATATTAAAGTCTCGTACTTTTTCAATTTTATGTATTTTAAAGAACAACTTTATATTTTGACAACAACTTGTTCAAAATTGTATTGGAAATCAATTCAATATTCGGTTTTATGGGAGCTAATTCCTTGTCCGATGAGGTACGCCACTTAAACTCGTGAACCAATTCAATGGTTGCCTGGCAGATTGATGTCTGCTTGGGAGAAATCTAAACTTTGCAGTCCATACCGAGGCTATTACGCCGTCACAACGGCCCGTTTTGACACAACAGAAGTCGGTCCACCGGGAAAATCTTGGTGTGTCCGGTGTGTCTGTCCGTTCTTATCAAGTAGTCTGGAGAAAATGCGGGACACACTTATGAAAATGACAGACATGCTTCGCACGTAGGTGCAGCCACTGTTGTAGATAGAAAGTTGGGAAGGTAGGATATAGACGGGAATTTAAAGCAAAGATAATCCAATTCTAATGAGAAAACGATTCTGAGGGGAATTCATTTAATAGTGTTGCGTCGTCAATAATATATAAGTATATCATATTATGTTAAATAATTATATGTGAATTTAACGTTTTTTTTTTTTTTAAATAATAATATTTTTATATAAAAAAAACTACTGGAAAAATTAAAAAAATGATCACCTAAGTACAACTGCAGTCAGATTTCCTTTCGGAAAAAGTGCTATGCTTGTAAATCGGAGCAATATTTCTGGTAGAAAAGTTGTTTACAGGTAAAAAAAAAAAAAAAAAAAATGAAAATAAACATCACCTAACACCGTAAGTTTCTTCGCTCCACTCAGAATCTAATACGGTACCTATTTTTTTTTTTTATTTCATTCGCAAATCGATCGTAAATCCGTCCTAGTTAAAAGAATAATTATTAAATAACACTACGTTTTTGTACAACGCGGTAAAAGTACACTAAAATAATAATTAACGTCCGGTATAGTACTGAAATTGGAAAGAACGATTTAGCAAGTGGGCGGTATACGGTAATCATCGAATATACGCTAAAATGAGAAATATACTTACGTACACGGAACCGGTTCTGCGTACGCGTAGAAAAACCGTAACGGCCGGACGGCGTTAAACAAATACGGTCTGTTGGAAGGGATGCAACCGCAGTAACCGTACAACATAAATACGGCGAATTTCGAGTGAACCTAATCATTAAGTTTCGAACGGCAATCCACACAAGTTCAAAGCTAAAATTTAAAAAAAACCGAAAAAATGGCCGCCAAGGTACTGAGCAATTTTGTTAATTGACACGGTTGTGTATTTTTCGTAAATTTAAATTGACTTTTACGGTTTAATTTTATTTCAGATGATCGTTTTCGCCGCCTGCGTGGCCACCGCTCTCGCCCAATACGCCGCCCCTGCTTACCCGGCGCCCGCTTACTCGGCACCCAAAGCTTACGCTCCGGAGCCCTCGTACGCCCCGGCCCCGTACAAATTCGAATACAGCGTCAACGACCCGACCACTTACGACGTCCACAGCCAGTCCGAATCCAGCGACGGTAACGGTTACGTCAAGGGAACCTACAGCCTGGTCGAACCCGACGGTTCCACCCGCGTCGTCGAATACACCGCCGACGATCACAGCGGTTTCAACGCCGAAGTCAAGAAGATCGAAGGATCCGGATACAAGGCCCCGTACAGCGCTCCGGCCCCAGCCTACAAAGCCGCCCCGGCTCCAGCCTACAAAGCCGCCCCGGCCTATAAACCAGCTTACCCAGCAGCACCAGCAGCTTACCAAGCACCAGCAGCTTACCCGGCCCCAGCAGCTTACCCAGCCCCATCTTACTCGGCTCCGGCTTACAAACCAGCCTACAAACCAGCTTCTTACGCGGCTCCGTCATACTCAGCCCCGGCCTACAAACCGGCTTCCTACTCGGCTCCGTCGTACTCCGCACCGGCCTACAAACCGGCTTCCTACTCAGCCCCGTCATACTCCGCACCGGCCTACAAACCAGCCCCATACAAGGCATACTAACTGTAGTACCGATCAAACCCTCCGCCTTTTACCATTGAGCTTTCCGTTATAGGAACACGCTCGTCTTTCCTAAGACATATTATGTAATAACGTGTACCGTGTCTGATTTTTAAATAAATTATTACGAAACATTTTTCGATCCGAAATTTAAAATTTGTACTTTATTCAGCGGAATCGATTTCGTTTCCTAAGCGTGGTCCACATAACGATATTACGAATGTAAGAATATGTTATTTTACGATGGGTTATATTTTATTAATATTTCGTGTACCATCGGCACTTCAGTTGGATAACTATTTTCAAAAACACTTTGTAAGTAGTTTGCATTGCGTCTATCGCGGAGACGACATATGTATGACGATAGTAGAGCGATAGTAAAAGACTTGATTTTAGAGTGAATCTCGATAGAAACTTCTGTGAAATTTCCACACGAAAGTGAATTGAATTCAAACGATTGTATGTGTTCACACGGTGACAATTGTTGTTGTACTCGGGATAGTTATTTTTAACCGACGTACGTATACGATAGCGTGACATTTGCTTTGACGATTGCTCCTATCGTCCTTCCAACACTACGGACATTTATAATGTCGTGGTATTGCGTCAAGCGTAATATTTTGATAAATATACCACATGCGGTCGATTTAATGACGCAAAAAAAAGCACGTTGATAAAATAACACCGTGTTATTATTACTAAACAATAAGTGCTTTAAAGCCATATTCGGACAGGCCACGATGAATCGCATAAAATAATATTCAGTTCTAATGCATCGAGTCGTATATGCGACTGTTAGTTTTAATTGAAAAATTGTTTCCGGGACAAAACGTTTTGCGTTGCGGTCGAAGTTAGAAGTCCGTTCGTGAAATTCGTGGACAATGCAAATATTGTAATTTGAATACTCTAATTTGTCCTCGATTAATCGTGCTTGGTACAGCGCAAATATGTATCGAACGGCGTTCAATGTGTAACCCATACCTACGTACACATATACGTTTTATTGGTTCGATACCGTGACTGACGATGGGACATCTAATATTTATGAACCAAATATTCGCGTGTGAGAAAAACGGCCGCGGCCAATTATACGAACCGGTCGGTAATCTCAACGACAAATAATCGATCGCGCGTTATGTATTTGTATGCACGACCGCTGAATTCTTAACTGTAATACATATTTCAAAATCTAAATTATCGTCGAAAATACGAAAAAAAAAAGTACGACAGAACACAAAAGTAATAATAGTTTTCTTGCCCGTGATAATCAAACAATCAATCCATGTCACCTAGGCAACCCGTAAATAAACAATTGGATACTCGTACCAAATATATCTAAAAACCTCTATTCCATCCCCTTAGGCGTTGAGAATTCTAAAATCTTTTCTTAGCGGATGCCTGCGTCACAATAGCTATCTGTATGCCGAATTCCAGCCCGACCCGTCCGGTGGTTTGCGCTGGACGATGACGCATCAGCCTGTGTCTGTCAATCTGTCAGTTCGGGAAATGTTATTATTCATTATATTATTACATAAAGAAATTGAAACATTTTTTAAACAAATCTACTAACGACCGGAAGTATTGGCGTAGCAAATATCAAAAATTGTACAAATAAAACAAATAGTTCCTTGTGAGTTTGCGAGTTGACGATACGTCATAATGATAACGATATTATTGTCTGATTAATGATTGTTCACTAAAGGCGTCTAATATACGCTGCAATAGGATTTTTTTGCCACGTCATAGACACAGGTTCGCCATATCATAACAAATCCGGGGTTTTCGGTCGTTCAAGTGTTTAAACGTTTCTTCGCAAAATTCAATATGATTGAACACTACGCGTACAGACATGCCATTATCCCATACCTGTCAGATGCCTGTTAATTGCAGTTGAATATTTTTGTTGCTGACGACCTTAAATCATGTACGATATACGATTCGACATTTTATTTGTACTTTCGAGTAATTAATTTTTTTTTTTTTTTTAAATATTTTCGTTTCTTAGTAAATACAATTTGATACTATTCATTTTATTTTAAAAAAAAAAAAAACAAAAAAAAAAAATAGATTCCATGGGTTGTATTGTAATCGTAAAATACGGTGAGGTGATGTTTACAGGAATCACTCAATAAAATATCTCGGACCGATGCTGCGTATAGATGATATAAGTGATATATACCTGCTGGCGCAGGCGGAATACGGAATTATAGTTCTACTTATGACGATTGGAAAGGACAACTTAAATAATTATTATTATACTCGACGAACCCATAAGGTCGTTGCGGTCGGGTATAATTGTAGAGGTCGTTTATTAAACGTTAAAATATCGCTTTTCCATCGATAAGTGCCTACCAAGAAATACGAATTGTATATAATTATGTTCAAATAGATGTATAGGTAATATTATCGGACAAATATGACACGACAACTTCTCTGCGACGAATCGATCCCTATTTTTTTATTATTATTATTTTTTTTTTTTTTCAATAAATGCAGTGACGAAACACAAAAATGCACCAATGAAATATTGTATCACTGCATCGGTAGCATTAAAATTCAAAATCACGAATCATTATCACTATGGATAATGGATGTATAAACGATATATACATAATAATAAATCAACAATTTGTACAACCGTAGACGAAAACAGTTAAATATCGTAGTGATTAAACAATAAACAATCAATAAATATATTACCAGTGACATATCCAATTCATAAACAATAAATACTCATAATCAGGTTTAGGTAGTCGATAACGGTAAATTCGAACATTCCGTGTGACTTTTCACGGTGATAAGATATTATAACGTTGCAATTAAAATTATAGATAGTTATTAGAGATATTACCATAACGTTTAATAACATATATCGAAACAAATAACCGTGAGGAACGTAGGATATATACTTAGGCCGGTTTACGCACTATCTGCAACCCGCAATAACGTCGAGCCAGTTTTGATATGATCGGATCTATAATGATCAGATCATTGCCGAAGTCATTGCCGCTGCCTATCGATCTAACTGTAAGCATAGCCCTTTCCCCCTTAAACCATATTAATTTCTTGTCGTTGAATAATGTACTCGTATAATTTATTGTATCTATTTCGTAATTTTTATTGCAAAATACGCGGTGCACGTATATATATGTATCGATTTTCGTGTGCTATCACCAACCTATACCAAATCGACAAAAAATCAATCGTGATTTTACGATTATTTCTACTGCAACCATAGGCTAATACGTATAATTATATTATTGTGTATGGACACATTGATCAATAGCTCGAACGAACGGTTGCAGAATTCGTCAACTAACACCGCTCCCCCGAAAAAATAGTCTGGTCTTGATGAGTTGTGAATCGCGTTCGCCGCCGCTGTCCACAACGATACGTTATAACAAAAGAAAACCGATTCTGAGCGGCATTCGGTTAAATGTTTTGCGATAGATTAAAATTGATTGCTGTGTTAATTTGTAAATACAAAAAAAAAAATTGGTCATTCGTGTTTTTAACGAATTTTAATATAAATTTGAATTCAAAACGCTGACGAAAACAAATTAAAACATTTGTGTCTGGGCAAAACTAAACAATTACTCGACAAAGTCAAATAGCTATTATGAATAACTTAAAAAAGATAATATATTTTGAAGTTGTACTATTGTATAGAAAATATTACAATTAGAGGTATTCGGTGAAAATGTCAAATATCTGCGAGTTTCTGATCTGTTGAATTACAGTAGAGAAAAAAAATAACACAAAAAGTTATTGCTATTAATATCTATTCCCGGTTTTTTGAAGTTTTTCCCAGTGAATCCCAATTATTCGGAAAACAACGAAGAGAAACGAAATTTCGCCTTCTAAATGCACCAATTAGAGAACACGGGAACATTGTGGTAGATGGTCTACCACAATGCTCCCATTTTCTGGTCGAAAAGTTGTTGACGGACATGAGGAAAATATACATAAAAAAAAAGCACGCGTCGTAGCACAACCAATACGTTCCACACTTCGTTCAGTAATATCAATTCGCACACATTAGGTACTTACTTTTTTACAAACATGTAAAACCGGTCCACTTCTAAGTCTGGATAGGAAGATAATTTAGAGTGGACCATCATTTTTGAGGTAGCACGGCACGCGGCCTTTTAGTCACGATCCACGCTACACTTTTACTACCGAAAATCAAAATCGGAAAAACTCGTCAACGGGTTGACGGAAATCAAACGTTTCAATACCAGACCGTATTTCGACTTGTACTCCGAATGTTTATGGGATTTCCAATATGGGTGGCCGAGTGAAAATCGAAAGCGGGTAGGTATTCGTTTCACCCGCGAAAACGAGGGCGAACGAAAATAACGGTAAAGTTACGTTTCTGAGCCTGTAGAGCATTTACTCAAACGTCGTAGAGAAATTCGAAGAGAGGACACGCAGCTTGTTCGCTTTATAAACGGAACGCCGGGCAGTATAAACGTATTCATATTTTATCGTATCTAATGCAAACGGCACACGAGTAGGCGGTTATTGATACGTTACACGTACATAATTAGTGTAGATCGAATATCAGGAAAAGACGTTTTTTAGCACGGTAAAAGTAGTGTTGTATCGAAACTCGGAACGGACAAAATGTACGCGCGCTCGTCTTGAGGTGACTAATTTAGTAAAGGGCGGTAACCGCTGCGGGCGGTGTACGCCGCCGCGACGAATACCGGCCTGTACAAAAATGTATCACGAGCATTAAAATACAATTTTATCCGGCCCGTTGCGATGAATCACGGCGGTGACGTTTAAGAATAATAGTGCGCAAAAATTGGAAGGGAAATGAGGTATCAACGAGGCGCGTACGACATAAATACGGGAGCCGAAACGCGAACGGTATCAGTGAGTCGTGGTCGCAGACGTACGAACGACCGGGGAAAAAAAAGGAAAACATTTCAATAAAACCAAAACAAAAATGGCTGCCAAGGTATGCATCAGACGTTTTGTCTCGTAATTTTCCCTAAATTTACCCGTCGCCGTTCGCGTTCACGCGTTAAATGTTCGCAAATTACAAAATATAAGAATCGAATTCTTTTGGTTTCGGTTTTCTCCGTTTAATTTTGACCGTTTTGTTTTTTTTTCTTTCAGATGATCGTTTTCGCCGCCTGCGTGGCCACGGCGCTCGCCCAATACGCCGCCCCTGCTTACCCGGCGCCCGCTTACTCGGCACCCAAGGCTTACGCCCCGGAGCCCGCGTACGCCCCGGCCCCGTACAGCTTCGAATACAGCGTCAACGACCCGACCACTTACGACGTCCACAGCCAGTCCGAATCCAGCGACGGTAACGGTTACGTCAAGGGAACCTACAGCCTGGTCGAACCCGACGGTTCCACCCGCGTCGTCGAATACACCGCCGACGATCACAGCGGTTTCAACGCCGAAGTCAAGAAGATCGAAGGATCCGGATACAAGGCCCCGTACAGCGCCCCAGCCTCAGCCTACAAAGCCACCCCGGCCTACAAACCAGCCTATCCAGCACCAGCAGCTTACCCAGCCCCAGAAGCCGCCTACCCGGCACCAGAAGCTTACCCGGCACCGGCTTACTCCGCTCCGGCTTACAAACCAGCCTACAAACCAGCTTCCTACGCTGCCCCGTCATACTCCGCGCCGGCCTACAAACCGGCTTCCTACGCGGCGCCGTCATACTCCGCGCCGGCCTACAAACCGGCTTCCTACCCGGCCCCGTCGTACTCCGCTCCGGCCTACAAACCGGCTTCCTACCCGGCTCCGTCGTACTCCGCTCCGGCCTACAAACCGGCTTCCTACGCGGCCCCGTCGTACCCCGCCCCGGCCTACAAACCAGCCCCGTACAAGGCCTACTGAGGGCTGTCCATCAATATATTTTGACCTAAACCTTGTCCGTTGAGCTTTGCTTTCGCGCTGTGCTCATCTTTCCTATCACATTTTGTACATATTTAGTTTATGTCAGGTTGTCAAATTTATTAAATGATAAATCATTTGATCTAAAATGAAATGTGTGTACTTTTGTCCTATAAATGCCTATGTTTTCACCGTGGTTTTCGCTTCAAGCATTGAGGCGTAGCTATGAGATGAACACCTGTGCTACTACTCCATGGTGTCGAAATCTTACTTTAAATTATTTCTAGTACGTATTCTAATTTTAATGGGAAATAGAATAATTTACAGTGTTTATTTTTCGGGTAATTACGGCCAGTTTAAATATCATAGATTTACGCCGTGAGAAGAATTTAAATTGAATCGAATCTAGTAAAAAGTAGACTAAGTAATAAGGGTGTAATATTTGAATTTGCTTCAAAGCACTCTTAAGTACGCACGATTATGTCAATTGCGCCTTAAGTTTGTAGGTTATCATTTGTGATAATTATAATGCGCGGTAGACACCGCCGGTGTGCTATGATATAACGTAACATATATTTAGTTTGCAGATCTAATACACTTTATCTGTAACATAAATAATATGTTTTTGTACTTAATTTTCACGAAATATGCGGAAATTCGGAAACGTCGTAGTAGAAGTTTATGTTGTTAATCGATATAATATTATTATTTCGCGACACGTAGTTTTAAATTCTTGTTCTTCATTTATTCGTATTTATTACATTTCAATATAAGTTTATTTACCGATAAAATAATATAAAATTAAATGCCTGTAATTTTACATTTGGACGTTCACATTCCGATTCGAGAAATGAAATCCGTTTCGGAACGTATACAATCGTTTTTTATTGTGAAACCGCCTACTTGAAACATAAATACTTTGTATGTTCGCACACAGAAGCGTACCATGGATCAACAAGCACGGTTATGAGTGTGATTTGTGATGTCATATTATTTCAACGAATCCCATTATTTCCGACCGGTTATTATTTTCAACGGTTTTAAATCGAAATAATAATCACAAAATTCCCTTTTTTACAATGCTGGCGATATTATCACCAGATTTTGTATAAACACATTTTTTAATATTTAATAATATTTTTCTGTTAAATGCAAATTTGACTGTATTATATTGTAATTGAAAATTATTAACGATCATTTTATAAATTAAAACTCGTAAGTTTACAGCAATACATAAATTGAATTGTTTTATTATGAAATTTAGCAAAATCGTCAATAAACTAGGTAAGGCCTCGATTGAAATGAACTCGTTTTCAATTTATATCAACGCTAAGTAACGTACACGTGCCGCAGATGTCCACACACATGTTTTGATTCTTTTCACCGTAGAAAAAACTTGTGTGCGATTAAGAGATGGCGAAAAAGTTACATTGTTAGATATTACTTGGGGGGTCACAAAACTCAAGATAGCTCAGGGTTTACCAAGCTTAACCGCCGTACACGTCACTGTTTGCACAACGCGGTTAATAACGTCTGTCATATTCGAAAAAAAAAAACACAAGATAAAAAATGAACGTATTTGACAACCTCGAGTAATTTCTACGACACGAATGTTTTAAATAATCGCATGTTTTCGTAAATAAAACGAAAAAAATAGCCTGAATAAAGACCACATAGGTTCAAAGGTTGGCCCGTTCGCGCGCAATCGCCAAATGTACGTTTATTATTACCTATAACAATAAAATACGTTTCTTTGTCGGCCGCCGTATATCGTTTTGACATGAACACACTTTGCCGTATTAGTATCCAAAATATTGCACGCAGAAATCGAATTGAATTCGGAGTATAAGTAAAGGCTATTTTTTTTTTTTTTTTTTAAACTGTACTTTAATTTGAAATACCTACACCAACCTACATCAATATTTTTAATTTTTTAAGAAAAAATATTGTCCCTAGATATCTTCAACAGTTACGGCTTGCGCCGCGTTTGTTGGAAATGCGTCTTTATAATAAAACGCCGTTACGAACGTCGCGTAACTCGAACGAAAATACAAGCAAAAGGCTATCAAAGATCAAAACAAAAATGACACAAATTACGATGTCGATTTTCAGTATTGAAAACCTCCGAAATTAATATATTGTTTTCGAGAGTTTCGTGATATCACAACATTAATTTTCTATTTATTTCGGACACACGGAATTTCGAATCGAAAAACGGAATAGCTGAACAACCGAGACAACTATTCGAAGAATCTACAAGTAGGTGCTTTAAATTTTAATAATTCAAATCAGATATTGGAAAACGCGTTTAATTTTCTGCCGTTTATTTATTGGTCGTCAACGTTCTATTTGTCAGTTGAAACGGTCGTAGCCCTTTCCCTTGTTCGGGTATCGCGCGGTGATCCGTGATGGAAAAATGATTAAAAAGTAAAACGTAATTTTCAAATATTACACATTTCGAGGACATTTGAAAAAACCGCTTCCGGCCGTCATTGAGGAAAAAAACAAATTCATTGATATTTTATATCATAGGTATTAATAACTACGAGATAAATGTAATTGATTTAAATGATCTGGACACACATTATGCCTACGATCAAATTTCAGCGTCGAGGGAAAAATAAAATATTCTCAAAATATACGCTAAATAAACATTTAGATTTCAATGTAATAAAATTATTAGTTCATATTAATTTTTCAGCGGAAAAGTTACACGTACAAGACGTGGAACTTTTCCCGAGCGTGACCATGCTGCGTGGAATTAAAAACTTTCTTTTTTTTAAGTAAAAATAATAAATAATAATATTAAATTTCGTTATTTACTTACACCGTAAACAGTATTACAGCGAGTACGTAGGGAAAAAGTTTGTTTCATTTCATTTTACTGATTATGTTGTTAAATAATATGTCGGACCATGGGTATGCCACGCCAATGTTGCAGGGTTTATGACAACGATAATTCATTACGATCGAAAACCGCATTTGCATTATGTCCGTGATTGAAAAATTGTGCGCCTGAAAACGGTGCTGAAGTATTAAATGGACATTGTGTTAATTATTCAAAAAATTATAAAAACTAAAAAAAAAATTGTTGTTATTTGTTTAGGACCGGAAGTAGTGTCTGCGAGTCGTAACACCGTTAACTACCCGGGTAAAACAAATTTCAATCTCGTATATAATTTCAAAAAACATATTTCGTATTGTATCGTTAATTTATTTCACGTACAGTGTGTTTAACTGCGTGTTCGGTGACTTTGCGTGTCTGCGAGTCTTTGGCTCTGGCTGTAACCACTACGGGTACCGGTGTAAGAATGCATTTCGAATTGAGTAGTTATCAGTCCGGTGCCCGTTAAAACGGAATCGCCCAAATCACCGCGCAGAAATAGCAATACGATCGTATTTAGACGTTAACAAAAGCCAACACAATAAAGTACTTAACTGTGATAAGTAATAATGACTTCTGTAAGGACGCGGTCGAGTAAAACCTATACGCAACGCCGTGTTGCATTGTTGTCGTTGTACACAGTCGGACGGGGACATAATTACCCGCCTAATACGGTGTTTGGTCAATTGAAAAAGGGAAAAAATTAAATTATCAAACTAAGGTCGTTATGGAATAAAAAGTTCGGCGGGCAGACACCTGCCTGATTAAATTGAAATCGATTGAAACGAAAAACACCGAACAACGCGTTAAATTGAAGTGTTACTTTAACGCGCGGCCCCCCCCCCGCGGATGAACCGATCTGCTATAGTTCAAGGTAAGTAATGCAGGTATAGTTTCACACACGTCGCAACGCGTAACTCGTGAACTTTCAAACGAATCTAATGACAGTAGTGTAATAATAGTAGTGCAATAGTACTCGATTGCTGAAATGCAATCGTTTATAAAACAGCACTTGGGTTTTAAGGCAAATGTTCATTTTTTTTTTTTTTTTTTTCTACGCGATACAGAAATCCAACGTTAGGTAACGCACAAAATTCGTTTTGTATCATTTTGATTCTATATAAGTCAATTTTTTTTTTTTTATGTAAATGATTTTAGATTTCGAACGGAGCAAGGAATATATTGGTTTTACAATGATATTTAATTTGTTTTATTTCTGTGAAAAACTTTTCCACCAGCAATTTTGGTCCGGTTTACAACGATAGCGATATTTCTGAAAGGAAATCTAACCGCCGCGTTAATGTGGGATCATTTTTTGATTTTCTCATTTTCCAAATTAATGAGAAGAACCGGGAAATTATAGGAAAATAGATACAATACTAAACAAATATATTTTTTAAAAAAAAAAATTTTTACTTCATATGTAATTATTTTACCATAATATGACATATATATATATATATATATATATATATTGTTAACCAAGCAATACTATCAACCAAACTCCGCTCAGAATCGTATTTTCGTTAGCAATGATTAAACGTTGCGATTGATGGAATCCTTTCAACAACCTTCCCAATTTCCCACCTGCAACAATGGCTGCACTCGTCTTCGTTATCCTAGGACAGTTTTTTTTTTATTGTATTTTTCAATTATTTCGGCTGAGGCATTTTAATATTCGTTTTGGCATAATTAAAACATTCTGATTTATTTAATAAGAAAAAGAAAACGCTTCTCAGTTACATAAGGTATGATAATAGGTACAGCGTACGTATCTCAATTTATGTCAAACACGGAATACGAACTATGGTTTAGTTGTTTTCGTTTAGGTTAGGTTAAGTTGTGCCCGGAGAGTGCAAAGAAGAAGAACAGGGTCCGGATGTTCTTCGGTGTTCGAGATCCTCGACCGGAGGACACCGTGGATCTGTTGTGCGGTCTCGAAAAGCTGCGTAACGACCCCGCTTGCTTTTTTTACAAGTTATTCTACAATTTTAGTTAATTTTTGATTATGCATTTTTTTTTACTTTATAAGTATGTGAGCTTTTTTCTGCTTGTTTCAAACAGTCGTATGTTTTTTTTCTTCATATTATTGTGCTTTAAAATTCATACAGAATTTATAAAGAAATGTATGCATGGGATAAAATATTACGGGTATTTATATGCGGAAACGTTTTACCGGAAAAATTTAAACCAGATTATGAACAAAATATAATATGTTACGGGCAAAAAAAAAATTCTTGACGATAAAAAAAAAAAATTATAGAAACATAAAATATATATTAGTTATTTTATTTGTGGGCAAATTTCGTATGCTTTCGGTTCTAAATACGCCAATGTCCTATCTCACATGACATATCCCAGGCACCCAGCCGCCCAGACTTTTCGAGCGAGTTGCCTTTCGCGGAGCGTACACCAGGTCACGGGACTTGATTAATCTATCTGTATAGCGAAATGAAATTCTTGCAAAATTACCCTATTATTCGAATCATGGCCGCCACTGGCACGCCTAACGACCTTATGTTTGAATGTTTTATAGTCAAGCGATAGACCACAATGGAACACTTCTACACGCATTTATTTAATTTAATTTTATGTTGTTGTTTTATCCTATGTCACATCATAACTAATCTATTTACATAATTAATTAGCATAAAAAGCTACGCGTTGTGCATTGTAAATAAAATTAACACACAGGGTGATACTTTTATTATTGACCACTCATGATTTGGCAAAATATTGACTTGTTTTCTAAAAAATACATTATATATGATCTAAAATTTTTCATTATTATTATTTTTTATCACCCTTATTTTTGGGGGTGAACCGACTACCAACTTTTGATATTCAAACAGTAACCTAAAATTAAAAGTTCCATGTATAAATGGAGTAAAAAGTAAAATAAAAAAAGTTTGTATGTTGAAATTATGAACTTCTGTTAACCCGTTTGCATACGGTTCCAATGCTCTCACCCTCCTTAAACTTAAAAGTGGAATATCAATTTTTTGAAAACAGTCAATATTTTGTATTTTAACGAGTGTATTACGGTAAAAGAATTCTCCTGTATAAAAAAAAACAATTAATCAACGAATACGTTGATTAGAAGGCGTCTATACCTGTAAAACAGAATAGATTATCTGGGTAAATTATTGTCCATAGATCGCCCATATTTCTGCGAAAAAAACGTTCGGTACCAAGCGAAACATACATCGTATCAAAATTGGACTTGATAGGAGTATTCACTAAAGGGGCGGTAACCTGACGGTATATGGTGATCAGTATATGAAATAAAATGATGAAAAAACTCAGACATTATAAATTACACAAGCGAGATTGCTATAAATCACAAGATACCTAGGACTATTCGAAAATAACGATATTGGGAGGGATGGATTGCCGATGAACACGCAATACAAATACGGGTGAGCCAAACAGAATGTCACAAGTATTCAACAGACGTGAAAAACAAAAATAACAACAACCGTAAACATAACGATTTAAAAAAAAAAAAAGAAAAAAATTAATAAAACGGCCGTCAAGGTATATAATATAGTCATTTTAATAGTATTGTCCAGTATTTCGCATAAAATCAAAAAAGTAAATGTTAATCACTATTTCACGAAGAATTATATTTTTTGAAAATTTTTTTGATAAAACCTAGTAACAATATTTTTTCAAATTATTATTTTCGCCACCTGCGTGGCCACCACTCTCGCCCAATACGCCGCCCCTGCTTACCCGGCGCCCGCTTACTCGGCACCAAAGGCTTACAACCTGGAGCCCGCATACGCCCCGGCCCCGTACAGCTTCGAATACAGCGTCAACGACCCGACCACTTACGATATCCACAGCCAGTCCGAATCCAGCGACGGTAACGGTTACGTCAAGGGAACCTACAGCCTGGTCGAACCCGACGGTTCCACCCGCGTCGTCGAATATACCGCCAACGACCACAGCGGTTTGAAGAAAATCGAAGGATAGAAAGCACCGTACAGCGCTTCAGCCCCAGCCTAAAAAGCCGCCCTGACCTACAAAAAATCTTACCTAGTCCCAGAAGCTGCCTACCCAGCTACAGAAGCATATCCAGTACCGTCCTACTTTGCCCCAGCTAACAAACAGTCTTCCTAAGCCGCCCCGGCCTACAAACAAGATTCCTACTCGGCTCTATTATATTCGGCCTAGACCTATAAACCGGCCTCATATAAGGCATACTAATGAGTGCCATTCAAAAACCCCATTTTAATTTTACCTCTGTTTTTGAGTTTTTCTTGGTGGAAATGCGTTCGTTTGTCTTATCATTTTTTGTTTAAAAGTATGTTTAATTTGCCTTATTTTTTAAGTATTGTATATCATTATATTTTCTATCGGAAATATTTTTTCTGGACAAATTTTTAATTGGGGATATTTTTTATTGGAGATATTATGACGTCGATCCAATATTTTTCACCAAAATACGCATTAATTGTGTTTTAATATTGATATAGATCAACATGGATTTCACAACATACATTACCATTTATAATGACGTAGAAATCACCGTGGTCATTCCAAAATGCAATAAAGTGTACATTATATTTAAAACTTGTTATTTTAAACAAATATTATTAATTTGATTTATGAATACGACAACGAATGACCAATTAGTACATAGTACTAAAAATAACAGAAAAAATATTATTGTATAATATACAAGATTAATTCGTTTATGGACAATTGATAAACATTAATTTGCAACTAAAGATATCTAAACATCGTGTTTTAATTTAATAATTTAATATGTATTATTAAAATTTAGCGTGTATTTTGTTGTATGTTTTATTTTTATACGGGATGTTAAATATTTAGGTGCAGTTATCTAAGTTGATTTATTAATTTTAATTTGTAGTTGATTAAAAAAACATTTGTTTCGCATCTATAGAGATAGGATTAAATTTTCCGTTTTGTTTATTAGGTTTGGTGACTTTTATATTTGATGGTTCTTTGTATTTTGAATCAAATAAAGGAATTTATGGAAAAAAAAGAGAAAAAAAAGAGATTATTTATTTCACAAAACTATTAAAAAATGTACAGAAAACGATAGGTTCTTGACCTATATAATATTCGTATGTAAAGAATAGAATATTGAGATTAAAAGATTTCAGATTGGAGTAATGAAGTTTACAAAAAGTACAGAAAAGTTTTCTTTAGAACTGCTCTTTTAAAAGCAGTCTTGGCACTTTGTTGACAATGGCTACCAAATTAAAATAAAATATATTAATAAAAACTGGTTTTTTAACAGTGTTCCGCTGTCTTCAAGAGAAACCGGAAATCAATAATCAAAATTAGATTAAATATTCGTAAGTCTGAAATTCAAGTTCAAACGTGCAATAAAAAAAATTAAAATTCCGCCTTCGAAGTTTTATGTCAGAGGTCAACTGTCGGCTAATGTCCAAAATATTATATCTCAATGAGACAAATTAGATTTGAATGAACCTCGTACGCATAAAAAACTGGTGGAAAAGATTTCGGATTTACTGAGATTAAAATATGTTAAGGTAAATTTTCACAGTTTCCCTTAGTTTTTTTCCAGTATTTCCCATTAAAAATAAAAACCCATGGAAAAATCAAAAAAATTATTATTTTAAGTACCACTATAATCAGGTTTCTTTTCAGAAAAAGTGCTACACTTGAAAATCGAAATAAATTTTATGCTGTAAAAATGGCTGACAAATAGAAAAAAATAAAATAAAAACATCATTGAATAACCAATATATTCCATCGTTTCGCTCAGAACCTAACAAAGCTATAAACAATACTTTTTTTTAAAAAAAAACAATTTTAATATATATTTTAGTTTAACCACGATGATTTCTGCGTCATAATAATTGGTAATCTATAATAGGATAAGAACACTTAAAACCGGTATTTTGGTGATAATTGTTAATTTCTACATTATACAATTATCCGAATAATATACGCTTGAATTTTACTGGGTACATTCGTGAAATAAAAATTGTTTTATACATTCTATAAAATAAAAAATAAAAAAAACATTTTAAATAGTGAATAAATAATTTATCATATATATTTAGCAATAAGACAAATTAAACATGTTTTTAAACAAAAATAATAGGACAGACGAGCACTTATGTACAACGAAAAGCTCAAGAACAGATGTAGAAGTCGAAAGGGGTTTTTGAATGGCACTCATTAGTATGCCTTGTATGGGGCTGGTTTGTAAGCCGGGGCGGAGTATGAAGGCGCCGCGTAGGAAGCTGGTTTGTAAGATGGTTTGTAAGCTGGAGCTGGGTAAGCTTCTGGTGCCGGGTAGGCGGCTTCTGGGGCTGGGTAAGCTGCTGGTGCTGGGTAGGCTGGTTTGTAGGCCGGGGCGGCTTTGTAGGCTGGGGCCGGGGTGCTGTACGAGGCCTTGTATCCGGATCCTTCGATTTTCTTGACTTCGGCGTTGAAACCGCTGTGGTCGTCGGCGGTGTATTCGACGACGCGGGTGGAACCGTCGGGTTCGACCAGGCTGTAGGTTCCCTTGACGTAACCGTTACCGTCGCTGGATTCGGACTGGCTGTGGATATCGTAGGTGGCCGGGTCGTTTACGCTGTATTCGAAGCTGTACGGGGCCGGGGCGTATGCGGGCTCCGGGGCGTAGGCCTTTGGTGCCGAGTAAGCGGGCGCCGGGTAAGCAGGGGCGGCGTATTGGGCGAGAGTGGTGGCCACGCAGGCGGCGAAAATGATCATCTGAAAAATTGTTCAACGCAATTTTATAAAAAAAAAATTCAATTGTTCGTAAAATAAAATTCAAAATTGCTGTTATCGAGGAAAACACCGAAACGGCACTATAAATGTGACTATACATACCTTGGCGGCCATTATTTCGTTTGATTTTTATTTTTTTATCGATAAGTGTATCGTTACCGTTATCGTGTTTCTACCGTCGGTTGAATACTGATACCGTTCTGTTTGGCTCGCCCGTATTTATGTTGAACGTCCATCGGCAATCCATCCCTTCCAATATCGTTGATTTCGAGTGGTTCTATTATGTTTCGATCCGTTGCTATTGCGTTTGTGCGAGTTATATAATCCGTGTGTTTGTTTAACTATTATGTTTCGCATACTGGACACTGTACGCTGCGAGTTAACCAAAATATAAGTGAACGAAGAGTGGTCAAAAATGTAAAAAAAAAATAATGAACATATTTTTACGATATTTTTAAAAATCGTTTAGTACCCATTTTTCAACTATAAAAAACACATTAGCAAATACAGATAAATTTAAAAAAAATAATAATAATAATTTTCCAATCTAAAATATTTGGTTTTTAAGAATTTGTACTTTGAAATTTGTATTTCCTTGGATTTTTGGATAATCCAAAGTTATAGTCCGTGGCTTGTGCACACACATCCTCAAATTTTATTTACTTTTTTTATACAGTGCGATTAAATCTGCTTATTTATTTACCATTAACATTACATGTATACCACAAATATTCATTTTCAGGGACAATCTTTTGTTTAGCGAAAAAACATTTCTTTTGTTTAACTAATATATTTAACTAATATATATATTATTATCTGATGATAATATTATAGGTTAAAAAAATGTTTTATTATGTACTATGAGTATTTTTTCTTTTCTACTTTTTACAGTAAATAAATAATTACGCTTTGCATAATGACTACATGTTTACACGACTCGAGTACAGTATTATATTATATAAAATATTCCACATTTCGTTTCACCAACACAATCATTATCATCACATTTTTTGTATTTTATTTTATGATTAGAATGGAAAATGCTATACGCGCTTTGGGAGAATAATTAAAACTTATTTTATTAAATAGTTTTAATCCATTATTATGTTGATTTTTTTTTTTTTTAATAACAAAACGTTTGCACGCTATAATTTTGAGATGTAATTTTTCTCATTTACATTCTATAACATTTTACATTTATATTCATATTAAAGACCTTATAATTTAATGCCTAGAGTGGTTGTACATTTTAATTAGGTTCACTTCATTGCTTTGTAGTGCACCGACGTTAAGTGCAAAACTTCATGGATTATTGTAATTATTGTTACTTCTTAATACTCCATAATATTATATTCTTTAAATAAAAAATGTATTACAAAAAAAAAAAAAAACCGATATCCGGTTGTATAGATCTTTCGTTAACAATACTAGGTTATCCCGAAATCACTTTAAAAAATATCTCTGTGAAAATATTAAACAGTTTTAAAAAAATTTAACAAATGTATTATGAAATCGCAGTCCTTTCGGATCTATCGATCACTATTGTCCTATTTTGAAAGTCAATTACACACGTTTTAACAGTAAACGTATATTCTGACATTGGGATTTGCCACGTCGCTTTGACGGAAAGGGTAATATTTTAGCGAATGGGCGGTGGTCCTTTTCATCAAACGCGCCGAAATATGAGATGAATGCGGCCGGCATATTACCGCATTACCACTACCTACACGTTCAGTTAAAAATATAACAAACGCCGTCATAATTTTTTTATTGGAAGGGATTTAATAAACGTTCAGCATAAATAAGACGAATTCCAAGAGGACCGTACCATTAAGTCAACAGCAGTACACATACATACAGGACCCGTTCAAAATAAATATAAACAAAAATGGCAGTCAAGGTATTCATATATTATTTAACGTCATCATTTATAGTATTTCGTTCACTTAAGATATTTTTTTAACAAGAATTAATTTTTTTGCGCTGGAATTTATTTTATTTTTATTTTCATTTAATTTAAATTTTACATTTGCATTAATACCGAATCTAACCCAAAATCTTTCTATTTCTTTACAGATGATCATTTTCGCCACCTGCGTGGCCACCACTCTCGCCCAATACGCCGCCCCTGCTTACCCGGCGCCCGCTTACTCGGCACCAAAGGCCTACGCCCCGGAGCCCGCATACGCCCCGGCCCCGTACAGCTTCGAATACAGCGTAAACGACCCGACCACCTACGATATCCACAGCCAGTCCGAATCCAGCGACGGTAACGGTTACGTCAAGGGAACCTACAGCCTGGTCGAACCCGACGGTTCCACCCGCGTCGTCGAATACACCGCCGACGACCACAGCGGTTTCAACGCCGAAGTCAAGAAAATCGAAGGATCCGGATACAAGGCCTCGTACAGCACCCCGGCCCCAGCCTACAAAGCCGCCCCGGCCTACAAACCAGCCTACCCAGCACCAGCAGCTTACCCAGCCCCAGAAGCCGCCTACCCGGCACCAGAAGCTTACCCAGCTCCAGCTTACAAACCATCTTACAAACCAGCTTCCTACGCGGCACCTTCATACTCCGCCCCGGCTTACAAACCAGCTTCCTACGCAGCGCCTTCATACTCCGCGCCGGCCTACAAACCAGCCCCATACAAGGCATACTAATGAGTGCCATCTAAAAACACGTTTTGACTTCTACCTCTGTTCTTGAGCTTTTCGTTGTAGAAAAGTGCTTGTCTGTCCTATCATTTGTGTTTGAAAATATATTTTATTTGTCTTATTGCTAAAAATATATAATAAATTATTTATTCGAACATTTTAATTGTGGTATTTTTATTCAGTTATTTGTTCACTAGTATTTTTAAATGCTTACTAGACCAATGTATTAATCGAATTTACTAAATTGTGTATTTAATTTTTAATTATTAAGACTATTTTAAATTCTGAGTGAAGTTAGAGGTTTATTGTTGGTGAACAAGTTTTTTCCTTAATATCTCGCACTTATCAAAACATGAAGAGACTTTTTTGGTTGTATTTTGTACTAAGTACTTTAGAAACTTTATTTTATCAAAATTTGCATCGATATTCGAAATAATGATGGTAAACTGGTTCTTTAGGTAAAAAAAGAAAATTTGACTGGAGTGATAATTCGGTTGTTTTTTGATTTTTGCCAGGGGTTTTTTATAGAGAAGAAAATATGAGGAAAAACTTAGGAAAAATGAGAAATTTACGATATATATTATTTTAATATGATCAATATTACGATCTTTTAAAACATACATAACTGAACTCTACTCAGCATCATTTTTCGTTAGTAATGGTTAACCTCTTGCGTACAGTGATACATTCAATTTTTTTTCTCCTCTATAAATTTCTAACCTACAACACTGGCCCATTAATCGTGTGAATTAAACAGAAAATTGAATACTATTATCATTTTAAGTTTAACCTGGTGATACAACAAAAAGTTGATGGTTGTTTATAGGTTTTTTTGTTTTTTACTTGCCCTTTCAGAACTATTTATTTTCTTTAATTATTATTTGTGTCTGTGAACAAATTTCCCACCAGAAATTACCCTTGGTTATCCGTGTTTTTTTTTAGTACTTTCATACACTTTTTTTTACACTAATATTGAATTTTATAAAATGTATTAATACTGCAAGCTTAGTTGAGAAATCGTTTGACAACGCACGGGATCAGTGCTTAAGTGCCTCGTCGACCCTTGCAACATATGAGTATATATTTACTTATCCAAATATTTTGATCACAAAACCTTATAAATTATAACATTCCCAGTAAATGTCAGTAATTGCTTTTTTTTTTTTTTAATGGAAATCGACTGTGATTATTAAGCGGATAGGATAATAGTTCATATTACATATACATGTTTGAGCAGCGCTAGAGTTGAAGCCCGGGAGAAATTTATCTCGTAATAGTTCTGGGAAAAGATGGATCGACGTTTTAGAATAGGACCTAAATGGATCGAGATGTGGATGATTGGAGAAGGTATTCAAACACAGAAAAGTTGATAACGTGATATTTAGCACGAAAATTATTTCTAAGAAAGCTATAAAGGCTTAAGCTTAAGCGGGTTCTTATGAAAAGAAAAAAACGCATTTATGAATATAGTAGTCGATTATCTCGGGGATCCGTATTTCTTTACTTTTTTTTTTATAATAGCTGTAATTCGTTAAATTGCGATTTGTTATCGTTCTTGTTGAATCTTTTTCTTAATAAACCGACATTACATTTTGTCGTTTGAACCACGATTGAAAGTGATGGATCGTGAGACGGACTATGGAAAGCACCGTGGGTCCGTTGCACGGATCGCTGGACGGACCGTGGCCGTGGTCTTGGTCGCGGTCGCGGTTGCGGACGCCGTGGAAACGTCGGCACTGTGGTCAGGCGTACGCGTGTATCTAAACCGGAATGGAATTGTTTCGCTATTACAGGCGAAATCGGGAAAATTTATGTTTTTTCGTGTGGATTCATAGATTCATTATTATAATAATGTGGAGTGTATCTCGTTCGTGATTAATTATATTATCAAAGTAAGCATCTACTTTGATGTATAATACTTTGAATAAAATTAATGTTATTTATTATTAAATTGTAATTATTTTAATAGTTTTATTTTAATTTAGTAACAATTGCATGTAATGTTGTGGGTAAATAGTGTTCTATAATTTTTTATTTATTATCACATACACCGCGTGTTATAGCACTCAGAGTTACAAAGTCGACCAGATTTTTTTACATTTACACCGGTCGTTCTTACATAACGTACAGCAAGTACACGTGTCGTACCCTAGGCCACCCGAATTCTAACATGTTTTTCTCTCCCCTTTTAACAGAGAAATTCGTACAGACGGTACCTCATTCGACTGGATAAATACCGCTTAGCGTACAGTGAATTCGTCAACTGATGACAGACTGCGCGACGTCGTGACGGTAATAATTCGAAAATATCAAAATACAACAAAATTATGAATGGTAATGTATCGATTTATCGGTATAATCGGTCGAAATATTAGATGTAGCGATAAAATAAATATCAATACAAATTGGATAGCGTATTATCGGTGTACGGAATTTTACACTGGTGTGTATTTACCGACGCCCAAATGCACGTATATTGTTTGGGCTGTCTGTTTATAAAACAAGGTAAGTCATAATCCACAAAGATTACGGTAGAGTGATTTTAGTAAT